TAAAACTCAATTCGAATACTATTACATACAAGTATACGTATATATTGTTGTCATATTTTCGCTTGAAACGTTTGATTATTAGACCACATAGACGTCAAAGAAACATAAAACCGGAACTCAAAAGCTCATCTGAATTATGGATTGAACGCAGTAATGATTGCTCCGAATTTAGATGGACTCAAACATGTTTTTGTTCCTTGTCTATTGAGACATTATTTTTTATAATTAAGTTTCCGAGCGCTTACGCAATTAGAAGAACGTGGAATGATGCGAGAGATAGTCAGAGTTCACTGTTTCTTCAAGATCTTTTTCTACCATTTCACATTTAAACATTGGTGATAGTTAGTGGTAGAGCGACTGTTGGGGAAACCTGAGTTTTACAAACTGTCAAAAAATTATTGATACTCAATGGTCAGATTACTAAATTCAGCTCTGAACGAGAAATCAACTCAATCTGGCAGAGCCTTGTCGGAGCGCCTGAGGGCCTAAGTATAAGCAGAGCTCGCGTCAGGTAGGGCCAGACCAGGTTTGAGAAGGGTTATGTCACACTCTTTTCGCAGGCCAGGCAAGAGTTTCGGCCCTCTGTCCGGCGTATAATCTTCTTAGGGACAAAGCAAATCCCAGACCAAAATTGCCGGTTTGGCATTGCGGCATGGATCAATAAATTTGAATGGCTGTAAATCTTAGTGTCTAGACAGCTTTTTCCTATCACTTTGAAGTCATATTTTATGTTGCACCGAAATGTCATGCCTCAAACGAAACCGTTTCTATTTTCAACACTTTGTATTTTAAGTCAAATAGGCACGTAAAAACGAACGGTATAATTTGTTTATTTTAGGACAATGATGTCTTCTCCACAGCATCTATATTCTTGTGTAGGTTCTCAGATTGCTGTATGTCGGGAAAATAATGAGCGCATTGTCGGTGCGACAACCGCGTCGCAGAACTTTTTTATACAAATCTCTTAACTCAAAATAACGCGGGATTTCGAAATATTCCGAAAGATCAAATTTTTGGAACAAAATTTTTTTGTTGTTCTTATGAAAAGACACGGTAGAACATGCTCTGTTTACACTCCAGATATATATAAATCTTTTTATGAAAATGGCTGCACGGTGCAGTGCGTTTCCGTCCGCCTTCGAAATTAGGCCCGTCCAAAAATAAGCCAAGTGCCAAAAAAAGAATATTTGTTTTCTGGTGGTGCAGAGATCCGTGTTTTCGATGACAAAGTACAATATAATTACCAAATAGCTGGAATATTTGAAAAGTTTTGCGGAGTATTTTGTTCAAACCTGAAGAGTTCTTTAGGACGATGTTCTTGATGTCATCAAGAAGAACCAGAAATAGAAAAATCAGAAATAGTGCAAATAAAAAATGATCCAATTTTTTAGCCCTTTGGGACACAGGACCTTGATGTTTCGCGTTTCTGACGACTTCTCGAGGCGGTTGACACAGAAATCTTTTCACAACTTTGAATAGAAATCTCCGATTTATCAACACGTCAACGACTAGCGCTGTTATTCATAGGTACTCTACCGGATAATTAATTGTCTGGCTTTTATCGCCCTGACTCATTCTACTCCACTTTCGAGCCGGATCAGAGCGGATTTCGATTCGATTTAGACAACGGTACAAAAAACTTTCTTAGGCCATAATTTAGATGACAAACCAAAGCACAAAGCCATATTGTTTTGTCATTTATTTGACAGGCCTATAAAATTTCACATTCATATTCGGTTTCACGTTTTCCCGTCCTTTGCTCAAGCAACAGGATAGGCGAATCAAAAAAAATGCAAGTAGGAGTATATAACATGCATATAGCATTTATATAACATGCATATTAAATTACCGTTAGTAATATGCAAGGATGTTTTCGACGCAACGTGATATCCGATGTTGGCGGGGTTCGCAACCGGAAGGAAATATTCTCATAGTGTTTTTGCACAACAGATACTGTCTTAAATGACGGATATCAGAAACGTAGTGATGCAATTTTCAAACAGACTATTTATGCAGACTCGAAACATCAAATCGACTCTGGGTTTTGTCCCAAACGCAACGCTCAGATTACTTTTATATTTTGCGCACACGTTGTGTCACGTATCCGTTTCTGACATTTCTAGCTCGTGTATTTAAGGAAAAAGGTTCTTTACCAAAGAAAAAATTGATTTTTTACAAAACCGAGGCTGAAAATCGTAGACTGAAAAAACAATTTTAATTTTAACCAACTTTTGGGAAAAAAACTTGAAATTTTGACCAACTTTTAAATACCCCGGATTTCTCTGGAAAGCGCAGCCTTTTAGACCAAGTTTCATTAAACTCTTTCAAGCACCCTATAATAATTTTCAATTACAATATGGTCCATCTTTAAATTAGCTCTGAGTTGACAATTCTTCGGATTTCCCAAGGAAACCTCAGCGTCATTTTCGTTCAAATTGAATTTTTCACGCCAAACGGCGTCTGTGAAGGTGGAAACCAATTTCTCTCCGTTCCGACGGAGGCGTGGATTTCCGGCGGCCAATTTTTTTTATCAGTCTATGTGGAGTCAAAATTCTGCTCTTTGACCGTGAAGAGTTGTAAGTTTTGCAGACAACCTTATGAAATATCGGATCAAAATTCACAAAGCTATGTTTCTGCGAGTCCAAATAAGAACGGATACCACGCTTTTTCGAAAGTGCATAGACTTTTGAACAGTGCCTTTTGCCTCTTTTTTTCGGGCCATTTTGAAACATTTTGCAGTATGCAATGTCTGTCGCGCTTGCAAAATTCGCGGCTACGCTGTTGAAAACAAGCTTGCGTAGCGGCAATATTGCCCAGTAAAAATGCCAAATGCACGGTGCAAAATGCGGTCTTTGCACGATGCGGCAAAACGCCGTTTTCGCACAGTACGGACACGTGACAAAAAGTCTACGCACTTTTGAAAAAAGCGTAGCTGTGTCACCCAGCGTTGGCTGGAATTTCAGGTCCATTAACAGCAAATTCCTGGCTTTTGATGCAATTCTCGAAATACCTCGTTTCCTCCACATTTCCTACGGTATCTTTTTGCTGCCGCTTTGGCAATTCTCGTTCACGCGTTCCCACGGCACCAAATGTCATTGTGCGGTTGACCGAACAAGTAGTCCTAAGGGGTTGAACTTTTAGTTTTGTAGACTTAAAAAAAAACCAACTTTTCCGCTTTAGTTTCCTTGCATGAGGTCTCTTTACATCTTAAGAAATCTCGAACGTATATAACCTAACAGTAATTTAAAGTCTGGTCCTTAAAACTTTTCCGAAGAAAACAAGGTCAAAACGTAGGGGAAAAAGAAATGTAGTTTGATTTTGAGACTTAAAATAGATTTACTGTACATGCATCCCAACAATAACGAACATGACACGTAAAATTTGCCCTTGTCCTTCCTCATTAGATTTGTAATCATAAATAGAGATGTGTATTTCGTTTCCGCAGGGTTCAAATTATCGGGCGTTTTGTTTCGAATGCCAAATAAAGGCGAAATTGGATACGGCAAATATCATGTCCCAAACATGAGCCAACTGACCTTATATCAACATCAAATGTCAACAAATAGTGTTTCCAAAAAACAGAGAAAAATTTAGAAGCAAAGCCGACTTTTACAAGGTAAAAACGTTATATTCCTTACAATAAAAAGACATCGTCACAAATACAAATCGAACAAGTTTGTAAAATTTTCAAAACTTTCCGTAAATTTGCGTCAAAAATCCATCACTTCCTTCTTCTGACGATCATTTAGTCCCACTAATCGGACACAAGAATGTGCTAGAACAGGATATTTGCCCCTTAGTGGGAGGGGATTAAGAAAGGTCTTCCGCTCTATTTCTGTAAACCATCGAATAGTTGCAAAACATTCCGTCATCGCGTATCGAGAAGCCATTTTGACGCAATTTCCATCATCATTATGTATTTGTTTTATGGGACAGATTGGTTGTAAAGAGGCAAAAAACATGAGTGTGAATAAGGTGAAATGCTTTGCCTTAATAGTACACAGAGGCTTGCAAATCAACGAAATACTTTTTCAAAAGTATTCGTTACTACTAGTACAAAGATTCAATCAAACTTGCTGAGAAGTTGTCGAGATTTATGAAACAAAAGTTGCGGAAAAGTCGACTTCTTCATTGTCGATGTAAAAAATTCATGCTCGTTTAGTATAATATAAAACTAATGTGCCACTGTTCTACAAAAAGACCAGTCGTATTCAACAACACTCGGAGAGTTATTGCACAAAACTTTTTTCCAAACAGTACGCACGTTTTGAGAAAAATATCGTTTAAAATTTTCGTTGTAAATGCAGAATGCTAGCTAATTTTGCTAGTAATGGACATCTGGACTCTTTCGGCCTTCATCCAAAATTTGAGCAAAACCTAAAAGCAACGTTTTGGTTATGTTCCTTTTACCGCATTACCGCCGCTACAGATCTTTGAACGCAAAGAAACCGGAACACAAATGTTGTATTGAGTTCTGTCGTGGATGGACTCCATTCTGACATGTATCTACTGAGTATACATATCTCCGAAAGTGAGCCTTTACTCCGGATTTATATTTGTCGCTCACTTGTTTTCTGTCAATTTACGTTAAACCCCTTGTTTTTGATGATGACTTCTCTTTTCCGGCTTATTTTGCATCATCGTCTGGAGCATCGCGGCTTTCAATGGTCGGGCACAAACAGGTTGCAAGATTTACACCTTCATTTACAGTAGCCCTCGCTTTCAACCGCCTGTTCGAGTATATTCGAGGATTTGTCCTCGGTTCAAGGCCGATGACATTTTTAGCCGACACATTAGTATAATACTTTCGAAATGCCGTGTTTACGTAGATGCCAAAAAAAGGGAGAGCCCTCCTTTCGACGCCCCGCCCCATTTCGGCCGCGCTATAAAAGGAGGGCCTGACGGCCAGCAGAAACAGTGAAATTCCTGCTTTTTCGAGGATCGTGAATTACTGTATCCACTACTATACGCTGACATCTACATATATATTACAATTCAGGATGAATTCGATGATGTTGAAGATCTTGGCCTGTGTCTTGGCCTTTGTTTTATTTTTTGATGCCGTTGCGGCACTTCCGTTGGTCACGAAATATGAGGTAAGGCAACCTTTCAATCACCGATCCGATCTAACTATTATACAGTCAATTTTTCCTTCTATTTAAATTTGATTTCTTTTACTAATTTCAATTCTTACAGGACACTGACTTCCTTGTTGACCCAATCTACGTCGTAAAGCGCTCCGAAGAGTTTGAGCTCCCAGCGCCCATCCAAGGCGATAGCTTCGAAGTCGACGAACTCCCAAGAACCGATCGGAAACAGTTCGCTCGCCAACAACGATACCTCGAGATTCTTCGAGACTACTTGCAACAGCCGGCTGTGTAATGCTTCGGATCGTTTGACTTGCATATATTTATATTTTCATATACGTATATGTTGACTGTAGGATGCCTTTTCAACGCATATCATTTCGGGTACATCTCCTCTCTTGTTGCCTTACCATAGTGTCTGCTTCTGCTTTAATTTATTTTCCCAGTGTCTGTACAAAACGTTCGTAAAACCGGAAAAGATGATGATTGGATCAAAGAGCCAATAAAGATCTGAATTCAACCTATCGAAGATTTTTTTCAAATATAATATTAATTAAGGGGAACACAGTACGGTATTCAAAATTCATCAAAATCTGCTGTTGGGACACCAGAGGCTGGATGGTTGAAAGTTTTCACGTCATATCTCTGCTCACCCATACAAACAAAAGACAAAATCAATTTTTGCAAGGGTGATGAACTCCTCAAGTGACGGAGGCCTAAAAAAACCAAACCGTAATAAAGGATAAGCCTCAGGGATACTCACCAATTCTCTGCAAGATCGCGAGTCTTGAACTCAGCCCTCAGCTGAAAAGGAAGCGAAGTGCAACCCTCAGATGTCCTTAAACTAGACTTGGCTGCCGGGCTGGGGCGGCCCAGGCCGGCCCGGCAGTATAGTTAAAAACATAAACAATGGATAAGATTTTCTTATTTGCTCGTCGCTTATAAACACTATTTTCCTAAAAAAATTTGAAAATGAACCTCAATTCTCCAAAAAATTGTTTTTCCCCAGTCCCGAAGCGAAAACATTTCAAAATTTTGTTCAAACTCTCCGAGAAATTCTTTTTCCCAAGTCTCGAAACGAAAACATTTCAAAAATTTGTTCAAATTCTCCAAAAAATCCTTTTTCCCCAGTCCCGAAGCGAAAACATTTCAAAAAATTTTTCAAATTCTCCAAAAAATTCTTTTTCCCCAGTCCCGAAACAAAAACATTTCAAAAATTTGTTCAAATTCTCCAAAAAATCCTTTTTCCCAGGTCCCGAAGCGAAAATATTAAACGGTATCGTTGACCCGAATCGTCGTTGACCTGAGTTGTCGTTGACCCGAGTTGTCGCGATCCGAGTTGTCCCTGACTCGAAATGTCGGTATGCGTTTGATTTTAGATGCAGAGGGAAGGAAGGCCACCCAGTGCACAAATAGTACAGAGGTAGTGCTCTTCACATTGGATTGACACGAACGGGGGTTCGAGTACCAAAGTGCGATGATAAAATGTAGCTCATTTTGACATTAAAATACGATGATAACAAGGCTCTGAGCACTTCTTTTTGTTATTCTCAATGACCGCTATCATATATTCTGCTTTACCCTATACAAAGCATCTGTGTTTTTGATATTTGGTCTGTTTTTGACCAGAAAATATGGAGGTTAAAGTAAAGAGGCAACGCAACGTCTTGAAAGGCGCCCTCCGTTTTGAGCGTCGCGAAATCTTTGCAAGGGTGATGAACTCCGCAAGTGACGGAAGCCTAAAAAACCAAAACGTAACAAAGGATAAGCCTCAGGGATGCTGACCAATTCTCTGCAAGATCGCGAGCCTTGAACTCAGCCCTCAACTGACAAAGGAAGCGAAGTGCAACCCTCAGATATCCTTAAACTTTTGCACAACCCAAGGTCACTTACCAATTCCTGAGAACCCTGGCTTGCGCTTTGCAGGGACAGCCGAGGTATTCAATGGTCTTTGGAACCGAGATAGAACACAAACTGTGGAAAGCTATCAAAGAAAAAAAGAGAAATTTTGACCTTATCTCTTCCAATTTTGTGCGAAAAGCGATTTTTTGAGTTAGCCTCTCAACAATAAAGCTGAAGTTCTTATGCATAGACTCACAAAAAAGTGTGAAGAATCTCGGTTATTTCTGCAAACCGCAAACTAGGAATCTCGAACAACAATAATCAAAATCTGTGCCATTTATCTGACAATGAGTGTTGCATCTTGAGCCCGCATGAGTTTAAAGCGTCTTCAAAAAGAAGCCAGCCTTTCTTTTGTAATTTTTATTTTTTTGATTTTTTTCTTTTTTAACTACAAATAATTAACCGCATATCAAATAAAAAGCGAACAAGGCAAAGGGAAAACAAAAACCAAAGATCTTCTAACAATGTTTACAGCTAAATCAAATATTTTTTTGCATTTTTCTGAGCATAACTTGGAACGGAACGAAATGACAATGCACGGTGGGTTAAATAGAATATTCCAATCAATTTTTTGGATTTTTTCGTAGTTTTATATCCATAAGATACAACTTAAGAATGAGCTCAAGTTACAGCGATTGGATATCGGTGGGAAATACTCGACTCTGGCAGAACATGTATTAAGTATGAGCATACTATAAGGAACCAAATTTTCCGAAAATCTTGCAAAGTAACCTGCAGGACAGAGCAAACAATTATATCTTTGGGACCTGAAAAACGCAAGTTTTTTTCCATCTATTTTTTATCCCAATATCCCGTCAGAGTTCGCTTGAAATCGCGGGGTTTCCACTAGCTTTAGGGTTCGTTTCTAAAAACGCCCGGTATTCTTCATATTCTGTGAGCCGAATTTCACTCGATTCCATCGCCAGTAGCCAAGACAGACCAAGAAAAGACGAAAAATCAAACAATTTATTAATCAAGGGAATACACTACAATAGAGACACAAACAATAGAGATTGTAACTCGATACGCGCGAGAAGTGATATTTTTGACGATTTTCTGGAGGATTTGTAACTATTGGGCGGCAAAACGAAGACAAGCCGAATGGTAAAAGTAGTGTGAACTGGGGTGCAAGTAAGAGAAGGGAGATGGTGCAGTTAGACTTATTAATGTAATAAAAATGTTCGAAGTCAAAGATCCAGCTTTGAATTGACTTCAGACGGCCAGTTTCTTGGGAGTGTGGTCCGAGTGGTCGGTGGAATCGCGAGTCCGCTTGCACGGGCGTTCCGTGATGTTCTCGTTGATCTCGACTTCTGTTCTGAAAAAAAAGTTTTAGAAACAAAGTGTTCGACCGTACCCCGCTCAAAGTCTATATCTACGGGCCATTCGGAGCCGGAGAGAGTATATAGTTAAAAACATAAACAATGGATAAAATTTTCTTATTTGCTCGTTGCTTATAAACACTATTTTCCTAAAAAAAATTAAAATGAACCTCAATTCTCTAAAAAAATTTTTTCCCCAGTCCCGAAGCGAAAACATTTCAAAATTTGGGGCTTCGGTAGTTCAGCCCCCCACGAAAGGTAGTTCAAACCCCCACTGTTTTGCCCGTTTCACACCCCACATAATGAACAAATTAGAATAATACAAAAAATGTAAGTGGGGGTTTGATCTACTACGCTGGGGGTTTGATCTAAAACGTAGGGGGCTTGACATGAAACGTAGGGGGCTTGATCTAAAACGGAGGGGGCTTGATCTAAAACGTAAGCGGCTTGATCTAAAACGTAGGGGACTTGTGCTGGACCATACAACTTGGATTAATTCTTTGAAATAAATTTTGGGGTTCAGAATGGACGAGGGGGGTTGTACTGGGTTATGGGGGGCTAAACTGGACTGGGGGGCTGTACTACCTTAGCCCCCAAAATTTTGTTCAAATTCTCCAAAAAATCCTTTTTCCCCAGTCTCGAAACGAAAACATTTCAAAAATTTGTTCAAATTCTCCAAAAAATCCTTTTTCCCCAGTCTCGAAACGAAAACATTTCAAAAATTTGTTCAAATTCTCCAAAAAATCCTTTTTCCCAAGTCCCGAAGCGAAAATATTAAACGGTATCATTGACCCGAAGTGTCGTTGACCCGAGTTGTCGCGATCCGAGTTGCCCCTGACTCGAAATGTCGGGATGCGTTTGATTTTAGATGCAGAGGGAACGAAGGCCACCCAGTGCACAAATAGTACAGGGGTAGTGCCCTTCACACTGGATTGACACGAACGGGGGTTCGAGTACCAACGTGCGATGATAAAATCCTGGTCACTTTGACATTAAAATACGATGACAAACAAGGTTCTGAGCACTTCTTTTTGTTATTCTCAATGATCGCTATCATATATTCTGCTTTACCCTACACAAAGCATCTGTGTTTTTGATATTTTGGTCTGGACTTCTGAGCACATTTTTTGTTATTTGCAATTACAGATTCACCTAACCTATGGCCAGATAATTGTTCAGGTTGACCGTCATTTTCGGCGGTTAATCCGCGCACTAATAGAATTGAATTCGACTGGCGAACTAAATCATATATCTCTTCAGATTGCAAACTGGCAAATCAAGTCAAGTTGTAATTTATGCTTCGATTCTTTCAAAAAATTCAAAGTCTTAGCAAAATATTAGCAATAGTATTCATCTATTCATTTTAACTACAGAAACTACGGAAACATCACAATATACCTAGAAAGATCTTTTCGCTTGATAAACCAAGTTGCTTCAAGCCAAGTAATACGTCACAACCAGAGATTGCCACGGCTCTGAGCGGCTCCGAGCCGGGGGCCAAGAAGGAGCCGGAAACCCCTGACCTGAAACGCCGAAAATTTCATCTTTAATCCCGAAAACGACCTCTTTTCTTGATTCGACGTGAATAAAATTTTAAAATAATGTCTGCAGAACGCCTGAGGGGTTTTTAGTCAGGTGTACGCCAAAGAAGCGACAACTTCAGAGACAAAGAAACGACAACTTCAGAAATAATTTTTGGATGTTTTCACGCATTGTTCCCAAATCCTTTGCTAAACATTCTTTCCAAGTCCGGTTGGCCCACTATGAATCAAAAACTGCGCTAAACTCACTTTTCATACGCTTTCTCGAGGTTAGCTTCATTGGGATGCTCGACTGGCAAGTTCTGGGTTTCTTCGCTCGACTCTGGGGGTGCTGAAACGATAAGACCGTTATTAATAGACCTTCACAACCTCTAACTAGCATCAAAACACCACCAATCGGACAAAACGAGCTCCTTTTCGCAGAAATAAATCAAAAAAAATTCTCAAAATTTTGTATATAAAATCCAATTTCTTCGTTCTCCTTTAGTTTGAGCCGAAATATTTCGTCGAAAGAAAGCATCCGGCCCTTGAATTCCATTCCGTTGCCCATCCGCCGAATCTAAACTTCGAATGAAAAGTGTTATTTCAGACAGAATCCACACAAAATCTCTTCGGCATTCAAAAATTTATGGGGAAATTCAATTATAAAATCAACAATTTACATGTACAACAACGAACAAACAAAGTACATGGAGGTGTGTTCGGCCTCGGTGGATCAAAAAAAATGGGAAGGACCCAAAAATCGGAAGTGGTTCCAGACTTTTGAGTCAAATTTTTCACCGTTTAGACGTTGCGATTACCGTGATTTTGAGTGGATTCATGCGGGAAGAACAATTGAAATACCGTTTAGACTTTAGAGTTTATGGAAAATCAAAGAAAAATAATAGAAGTGGAGAGGGAAAAAAGTGGGAGTACTCGTAGAGAAGTCGGGGGGAAATACACGTATTTTAGGAATAGGTGGCTTATTACTCGGCTTATTACACTGCAGTTCCTCGGTTGTGGGCTGGGAGCGAATTATTGGAGAAATTTTTGAAATTTGGATTAAAATAAGTGACAAAAAGTAGTGGAATATAAAAGGTTCAGAGTTCGGACTTTTGAGAATTTTGAATTTTTTTTTGAGCAAAACTCGTATTTTACCCAGTCCATGCGCAAGGCGTCTTGGACCTACAACAAATATGGCGGCAAGATAAGTTACAAACAACGAGAAGATAAGAAAATCGAAGAGCTGACGTTGATAATTAATAGGAAATTCATTTTCAATATCAATAAGAAAGACCATTAAAATAAGAGAGGGGAATATTTCTGGTTGAGGTGTACATAAATTAGGGCTAGCAAGAGAAAGATTTGGATGCTGTTCGTCGTCTGAAAATAGATTCTGGTTGGAGGATGGGGAAAGAGTGCGAATTTCGAGTCTCGACAGATTTAGAGCAATTTCAGACATAAAATATTCAAATTCAAGATTTGTAACAAATTTTTTGGCCATGGAATTTTCTTTCTGACAGATCAAATCCACATAAATGTCTGAAAGGAATCCTATCCCTTTGATTTTCAAAACTTTCTCGCTCAATTAAAACACTAACCTTTTAAAATTTAAAATATTTTTAAATCGGCAGTGATCTGAAGGCCAAGCTATGATCATCATTGACAATTACCTTTCCCAAAACTACTTTAACCGCCTTTTCAATACCAACATCAAAAATCTTCACATCTGAAACGGGCCTGAAAGTATTTCGGCTGTTTTTTCGACATTCAGATCAATTTCGGATCTGGTGCCAGCTAAATGTAGCCAGGTTGACCTTGGTTTTCAAATCACCGCCAATTTCATCTCGAAACTAGCTCATTCTGTTAAAACCAGGAGTTCGCACCCTTTGCCCACTCAGTCAGCCAATCGGTAAATAGTACCGGCCTGTTCAAAGTGGCGGAAACATCTGATCATAATCCTGGAAAAGAGGCCTTCGGTCAACTTTCGGGCTCTGCTTTCTCGGTGGCCTTTTATTCGCCTTCTTGGCCTTGACCCTTCGCCATTCCTCGGGCGTTCGTTTCTTGGGCTCTATGTTCTCCGACACCACCGATTTCATCGAATCCGTTCTGGATATTGTGCACCCATCACTTCTGGACCCCGAATTCCCTGACACAATCGGCGCCCCGAACACTTCGTCATCAGCGGCAAAGGTTGTTGAGGTTGGTGAAGGTGTAGATGAGCATGAACTGGCCGTTTCGTAGCCCGAAGAAGCCTGAGAGTCCGACACCGAAGGTGTCGTGGGCTTGGCATGGATTGTGAGATCGGTGATCAAGTTCAGAAGGGAGATACGATCTCTTCGTTCCGCCGATTCCATCTGATAATAAGGTGAGTATCGGTTGGACGGGCTGGATTTGTACGCATTCATGTGTCTGTGGCGCCTCATGGCGCTGCGCGATTGCTGGTAGTGCCATTCTTTGTTCCGCAGAATCTAAAAAAAACAAAAATGTTACCCAAAAAAATAAAAATAAATTGCAAAAAAAATTAAAAAAAAAATCTTACAGCCTCTTGCCGTATATCCTCCGCCAAGCCTGACACATCCCTCGAACACTGGCAGCGCTCTGGCCTATCGAATGGATTCACCGCAACAACATCATATCCAGCTCGGGAACAGAAGAAGTTGTCGTGTCCATAGATTTGGGAGACATTCCTCGAGAAATCTTCCGGATCCATGTAGAAGATTGGCGCATGCGGCGGTATCTCCACATGTTTCCTTCGTTCCGACTTCTGACTCGTGTTCGCATGCCGTGGGGCCGATTTGGATCGGAAACCTGGTATAACTACAGAATTCGGCTGAAGAGACTTGGAGGTGGCAGATGAGACAGGAAGACACAAAACAGACGAATTAGAGACAGGCAGACACTGAGAAAAGAGTGCACGTCGCTCCGACAAGACAGTCGCAGAGTGCATCGACGGTGAGGCGACCGCACTGTGCGCGGCCAACGTCGTGGGAAGACGGGTGGGCGACGTGGACGGTGGGTCGGATGCTTTCTTCCTCGCTTCTTCCGGCCCTTTTTCGGGCTGAGACTTGCCTTCCGTTGACGGCGCTTCCAGGACGGTGCCCTGTTGCTGGACCTGGTTGATAGCCGCCAGTTCTTCCGCATTTTCCGGCAACGCCATCGTATCACTGAGCTGTTCGATGGGGGTTCGGGCACGTTCCGCCCTTGCCTTGGCCGCCGACTCGTTCGAATTTACGCCATTCTGAGGTTCGGTGGTAGACGTCGCCGCTTTCTAAATGACAACATGCAAAATCTCAAAATTTTAGACATACCTCAGCTGTGGTCGACGCCGAACGAGCCAGTGAGCTAATCAGCGGTGAATTGACGGCCGAAACGCGTTGGCGGCCTTGCATTCGACCTTGAGTCAGTTCCTCGACAGTCAACCTAAAAAAACGATAGAATCAAACTACAAATTCAAATAAAATCGACCAAGAACGCATAGATCAAAATAATACAGTTCCCCTTACCATTTGCTCAGCTCATTACGCTTGGCGTAGCTGGGCTGGACAAGCATCGTTTCCTTGTAGGTCCTCGAGGCGTATCCAGCCGTGGTGACCGTGTCGTTGAACTGTTGGATCTCCTGGGTTAGGTCGATCGATCTCTTCATCTGGCTGTTCAAGTCGAGCCCGATGAACCAGAGGGTGATGACTGGGTTCCTAAAAGCAAAAAAACATAAAAAACCGTTACTTGGAGTTCCCACGCTATTTAGTTTCGTAACATACTCATATGGAGCCGTGATGCCGGAGTCCGCTTTCGGTTTATACTGTTTCGGATTCACATGCCCGATATTCACCGCGGCGTTTCGTTCCAGGGCCGAGATCAAAATACGAATCTTGGATTCCACCAGGCCTGTGAACTTGACATGATCATCATGATTCTCGGTGATGCACATCAGGACCAAGAAATGCTTGTATCTGGAGAAGAAATTCACCTCTTCAAAGAGCCTTTCCCACGGAGCCGTGCCATTGATGATGTCAAGGGTGAGTTTCAGACCTAAAATACAACAAGGCTCAACCACAAAAATAAAAAAATTCTAATTTGATAAAGCTCTGCTCACCTTCTTGAAACTCATGGATCAACACCTGCCGTGTGCTCTTCGTCACATTGTACGTTGAGTTCTGTTCGGGGAAGGCGGGTGTGATGATGGGCATCAGATGGTAACGGTCCGCCACTCTCGTCCTGGGATCCCATACCAAGTCCCTCAGGGCGGGAATATCCGGTCTTTGTGCGTTATCCGTGTCCTTCAGGAAGACGGGATGAGGCCATTCCCAGGTGGAGAAGACCAAGAAGAATTTCTCGAGTAGAATGGCTGGCGCGGCGTTCGGGTAGAGTTGGCAAGTTCTGGCAACAAGAATCGCCCATGAAACTCCACCGAGGAAACCAAGGACGTTGGAGTAGATTCCATGGTCTAAAATAAAATCCACAAATATTTGTGTAATATAATTTATGATGCAGAATCAAAAAACGTGCATCCTTCCATCACCCTCAGTTAAGCTCAGGTCGCTTCTCTTTTCTTCTTCGAAATCAACAAGGGACTTCGGCGAGACTTTGAAATCAAAGACTCTCGTCAGTCCTCACTGCGATTTCCTCTGTTCAAAGTGTGTTCATCATTGCAAAACTGAAGGTGGTGTCAAGCCTGTATCCTATCCTCCTTTCCCCTAAAATCCGAAAGAAAACAAAACAGAAATCGAACTCACTTTTTGCCCACAACTTCACAGCTCTCAGTGTGATTATGAAGTTCTGCCGGTTGGGAATCAGCCTGAGGATTTCATCGGCAACTCGACAACCTAAGACACCATAGAAATAAGCGAGATGACCCTACCATTCAACGATCTGATCGATTTCTCATCCAGATTTCTAAGCAACATATCATCGCTAAGATCTTCATCTTCTGCGACGGCCTTTAGTGCCAACCTAGCGAACAGAATATCGATATCTAATCCGCTGTATTGAAGTTTGATCACGGGCACGAAAGCATCCTCCACAGCATGAAGATCGGAGACGTTTTCATCCTGAATGTCAAGTGTTATCTTTTTATCAAAATAACCATGCACATGTCAATTATTATATATATTATACTTTTTACAAACTGAATCAGCTCAGGATCGCTTCGATTTCGTCCTTAAATTCAGGGGACACTTTGAACACGCTGAAAAATTAGCGTGTTCGCAGCTTCGACCCTCAAATCTCTGTTCAAAGTGTGTTTCATCATTGCCGATCAATCTCAATTTCCAAAAAACGACCGAAAAAAATTAAAATAATTGGACGAGCCCTCTTCTTACCTGTTCCAACATTTCGTAAAAGCTTTTGAAGAATTCAGCGCGCTGTACATGTCTGGGTGCAACACAGAGACTGTCAATATCGGCGCCTCGTGTGTGAACTCCCAGTCTGTATGAGCCGAATGTGAACAGCTTCCCTCCGACTTTCTCCAATGCTTCTGGTGGGACCTTCCCTTCTGACGCCATCATAACCCATTGCCTGACCAAGGCGTTAATCTTTCGGAGTACATCGAGACGCTTTTGAAGCTCTTCTTGACTCTCGAAGACGTTGAAAGAAGACAAACAGTCGTTCAACTAAAATTGAACTCTAATTAGTGGTGAAACAGCGACATAACCATCAAACATCAGAATCTTCTCCTAAAACCCAAAAAAAAACAATGTAAAATCAAACTCACTTTACTGGTCAATTCGTTGTCCTTTTCTGTGGGTGGTTTCGTGCATATAGGCTGTGAAACACCAAACTGCGGAACAGTCGATCCATCCGGGAGGGCTGGATCGAGGGCGGCGGACGCCACGGATGACTGCGTGGCCAACGCCATTGCCGGTCGACTTCTCGTTCAATCAGCAATCAGTTTATCGACCAGTTCAGATGTTATCTTGGCCTTACGGTCTCATGCACGGCCGCTAGTCCAATTCAATGTGAAGATGGACCTGGATCTAAAATAAAGGGTATACTTACTTTCAAAGTATTTAAAACAAAAGATACTCTCGAAACTATCAGTTACGGACGATATTATACTAGACAAAATAAAATTAAACCGTTTCTCCGCCAAAGTTAAAATCGATCCCCAAACAAGTCAAAACCCGCATTTAGGGAGTCAAAAAAGACCTCGCGCTTGTTAGCACACCTTCACTTAGACGCTGCCCATCTGATCAGTCTCACTTTTCGTGTCTGCCAGAAAAAAAACATGAAAGACAAATGGATCCCAATAATTTACATAAAATGCGACTACGCTGCCCGAATTGAATAAAAAGACGTCTCTGAAAGAATTGATAAGATCATAAGAGGTAAATTTTAACCGGCAAAAAGACAAAAATTAAAGAAATACATCCGGTAAGAGCGCGAGTCAAGTACAATATAAGATATTGCAAAAAAATATTTTAATAAGCAAAAACTTGATAAAATGCTCAAGTTCTTTGATCAAACAGTTATAAAGAGCATCAAAAATGTCACAAAAAAATATAAAAAACTGCCAACACTTCTGTCAGAAAGTAAAATTGCCAGGAGAAAACCACGAGAAAAAATGTCAAAAATATGCATAAACTCAAAGAATTTTGTGAAAACGTCGATTTGCATAATTTTTTAAAAATTTTTAGACCACAACTCCACCAAAATTTTCAATGTTATCGTTCCAAAAATAAAAAATAACTTTCATCGGGTAGTCGCAAAATTCAGCGAGACCTGATGCTCTCAAGGTCAGCTGAGATAGTTTCGGGCGGAATTATCGACGAAATCAGCTGAATCTGCACGCTCAACGCAGCCACGGATCCTGGACTTTGGCTAGCCTCGGGCAACACTCGGATCGCACTCACTTTTTACAGAAAAATTGGAGGAAGGAAACCGATCAACTGTATAGTTTTAAAATTGGATCAAGCGAGGAAAAAAACACCAATAAAACGCATAAAATACGAGTCAAACACGGGCCCAGGGCATCTTCTACACTTGTAAATTTATCGATTCCGAGAGGACGAGAACAGAGCTCTTGCGGCGGGAAAGGACATTATACATGAGTAAGATCAAGTAGAAATCCACTGCCCAAACGGTCAGAACGCTGGCGAGCGATGAGAAGAATACGACGCAGAGAGCGCGTCGTCTTCATGAGGCATTCCGCCACAAAAACAAGAAGAAACAACGAGAGGGAAGAAAGGAAGACGGAAGGGAAACACTTGACACTTTGGATTTGGGACAACTCTTCCTCCTATTTTGCCGCTTTTTGTCGACAATGGCAGTTTTACAACAATGTACGAGGTTTTTTGAGGTAATGTGTTGTTTTTATTGCTTGTTTTCCTTTTAGGCTACTGAAACTCGCCTCCCGGCATGCGTAAGATGTTATTCTTCCGTAGGAAATAATGTGAATGTCTTGTTTCTTGGCGAATAATGCCGATAACCGTGGTAAATGAGAAGATTATTGAGGATTTAAAGTAGAATAGCTCCTTTTCCTCCAAATGGTCTTTTGATTTCTCCTTGACCCTTCTCTTTCAAGCTGATATAAAGGGCAGGGGTGGTCAGCAGACCCTATTTTTCCGATTTTCGGCCCGCGGCCCGGCCCGTCTAATTGACCGGCCCGGCCCGGCCCGTCTAGTCTTTTTCCAGGCCCGGCCCGGCCCGTGACGGGCCTGGCCCGGCCCGGCCCGTGCAGGCCCGTCTATAGAGGGTTCTGCGAACTGCGCCCAGGCTCGGGATCTAAACTGAGGCAAAAAAGGCGTTGATCTAGCTAGTAAAGGATCAATGTGATAGTTTTGTGGTTGTATAATGGAACTAGAGACTTGTAAACGTTTTAGAACTTGAGAAACAGCAACTATAACAACATCAATTAATTTTCCCGGCGCGAAAACAATGAATGCCAACGGTTTGGCATTGTATTTTAGACGGGCCGGGCCGGGCCGGAAAAACCCCAGGCCCGCGGCCCGGCCCGGCCCGGCCCGTGACGGGCCCGGCCCGTTTGTCAATTTCCATTTTTGAGGCCGGCCGGCCCGTTTGGGCCGGGCCGGGCCGGCCGGGCCGGGCCGGCCCGGCCCGCCGACCACCCCTGCCGACCACCCCTGATAAAGGGGTCTTTGTGCTGCGTCATGTGTTGCACTCTCGACTTTCCACTTGTATTTTTTTGTGCGGCGTTCGAGGCTTATTCATTTCTGTGAGGAATATTGTGTTATCATGGATCCTAGCTATGTGGAAAGTGGGAATTACGTGTATATTAATCGATATCCAGCTTGTCGGTTCTTCAGCCACATTCGAACAGCTTTTGGTATCTTCACTGTGTTTAGTAAGTTATTTATAATATTGTTTGGTTGACGTTTAGAGTTGAAAATTTTCTTTGATAAGATGTTCTAGCCCATGATAAACAGGGAACTTCTTGATTTTGAGCTCAAAAATCTGTCGCAATTGCTGTTTGTCTAAAAATAAGAGAAAATCGTCCACATTGCAGTATTATGGTGTGCCGCGTTCGACTCCGTTATTGGCATCACCTCTGTGCCCATCGGGATATATCTAGCTGTGATCAGTTGTCCAGTATTTCTTCTCGAATGTGGAAAGGTTATCCGGATTTGTTGCGGGTAAGGTTTTTCAATTTGAACTTTGATTTTAGTCAAGTAGAAGATGTCTAAGTCGATCTCGAGTTTATTTTGGACCTGATTGCTTTTGATTTAGAACTGACGGAGCCCTATGTTCGGTCTTTAGTCTGGTCCTTGGATTTGATCGCTGGAAGCGTGGGATCTTTTACTGTGTCATGGCTGTTCCTTGTTTCTTCCAGTCGATTGCGACCTGGTTCTCCGAGTTCGCTGGTAAGCCCGGCTTTCCTGTTTGTGATCTTGGTTTAGGGTTGATGTTGTTTATTTGTGGTTGTTTGTACGTTGCGAAAGTGTTTCAAAAGAAGAAAGTTCCGACGTTCGTCCCGGACCCGGCCAGTGCCACGGGAACTCGGCAGTAAACAAGGTCGTTGGTGTTTGTCTCGAGAATTTAAGAAATCTAAAATGTGTAAGATAACGTCCGATCTAATTGCGGAACTTATTTTCCTTACTATTTATTGATGTTATAATAGTTTTATAAACTCAAATGTTTTATTTTCTGCTCGTCGACTCCTCGTAGTTGTGATAGTAACATATTGTTTGCAAAATTTTTGTGACAAGTGCTGTTTGTCAATATTGTAATTGGGTTCTTTTCATTTTGTACATACCGAATTTATGGCTTTCAATCTGCCAAATGGCTAGCCAAGAGGTTGGATCGACCCAAAGATTTTATAAATAATAAGGCAGAACTTTCTGTTGGTCCATAGAAAGTTCTCTCTTATTATTTTTAGAGTCTTTGAGCCGATTCAACTTGTTTGCTAGTCATTTACGCAGATTGCAAGCCTTAAATTCGGTCTGCGCGAAGTACAACACTTTTTATAATTGATCAGCTAATGGGGGTAGTGAATATTGTGGTGTCATAGTCAGTTTAAAATTGCTTTATTGTTTCAAAGCCGATAAATATACTACCGATTTAGTTTCTTCGTTTGGTTGCATCTTTATTGCGCGAGTTCGCGTTTGAAACGCAAGAAATTTATTTATCATATTTTTCAGGCAATCCGAAGACATTTCCCAGTTAAATTTCCCACCTTCTATCCGGCGATCTGAAGCTCCCGTCTGGTCTATTTTTGTCTAGAACGGCTAACAGTCCGTTGTTTGTTTGAGGAATGGGGAGGGTTGTCGTGGTGTTGTTTGTGCTGCCTAGTCTTCTCGCACTCGCTGACATGGACTCGGAGGAATTTTTATACATCAAAGCTCGTAAACGTAAGGTGTTTCAATTTGTGTTTTTTGATTTTTAGACCCTGTGAGGATGGTGTGTATTAGAATTATGTGTGGTTTTGGCTTTAGGCGTCTTTTTGAAGCTGTAGTTTGAAGTTTCTTTCTGGTCTTTGAAAAAGCAATTTCTCATGAGAAAGGTTGTTTGTGCTGTTTGATTCTCTTATTATTAATGTTGTTTTTTACCGAATTTGAAGGTTTTATAAAATTTAAATTGGTTATAAGAGTCGAATATTTCTATTTGCGATCCTTTCGGATATTGTTTTAAATGAAACGTTTCAAAGCCTTAGATTTTTTATAACCGCGGGTCTTAATCGATCTGATTTTCATAAAGGTTTCTTCCTTGAGTTTGCTGATAATGTCACATATTTACTGCGTTGTTTTTAGACCTAAAATTTAATGATTATTTTGCCGATTACTAGATAGTTTATTGGTTCTTTTATAAATTTATTTTAAAAGGAAGATGAGAAAATTCTGTTGTTGCCGTCCAACCTGGGTCTTTTAATTAGCTACGGATGGTTTGATCAGACTATTAGGTGTAACTCCCAATCAAGTGTTTAGGGAAAATTTTATTTCACGTTACAAAAACATCTGAAAAGTCACGTTTTTGTCAGAGTTAAACGACTAGACAATGTTTAAGAGCACGAAGAATTGCCTTCTGGTATATAAAGGTGATTTTCTGATTCGAAAATGTGTTCAAAGGGGGAATAAACAGAACGAAAAGTTTTGCTGATTTTCCTCTGGCACGACTTTATGGTTTGGTATCTGCTAATGGTTAGCCAACGGGTTGCTTTGGTTTAAAAATATTCAAAATGGCTCTAAAGGGATTGGAAACTCCATCTCAGTTAGAAGATGTAACTATCAATTAAACTACAGTGGGGGACCTGATGCAATGACAAAAAACGTACCATTTCGCATCCGCGAAGTATCAAAAATATGGCAAAATGCTTCCCTCTCCAAGTGAAAAAACTCCGATTTGAAGGGCTCTCAAAAAAGCGAGCGGATGGGCTTTTGAAATCGGAGTTTTTTCTCTTGGAGAGGGACGTATTCAGCCACATTTTTGATACTTCCCGGATGCAAAATGGTACGTTTTTTGCCACTGGATCAGGTCTGTCACTGTACTGTACATAGATTTTGGGTCGTCTAGCTTTTGGGCTGACCATTTGCATGAGTTTACCAGTCGTAAATTCGACCTACCCGAAGTGAAATTCCAGCTGATTTTGCGTTAGATCTTTCTTGTCTTTGTAAGGAAATTTATCCAACTCTTTGTCTAACAAGGGAAGTACCCCAAGTGCGACGCTCAGATTTTCTTTAAATTTTGCACACACGTCGGGAATAGACTAAATATCAATTCTTGCAAGTTTTAGCTCGCGCTTTGCAGGCGCCGCCGAGATATCGAACGATTTATGCCGCCGAGAGAGCACGCTAAACGTGGAGAGCGGTCAAAGAGAAAAACGCTTTTTGGCCATAACTTTGGCAGTTTCCAGCGGAAAAATTTGATTTTTTGAAGAAACATTATCCTTTACGGTAGAAATAGGCATGAAACTTTTCGTGCCGAAATTCGACAAAAAGTCCAAAATTTTCGCCGACTTTCGATCTAAAAATCTCGGTTGTTTCTGCAAAGCGCGAGCCAGGATTCTCGCATATATTTTTTAAAAAATTATTCTAAATTTGTTTCATCAAAATCTGAGCGTCGCACTTGGGGTACTTCCCCTGTAAATTGTCTTTTTAGATAATAAAACGTCATTGCTTTGTCTAACAGCTTCTGTTTTTCTAGCCCAATGCTACTGCCCACCCATTCATCTATTGCCGGTCTGCTCCGATCACTCCTGTCCAACCACTTCCATCCAACATCATCCCAATCTAAAGCAAGTCTGCTCTGATCGTCGTCTCACCTGCAAGTCTAAGTCCACAGAATATGTCCGGATTGTGGCCCTCTTTCCCAATAGACCCGTCTATCTAACCCGATGGACATTACACTCCACTTTTGTGGATATCCATTGTATTCGCGGCGGATTTTTCAATGATAATATGTTTAGCCTCAAAGGCGCCAAATTCGAATGTCTAACAGGAGATCTCAACGACTTATTTGGTAAATAAATGTTGTATATATTGTAAATTACATCTTTTTTATTGTTGATGGTAATTTTCCCCTCATTTCGAGCTACTTTGCTGCTTTTGTTTTGTGATTTTGATTTCGATATCCGAATTGAAAACAGTTTTACTGCTGTATTTCCTCGTTTGTAATGAACTCCGAAGAAAGTCGCTAATTTTTTCCGACTCCTTCTCAAAAATCAGCCTAATTCAACGTGACTTTATTTGAAGAATGCTGTAAAACGAACGGTTAATTAATTCAACTCCCTTGTTTAAATTTGAGCCCAACCTTTTGTGTCCGCTTCTGTCTTTCCAAAATTTTGGGGGTGTTTCTTTTGACCATAAAAATCGATCTGAATTTAATGAAAAGGAGGGGTCCGTTCGGTTTTAGTCTGAATATTATCAGTTTAAATTTATTTTCCGCGTTATTTGGGCATCTTATCAACGCGTATAAGCGAAAATTTTGGTTTAGAATGTGTATTTCAGCGGAAGTTGCGGTATAATGGGTTGGTTTGAAGTCTTTACCCTGTGGCTATCCCTCTACTCGATCTCCTTTACATTCCTCCCATTGTTTGTGGTACTGGATTGGAAACGAAGAGGGAGTGCGGATGGTTTCTCATCGATTAATTATGTCCTACCGTTACTTACGTGAGTTTGTTTTTTTAGGAATGCACATGAAGATATAGCCTGGGAAATAAGGGAAAAAATTGAAAAATCAGACAGTGTAGGGGCTAAGCCAACTCGTGTTTGAGGCTCTGTCCTATTGTTGCTGTATTTTAATCGGAAGGTTGTCAATCGATGAAATGGATCATTGGGAAAAAGACGATTGCTAATAAGGGATGTCCGGAAAATAAAACGGCCTCTTTTGTTTGTTTTTCCTTGTCGTCTCAATTGCCAGCCCACAAACACTCTTTTTTGCTAATTTTCGGCTAGTCGAGATCTCAGTGGGCTCAGCCAGCATATTAAAAGTTTATTAGCCTCGGAGGACCCGGCAAGAAGGTCATAAGTCGTAGAAGATCCGAACCGGGTTAGCAAGTCTCCATCGGGGCTCATGTGTTTTCATGCGGCTGGCTGACCCAATTGAGGAAATGCTGTGCCGAAAATTAGCAAAAAAAGTCTGCAGTGAGGGACCTGATCCAGTAGCAAAAAGCGTATCATTTTGAATCCGGGAAGCATCAAAAATGTGGCAAAATGCTACCCTGTCCCAGTGAAAAAGCTTCCGTTTGAAGGGCGCGCTTTTGAAATCGGAATTTTTTCACTTGGAAAGGGAAGCATTTTGCCACATTTTTGATACTTCCCGGATGCAAAATGGTACGTCTTTTCCACTGGATCAGGCCCCAGTGTATTTAGGGGTGGCAATTGAATCGACAAGGAAGAACAAACAAAAGAAGCTGTTTTATTTTCCGGCATCCTTTAGCAATCGTCCTTTCCTAATAAAGTTAAATGCGGCCTAGATTTGTCTAATATGCGATTCAAGTCCTCTTAAAAAATGACCTGTTTGTATTACAGTATGTGCTGCTGGTATCGACACGGTTTGATGACCAACGACAATGTAAATATCTACCTGAACTTGGTGAATTTGGTCGTCTTCTCTTTCTACACATTGGCGTTTGCCTATTATCAGCCAATTAGAGTGCGTTTTAAAAGATTGTACTTCCATATATTTCGCAACGATTTTGATGCTTTTTTTGTAGAAATACCTCTATATCCAAGTGATTTCCTTGGTGTTCACGATTTACTCCATCATCCAGTATGTTGATGGTCATCAGGAACATGAAAAGCCAGATGTTATGGCTTCAGTAGCGGCCGCAACTCAAATTATCAGTTTGTTTGGTGGTGTTAACGATATCGTAAGTTTTTTTGAGCGAAGCAAGCTTTGGTTTTATCTAAATGCTGTTAATTCTTTTTAATTTTAGATCCGAGCCATCTCCTTGAAGACCACCGAATACATTCCAGCTTCAATTCAGTTTGGTATCTTTGCGTTGACCCTGCAATGGACTTTCTACGGGATCGCAGTGCAAAATTATTACATTGCAGTAGGTTTTTTGTTAAAAATGAAATTTTTAGAACTTAAATTGCCTAAAAATATGTCATTGCGAAATGGTGATTTTTGGTTCGTACAAACACATTATTTTTGCAAATTTTGTTGCATTATTTTCCAAGTTATTCGCAAAATACCCCTTTCAGGCCTCATTGGCCTACCCTGCATAGTTGTTTGTTGTAATTTCAACGAATTTTTAGCGAAAATTCTAATTGATTTCTTCATTTTCAGGCCGCGAATGTGGCTGGTCTACTGGTGAATGTGGTCACGCTCGGCCTCTACTTTGTCTACCCACCGAAAACGTGGGTGGTCCCACTATTTGGCGTCGGTGGAACTGGCAAAAAACGGGACTAAAACACGCATAGGAATGGATTTTTATTGGATTTGGCTTGTTTATTACAATAGATATATCATTGGCATCTCGCGGATGCTTTGTTTCTTGCCATGTAAAGAGATTTTAATATTTTTTTCAAAATAAAATTTTCACCGTATTTCACCGATTTCTTTGAATTTTTTCGCATAAAAATGTCGAATTGTCACGAAATCTCCCCCAAATATGCAAATTTCCCGCATTTTCTCGCCGAAACCGAAAATGCGGCCCATTTTGTCGGGGCGGGTTAGTTATCTCGGCTGCTGCTCTGTCGGACGGTTGGTTGTGTTCGTCGTTGGCTACTGTCTGACTGAAATGGCCCAGGAGTTGGTTCAAATCAATCCCGGCACTCAAGTCGAGCGCTGGACTGTCACGAAGAAGTTGGGAGAAGGTGGTTTCGGTAAGTGCCTGCGGAATGTCCCGATTTTGGAGGGGTTTGTGGAGGAGAATTCGTGGATTTGACGACCAATTTCTGGCTTCCAGGTGCCGTCTACAAGGTGTCCGACCCCACCGGAGAGTATGCGTTGAAAGTGGAAGGTGCGAATGAGCAGATCCAGGTCCTCAAGATGGAGGTGTACGTGTTGACCGAGCTGACCAAACGAGGATCCCGGCACTTCTGCAAGATTGAGGACAAGGGACGCTTCGGCAATTTCAATTATGTGGTCATGACTTTGGTGGGCAAATCCCTGCAGGATCTGAGGAAGGTGGGTCAATGGGAGCGATCGTTTTTGTGATGGGGTTCTAAATTTGGAATGGGGCCTAAATTTGGGCCAATTCTGACCAGTTTCCGCAAAGTTATAAGTTGTGGCCAGAATAAGGAATTTTTACCTTTTGATTTCTTTGACGGTTTGAATCGTAATTTGTTTAATTTTCACCATAAAATTCGGGACTTTCAGGAAGGTCCAGGCCAGCACATGAGCATGGGCACAGCCATCGGATGCGGGATCCAGTCGCTGGAGGCGTTGGAGGATCTGCACAACATTGGCTACCTGCATCGCGACGTGAAGCCGGGCAATTACACGATTGGCCGCGCCGAACTCGGCGAACTCCGCAAGATCTACATTCTCGACTTTGGAATGTGCCGCAAGTTCACCAACGATCAGGGAGTCATCCGAAAACCGCGCGCCGCAGCCGGATTTCGTGGAACCGTGCGCTACGCACCCATCTCGTGCCATTTGCAGCGCGAGCTGTGCCGCAAGGACGACTGCGAGACCTGGGTGTACATGTGTGTGGAGCTGACCACCGGAAACTTGCCGTGGAAGAATGTCCAGGACATGAACCAGGTGAGTCGATGCTGGGGAGAGATACGGGTTTTTGGAACATGGGTTTTAGTAGTTTCATTCACACCGAATCGAAAAAAATCGACCGATTTTTTTTGGTTTTAAAAATGAAAATTTGGCGAAAATAGCCGTTTTTGACGTAAACAATGAGAATTTGGCCGAAATATTCACAAAAATTTCATTTCTATTTTTATTCTTCTACATTGAATTTCAGGTCGGTGAATACAAGAAGCGCTGCCGTACCCCGCAAGGTCTGCAGGAGCTGTTTGCCGGCTGTCCCCGCGAATACATCGAAGTCCTCCAATACGTGGACTCGCTCAAGTACTACGACGCCCCCAACTATCAGAACATCTACGCGATCATGCGCCGCGCCTTCACCAGCATGGGCGTCCAGGAGTTCCCCTACGACTGGGAGAAGGGCCCCGGTTTTTAGGTTTGGTCCCGCGTTTCACGAGTAAACTGAAAGAAATTTGAACATCGGATTTTGATTTGACTGGGGGGTTTTACCATGACATGTCATGACATATCATCTTATGGTAGAAAATAGTGCGTTTGTTGGAAATGTGGCGCTACGAAATTTATAGTCAACGACAGTTCGGCGGTTCTTTGGGGTGCCTCAATTTGTCGTTGTATGCATGGGAAAGGCTTGGCTAAGACTTAGAGTGAGGGACCTGGTCCAGTGGCAAAAAACGTACCATTTTGCATCTGGGAAGTATCAAAAATGGGGCAAAATGCTTCCCTCTTCAAGTAAAAAAAACTCCGATTTCAAAAGTTCGCCCGCTCTTTTCGTGAGGGAAAGGGCCCTTCAAAATACTTCCCGGATGCAAAATGGAACGTTTTTTGCCACTGGATCAGGTCCCTGTACATTTTAGTTAACAGAAATGATTGGATAGGTCTGGTCCCAGGATAATTTATCACATATTTTTAGGGTATTTTCATGTACATACCTGCTGCAATAACACCGGGGTAAAACTTGAGGAGAATTGTTTTTGGGGTAAGCTTTGGCGTTCTTCATGCGGCAATAACACAGGATTTTAAGAAAGCCAGGGTTAGCAGGATCTATTCGCCGAATGTCCGCCGAGGATTCAACGGCTAGGCCTCGTAGGCACTTCCTACCACCTTTTTTTGACTCTCCACCTGGCCTATACCACGTATCGATCAATTTTGTGTCGTCCCGAACTGCCGTCGACCCGAAAAGTCTGGAGGGCCAACCTTTCGCCGAATCCAAGCGACGGTATCTTATATCTATTATTTACTTCATATTCAAATAAATATTGTAATTTTCACATTTTCTCTCGGAATAAAACCGACGAATCCTTCAGACAGGAGGACCCGGTTGAGGTTGTTCGTGTTGGTACGCACAATGGCATTAATGGTACCAAGAGGAAACAGTTGGCGTGCATTTCTTGCAGAGATCGTTCGCGACTCATCATCGTCGGGTCGGCGAGGGTGCCACGCCTAAAAAGGTTGGTATAAAAAATACTTTTATCTGCCAACAAACTTGCTTACGCATGCTCAACATGTATGCGGATTTGTAATCTATCTACTCACCTATACGGATTGTACTTGGTGTTCAGCAAATGCCTCTCCAGACTTTTTCTATACATAATCCCCACTGACGGGGACGGGGCAAACTTTTCCAACAACCCCATTTGATGTTGACGTCGCACATTGGTCAACCAAAACATGTCGTCTTTCAAGGCACGACGATGCCGCTAAAAAACGCAGTTGAAACTACCGATTATTTTGTCAGTCTCTCAGAAAAACGTGGCAAAAAGAGTACCTTTGACATCCAGAAATACAGCAGCGGATTAGAAACAATACTCGACATGGCCACAGCGTGCGCATTCAACAGTTTGAAGTACATTTGGACTTCCAGCGCGGAGACGCCAATGTCACGGAGAATGTTGACAATCGTCAACGGCATCCAAGACCCCATGAATACGGCGACCATCAGGATTAGGACGTACATAACCCGGCGTTTTCGGACCGACGTGTGAGCCTGTTGAGCCTCAGTTAGCATGGAACCGGTGTTCACAATCCAGTCTTGTCGGACCTAAATTTGACGATGATAAAAGAAAGGAATAGAGTTGTCAAAGCGCTATGTTTTTTGAGAATTGAAGAGCGGCGCACGTCAAACTGAAACAGGCAAAAAAAAAGCCGGTAATGGATTGGCAATTCGCCAAAAAAAAAGATGCGAAAAAACCTTTTGTCGAGGAAGAAATGGGGAATTTTTGGGGCGAGAGAGTATGTTTTCAGCGTCTTTTCTCTGTCTTCTTTGTGCAATCAAGACGAAGTGTAAAAAACCGATAGCGAAGAGTCTATGCCGGCCACGGGACTCCTTAGTTTGACGTGCGGCGGGCCCACACTTGCGGGCAACTACTTTGCAGACAGCTAGAAGAACCACGGAGATTCTGCAGGCATGTTTGGAAATCAGCCAACATTTGCTTACAATAAGAAATTCAAACGAAGGATTTGGCCGTTAGATGTAGCGAATCAAGCTCACTAGTGGATAAGTGGCTTGAATCGTCATCATAAGGTTAGCCAAGCATTTTTAGCATTTTTTGAAAACAAACAACCATAACTTTGAAAGCGGTGAATGAATTCAATAGATTCGTATAGTTATCAGTACCAGAGAGCTGTCAATATAAAATTACTATCATACTACGTTGATGACGGGTTTCCTATTCTACAGACCTGATCCAGTGGCAAAAATTGTACGATTTTGAATCCGGGAAGTATCAAAAGTGTGGCAAAATGCCTCCCTCTCCAAGTGAAAAAACTTCGTTTTGAAGGGCGCGCCCTTTTTCGTTATAAAAAGAGCGGGCGCGCTTTTTAAATCTGCGTTTTTTCACTTGGAGAGGGAGGTATTTTGCCACATTTTTCGATGCTTCCTGGATGCGAAATGGTACGTTTTTTGCCACTGGATCAGGTCCCCCGCTGTAATAATTCTAATCGAAAAATGCCGGCTGCCCGAAAGTGTCACTCCCGAATATCTTTCGCTCCGTTTCAACCGCTTACCTTTTGCAAAATCTTCCAATAACAGAAAGCCATAATCGAAACCGGTATGAGATATGTCAATATCAGCAGCGCCGAGCCGTACGTCAACTTGACCCTCGTGTCGGTGGGCCAATTGTACTCGCCGCAAAACTGCCCGCACAATGTTATATTGGCGAATGCAATATGTTTCAATTGTTGGGCGACGAATAGGGGCAGCGAGATCACGACCGCCGCCGTCCAACAAACCAACATGAAACACTGCGCCTGACGAGTGGTCCATGGAACCTTCAGCGGGGTTACAATGGAACGATAGCGGTCCACCGCGATCAGACACAGACAGTAGGTTGAGATCAGGACTGAAATCGGAGATTGTCGAGGCGAATCACACATGAAATTGTTATTAATCTTTTTTTCCGTATGATGTTGGTTATTTTCATCCCGACGGCCTCAAAATATCCCCCACCCGGAACCACTTATGACATTTTTAGTGGGCAAAATGTTTTTATAGCGCCCTTAAAGTGGAACGGCCGACTAAAATAAGTCCCACGGGACGAAAATTCCCTTCCTTGGGATTAAAATTGATTACAGTTTAGATTCTAATTCAGTTTCTGCCATGTTTTCCGAAAAGACAACATGGCCCAGGGTTTCTGGCAGATATCTGTTTGGAGCACAGAAAAATTGGCCAAGGCGGGGGTGGAAAATAACAGAGGGAAAAAAGTTATGACAGGAGGACAAAATAGATGTAGTATTCTGTGTTGTTTTGCTTGCTGGTCCTAAAGATTTGTGGTTTTTACTTGGCAGGTAATAGATATAAATTTACAAACGTGAAATTTTTAGAATCTCAGGGTTCCTCATTTTTGGTATATCACTCCAAAAACCCTTTAGGCAATTTGTAAACATTTCTTTTTTTATTTACTACAATTACTTCGTACCAAAGAAACTGGTGGTTTTCAAAATCAAAGATGAAAATGCGGGCAGTTTTGCTAAAAAATCTTAATTTAAAAAAGCCCTGAGGGGATATTTCAATAAAAATTTGGTTGGTCAAAAATATAGACCTCATATGTCAAAAGAATATAATTTTGGAAAACTTTGCTCAATTATCTCCCCCGTTATCAACAAAATAAATCCTCCATGTCTTTTTTAAGCCAATGATTTTCAAACCTTTCGGCCGCTCTTTGGTTTTCGCTCTATCCATCTCTGTTTATGCTTCAACTGGAAAATTAACTTCTTGGCACCGAATTTTGACCGGAAGTTAATTCAATTACCCCGTTTCGAGGTCTGTGGAATTCGGATATTTTTGCGTATACCCGGGGGTCTAGTTTCAGAAAAGGCTTCCAAATTTAGAAGCAGATGGGAAAGTAAGTGCTCAAAATGGTCGAAAAATAGGGTTTATGGCCTGAGGGTGGAAATAAAAGGGCGAATTTAATTGAACTAATTAATTTTTTCGGAAAACTTACCCGAGATTCCTTGACAAAATGGGACCAATTTACACATGATATCGCCGAAAATCCAGCGTTTCATAAACGCCAAGACTGGAGTTATTGGCAGCGCCGTAATGCAAAGTAACTGAAATTAAGAAAGACACAGTTTTTTAATTACAATTTTTACATCACAACTGCATAGTAAACAATCAAAATTTACAAAATAATATATTTAGATGATCTACAAAACCACCGTTTTTGTCTTCTGTAATTCCAGGTAAAAGGATGATCTTTGTAAATTTTCATCCACTATTTGTCATCCAGCGGCAAAAAAAGTACCATTTTGCATCCGGGAAGCATCAAAAACCTGGCAAAATGCTTCCCTCTCCAAGTGAAAAAACTTTGTTTTCAAGTGTGCGCCCTTTTTCCTCACAAAAAGAGCGTTTTTTTCACTTGAAGAGGGAGGTATTTTGCCACATTTTTGATACTTCCTGAATGCAAAATGGTACGTTTTTGCCACTGGATCAGCTCGTCCACTGTAAACATTCCATGGACAACCCTGTATCCCCAATCTTTCTAACGTGGCTCAAGCCCACTCACGAGGTCAGAAATGGCGAGATTTATGAGAAAGACGTTTGCCACAGTCATTTGTCGTCGTATTTTGGCGATCAACAACCCGTTTCCAATGAGGCCGACGACAAACACGCAGATATAATAAATTGAGTACACAATCTAAAAAATAAAACATTGGCCGTGTTAAGGTCAAAACAAAGACCGAATTCATTTATCCGATTACCTTAACGTCGAGTCTGATGGTGAGATCACGGAACCCGGCCATGATATCATTCACATCCACACATTCCACATCGCTGAGACCGTCGTCAAAACCGTCGTCCGACATGATTTTACCCGGGGATTTTTTTTTGATTTTTCCACACAAATTTCGGAATATTTCTTAGGTCAGGAACGCCAACGGGCAACAACGCCGATCACATGCGGCAGTCAAATCCATCGAGTGAATTTCAAGATCGGCACGGCTTAAAATCGAATTAATAAAAGTTTGCTGAACGTATCGCAAAGCTACGTGAAATCCGATAAGAATAGCGAACAGAAAAAAATCTTTTTTTACAAATAAAATGCACAAATTTTTAATCAAAATTAGTATACCATTTTGTCTAAAGATCAAAAAAAATTTATTTTGAAAAGGATCATCCCGCCATGTTTTATTTGAGCAATTTTTGAGAGCCGTGTCTGGGGTAATTATGCCCTCATTTAATGGCCATATCGTCATTAGTGGGGTTAAACAGCAAAAAAAGCAAAAACCACAAAATTTGAAATCAAATGGAAATTTTTGAGATGAATATCCGTAGCCAACAAAAAATATATCGTATCTAAAACATGGTAAAATACAAAAGTTTTTTTGAATATTATTTTTTGCTCTCCGTAATTTTAATAAATAATAACAAGTGTTGCAGCGCGTCTGCAGTGTCATCATTGCGAATTCGACACCAAAAACGAACTTGCCTTAAGTACGGAAAAATAAAATTGAAGAGTGAATACAAGCCGGCGGGCAGGACGGGCCGAAAGAAAAACTTGTGGAGCCCGAACGAAATTGGGTATAAAATCAGTTGGTCGTTAACTCATACTCGTCGCCGAAACTCCTAAAAGGATATTGAAGAGAGGAGGACCCTCATCTTCTTCAATTTTCCTCTTTCGAATTCCCGTATAGAGACGAACGAAAAACGGGGGCATCGGAAAGTGAAATCGAGTCAACGGAGGGATTCTGGAAGCCAATGGGCTGGCCTGTGTGATAAGAGAAACGTTTCTTCCACAAAGCGCGAATTCAACTTTCAAACAAGGGAAGTACCCCAAAATGCGACGCTTAGATTTTGTTTATTAATAAATTTTGCATACACTTTGAGTTTGGGCCGCATATGAATCTCTGAAAGTTTTATTTACAAGGGAAGTACCCCAAGTGCGACGCTCAGATTTCTTTTTAAAAATATTTAAAAAAATTGCACACACGTCGGTCATGAACTAAGCATCAATTCCTGAAAGTTTTAGCTCGCGTTTTGCAAGCGCCGCCAAGATATTGAATGATCTTTGCCGCCGAGAGAGCACGCTAAACGCGGAGAGCGGTCAGAGAAAGAAAAACAGTGTTTGGTCATAACTTTGCTAGTTTCGTGCGGAAAAAATTGATTTTTTATGGATATATTACCTTTTACGGTATAAATAGGCATGAAACTTTTTGTGCCGAAATTCGGCAAAAAGTCCTGAATTTTCGCCGACTTTCGATCTAAAAATCTTTGTTGTTTTTGCAAAGCGCAAGCCAGGATTCTTGCATATATTTTAGAAAAAAATATTCTAAATTTATGCGAAGTTTCTTCAAAATCTGAGCGTCGCACTTGGGGTACTTTCCCTGTTAGTTCGCGCCTTCCAGAGCCGAGATGTTCAATGGTCCTTGCGGGCAAAAGAGTACGTGGAACGCTGAGAGCGGTCCGCGAAAAATCATTTTTATTTCATATTTTTTCCTTTTTTTTGGCTTATAGAAAACGCGAGCTAGAATTCTCGCTTTTTTGAAAAAATTATTCTAACTTTTCGCCAAGGTTCATCAAATTCTGAGCGTCGCACGTGGACTACTTCCTTAATCAAGTAATCAAAGCTAAGTGCAACAAAACAAAATATCCTAGCGAGGAGGTTTTCGGCGTGCGTTCTTATCCCATAACATTACATCTCGTTGACAACCCCCAATCCAATAGTTTGGTGCAAAGCCGAAAAAATCTTTAGGTTTTGGAAAAGAACGCCGGAAAACGTGATGATTTATTGAAACTAGGGAAGAGGGAGGATAGAAAGAAAAAGAAAACCTGTTATAAACTTTGAGGATTTCATATCCATTGTTGTTAGGGTAGAATTAAAAAGGGTCCCGATAAACTTGGACATGGCCTTTTAAAGCGGGCCAAGAGGTCCAGGAAGAGTAATTTTACCAATAACTTAGGAAATATTGGGCTAAAATTTACAAAAATTATATTTTTATGGATCTACAAAGCCTATGTCTCTTCCTACAACGATCTTTATCACAATATCGCCTCAGGATTCACTGAAATCATCATTTTTACCAATTTTTTTTCATTTCATAACAATTTACTTTTTAATTTACCCCGAATCGAAACCCCATGTAAATAAAACTCGCAGAAGGTAGTGTTCTTAGAGCTTGAGGGGTTATAAGTAACAGTGAGTAAAACATAAAAAACTGAGGTTCTAGTGACCTCTCAAACGTGTATTTCGCTAATTTGGATCCATTACTTCACAAGTTACAAGCTTAGTAAATCTACCACGTCAAGTTGACTGACCAAAAAATTGTGAGCCCCTTCAAAAAGCTAAAACATTCGAAACCAAAACCATATATCTGCAAAGAGATTGTTACAGGTTTCCGAAGCATTTATTCCCACCACCTGCTTCTCACGAGACCTTTGCTGACCTTTGAATATTTGGGGATACCAGAAGGCTCATAAAATTTGTACCAGTTCATCAGGGCGAGAGAAGTGCTAAATAATGTTGCAAAAATTCATTTTTTGCAATAAATTTGAGATTGGACTCCTGTTAAGATCGATGGCGGTTTGACAGACCGATGGGTTATGGGCCATTAGACGACGTGTGAGAGGATATAAAGCTTTGTGGAGACTGGGAAAAAAGAGCTGTCGGAGTGACGATGGATGCGCAAAGAAGAATGCAGATGCAGTAATGCGCTTTCACAGGGTAGATGTTGGCTGTGAAACGATAAGACTTTGATAAAACTTGACAAAAATTCAGGTTACAGTTTCCCAAACGATCTTCAACTGGCTTTGCAGAGAAAATTTTTTTCCGTATTCTCATATCGGCAAGAATCACGTGGCTTGGGCCACGATCCTGAAGGGAGACAAAAGCCCAGTCTTCTAGCTACGCCAAGCTTTTGAACGCGTAAGTCCTTCAGAGGCTTATATACACGTCCAAGACACACAGCTGTGCCAAATATACAGCAGGTATGAACCTCTCACCTCACCCATTACCCCTTCATTTCTCATGCAAAAAATACGACACAAACCAATTTGAAACCAAATTGTTTGTTACACAGTCCGACCAGACCGATTTGAAACCCCGAACGCCCATGATATCCCTCCTTGAGACGAAGGAGGCGCCCCATTTACACGCATCCGAAAAAACCCTGCCCTGAGGCTAACGTCAATCATAATTACATTTGACTCGCCATCCTCATCATCTTCTGCCCTTGATGTAATTTAGGGCTTCTTTTTTGAAATTTTTATGAAAACAGCGGACGTTAAGTTTCGCGAAATCTCAAAATAAAAGGCATTTACAGTTGAACATGCAAGAATTTTACACCGAAATCGGCGGTTTAACACGAGAACGAAACTCGCCAAAAATGTCTCCGAATCTTTTTTTTGGCCTATTCTAAGCGCCAAGGTGAGCCGTTTGGTCGTGAATATGGATGCCATAAATCATCTTTACACATATTGCTCGCTTAACGATAGAGAGGCGTCTAGGAAGTCGGCGGGCCCACATTTGTGGGTAACCAGTTTGCGGTCAGCCAGTTTTCAGGTCAAATTTTTTGCGGGCAGGGACTACTTTTGCGTTGAGTTTTTAAACTTAAAAGTTTACGGGCACGAACTTCCTAGACCTAAAATAAATCACAGGGGAGGTACCCGAAGTGCGACGCTCAGATTTTCCTTACAAGGAAAGTACTTCTATGGGGTGTGGAATTACCGGTCGAGATATATATCAAAAAATTCGCAAAAATTTTCTGATTCAGAATATATATAAATTAGCTGCCTAATTTTGGTCTGATGACATGTTTTTGTCCTCAGAAGTTTTCTCGCGACACAATGCAAGTGTCTTTTTGACCGTGTTTTTACCAATAAAAAAATTTTGTTTTGTGCTAAAATAAATTTTGAGGCCTTGACAAGCCTTAAAATATCAAATTGGATTACAACTACACCTTAAAAGTAGTTCCAATGTAAAAAATGGGTTCTAGTGTGGCAAAAAAAGGAACCCGTCCCCTTCGGATTCCCAATCTAGCGCTCTAACCACTCGGCCACACCGCTCTCTTCCGAGGGAAGAGACCGAGCTCGCTTTTGTTGCCGCAGATTTGTTTCCTCGAGAAATACATTTATTGATAAAACTCGTTAATAGACCAAAATTAGGCAGCTAATTTTTATATATTCTGAATCAGAAAATTTTTGCGAATTTTTTGATATATATCTTGACCGGTAATTCCACACCCCATAGAAGTACTTTCCTTGTTAAATTTTGCACTCACTTCATGCATAGACTAAATATCAATTCCTGAAAGTTTTAGCTCGCGTTTTGCAGGCGCCACCGTGACATTCAATGATTTTTTCCGCCGAGAGAGTACGTTAAACGCGGAGAGCGGTCAGAGAGAAAAACAGCTTTTGGCCGTAGCTTTGCTAGTTTCGTGCGGAAAAATTTGATTTTTTGTGGAAACATTACCTTCTACAGTAGAAATATACATGTAATTTTACGTGCTGAAATTCGGAAAAAAAGTGTCAAATTTTCGCCGACTTTCGATCTAAAAATCTCGGTTGTTTTTGTAAACCGCGAGTTAGGGTTCTCGCATGTATTTTAGAAAAAATTATTCTAAATTTGTGCCAAGTTTCATCAAAATCTGAGGGTCGCACTTGGGGGACTTCCCCTGTAAATTTTGCCTCAATTTGTTCCAATTTTTTTAGAAAACTCATAGTTTCGCACTTTGAGTCACCTTTCTCCATAATCCACCTAATAACCTAACAGTCGATTATATGATTTTACAGTTAATCTTGCCCCTGTATTTTCAGCTTCAAGCGGAATTTTAATTTTGAAACTATGATGACCAATTCGGCGGCGTTCCGTTCTGCTACTCAAGTGCACTTGACGCCCATGAAAATTCGCGAAAGCCGCGAGGGAAATGGAAATTCAGATTAAAGACTGTACGATTACTGGCGTGTAACTCGCTTTTAATTAGTTGGTAATGTTCGCAACGGGCTGGGGATGGCTCATTCGGGGCTGGGCTAAGATTTAGAGCGTTGAAAACGCGTTTTATAACGGCTATAAAAGTTGGACATGAGGAGATTTTTTTACAATTAAGATTTTTCATGTGTCACAACCACCATAATTCTTATCACCAATATCACCAATAACCACTGCATATCGGGAATGCAGTAGTTTGAGGTGGTGGGGCACCTCAAAATCATCGAAAAAAGAAGTTACAAAATAAGCGGACTTTGTAAATTTTTCATAAGCCCATAAAATTTCACGCTCGTCCTGATAAATAAAAGTTCAGTTTAGTCATTCTTTACGACCAGATGTGGAGTGGCGGGAGGCCTCTAAAACAACTCCGCGGATATTGTATTTTATCACCAGCCGAATAAAATCGTTATAGACCAGGTTGACACTTAAGATAAAGGATTTTTTCTATTGATTCTAAATCTAATGCCTGTGAAATTTCATATATATAATTTGTGTGAAAATCTCTGGAAATTAGGTCTGAGATTTTTTTTGGTTTTTTAGGATGAAAGATCCATTAATTCCGGACAAGCTGGAGGAACGGCTCTCCCATCTCCGACGAGCGGCAATTTTTGGTGTCACAGTATCTGCACTCTCAGTGTTCCTAATTATTCTGATGGTTCCGTATCTCTATTCCCATCTTCAACGAGTCCAGTCGTTGGCGCACGACGACTTGCAATTTTGTCGACTAAGAACCAACAATTTCTACAAGGAAATTAGTCGCACGGAGGTAAAGCGAATTTTGATTTTAACTGATTTCAATAAAAACCAGGTTTAATATCATCTTTCAGGTAAAAATTGAACGCGTAACTCGTGACAAACGAGCCCCCAAGCACAGTGGTTGTTGTGGTTGCGGCACCAGCCCCCCTGGTCCTCCAGGACCACCCGGATCGAAAGGAGCACCAGGCGACGACGGCCCTCCAGGGCGCCCGGGAGCGAATGGCATTGATGCCCCTGAGGAAGACACATTCCCAACTCCGCCTCAGGTAATTCATATAACGAAAACTGATTTCCGTTATGCGTTTTCTTCTTCTCAATTTGTCATACGACTGTTCGCTATTTAGAACTGGTGTTTTGACTGCCAACCAGGTCCACCAGGTCGTCGAGGAAGGCAGGGTCCAAAGGGTCCTCCGGGAGAGGACGGTCCCGATGGAATCGACGGGAAGCCCGGCAGACCGGGCGCCAAAGGCCGACGAGGAATCAAAGGTCCGGCCGGCCCGCCAGGCGCCCCAGGACCCGCCGGGACAAAAGGTCGACCTGGCACGGTCCGCGAAATGGAAAGCCCAACGGGACCGCCGGGACCACCCGGCAAGCCGGGCCCTCCCGGTCCGCAAGGAAACATTGGGAAGCCCGGAAGTCCGGGAGAAGACGGAGATCCCGGGGAAGCGGGAGATCCGGGGAATCCAGGAACCCCCGGACGGCCCGGCACACCCGGCTCGCGTGGAGTCGATGGATCGCCCGGAGGTGCCGGTGATTGTGCGCACTGTCCTCCGCCCAGAACAGCGCCTGGGTATTGATTGTACTGCAAAAGTTGTAATGTTTTATTTATTTATTGCAAGTTCTAATAAACTTTTTTTTGACCATCACAAGATTTACCAAGTGTAAGATTTCAAAACTTCTTCTTGTTGGAAAGTTCGGAGCTTCTTTCAAACCAAAGAAAAAATTTAAAAAAAAAATGTGAAATTGAAATTGTCCCAAATTGTCACTTTTTATGTAAATTTTTGCCCAAATGCATTCCTTCTCTCCCATTCCGCCATTTCTCTCATTTCCTGATCCACCGAGCGGCCGCGCAAACCGGCTGTTTCTCGAACCCCTCAACTGATTTCGGACTGGCACAGGACTGGCCTTTTCGCACTAGCCAAGCCCTAATTTTCCCGCTCAACTGACCGCGAAGATGGTCTCCTTGTCGGACAGCGAATGGTTGACGGTCTTCTTCTCGGTGGTGGCGCTGTTGCTGTTCTGCGTGTTGGTATGTTTGATGGTGCACACGATGCTGTGCGCCATCGGCGAGGAAAGCGAGAGCAACTTGGATGTGAAGCCGGTCAGAAGTGTGAAGAGCAACTTGGTGCTGAGCGCGGATCGGCGCTTGGTCAGAGCGGTGAGTCTTCGGGGGGAAATGCGGGAGAATGAGGGCTGTTTTTTGAGAAAAGGATTACACTCGCGTTAGCTAAAGCGATTAGGTCGTCCAGAAAGTTCGTTCGCTTTTTTCATTGCTTTGATTTACGAGGATTGTTTGTTGTTTGGCAAATGGTATATATTTATTTGATACAGCCAGCCTTGTAGAGGAGAAAAAGCTGTATCAAACAAATATATCCCATTTGCCAAAGAACAAACAATCCTTGTAAAACAAAGCAATGAAAAAACGAACGAACTTTCTGGACGACCTAATACATATTGTATATGTTTATGCCCTCCCCTTCAGAACAACATTATTCGTCCTGAAATAGCGGCAACTCAAAAACAAGAAGCCATCAAGATCGACATCTACGAAGCCGCGGAATCGACCACCAGCTCCTCCCTGACCACCGTCACCTCCACCGCCGAAGAGAACACCTGTCGCGCGTTGGTGCCGGTCGAACGCCCCTTCAGACGTCAGTCGAGTCCCGGCCAGTCCGCTCGTCGTGCGCCCGTCCCACCAAGAAGATCGGTCTCGGCCAGAAATCCCGCTCTGGCCCCCAATGGCCTCGTGGACATCCCGCTGAATGGAAACCTGGCGCCGAAACGTCGTCCCGCTCCGTTCAGATGGTGCGCCGAACGTCGCGCCTTCGTTCAGGAGGATGAGGAGGCCAGGAAGGAGGAGGCCCGCAAGGAATACGACCAACAGCCGCCTCTGCTCATGTACACTGGAAGATGTGAGTTTTTGGTGACTCCGAATTCATTTCGTTGAGTTTACGTGGGATTCCATTCGGAGGTGATCGAAGTTATTGCTTTTAACCTATCTAATGGCCCACAAAACCGTTGGATTGGCCTAAAAATCGATTTGACTATGAATTCTGCTTATTGGCTGGCGCTTCAGCTGGTTGTGAGATTTTTACGTCAAATCCAACCTTTGGTTTGTCATTTTGTACAGTGAAAATGACGAACGGATATGACCTGATCCAGTGGCAAAAAACGTACCATTTTGCATCCGGAAGTATCAAAAAAGTGGCAAAACACCTCCCTCTTCAAGTGAAAAAAACTCATTCAAAAGCGCCCTACTCTTTTCGTGAGACAAATGGCGCGCTTTTGAAGTCGGATTTTTTTCACTTGGAGAGGGAGGTATTTTGCCACATTTTTTGTTACTTGCCGGATGCAAAATGGTACGTTTTTTGCCGCTGGATCAGGTCCCCCTGTAGATTGCAAGCAATAAATTCGCCCTGCCTGAAATGAGATCACTCTATTCGTTGACTCCTGCCAATTTCAGATCGCCCAACCACTCCGTTCGCCGACAACAAGTTTCGCTGACCAATGACTTCGTCGACCTGCATTTTTGAGTTTGAAGATAAACTGATTTCCTCTTGATATTGCTCTTTATTTACCCGTTGTAAGGCCATAGTCGTTCATGTTTTGTAGATAGTTCATACAACCGTGTAGTGGCTATAATAATGGAAAAAAGGGGGTTGGACGAAAGTGTAAAACGGAATTCAAAGCGAAAGACCGGATGCAAGTGTATAACAATAATACACCTCGTGAGCGAATGGGCCAATTCCAAGGCTTAACATTGATTACGCTACCAGAAAAAGCTTCTGTCTATACAATGCATCACAGACTCATAAATTAGCATATATTTTTTTAAATAAGGATATAAAATTCTAAACCAGGATTAGACAAAATAAGTTAAATTTCACTAGAAATAATTGTATAAATATCACAGTTAGAGGGGAAGTGAGGCCAACGAATCATCGGGAAATTCTAGGCAATCGGGAAGGGAGCGCATATTCTCCATGTAGTAGTTGAATTCCTGGACGGCCATTCCGTAGTGGAGCGCGTCGTGCGGGGAAATCCCTTTTTCGATCATCTTTTCGGCTAAATGGACTTTGAAGTTTTCGTGGATTCGGCGGAGGAGCAGCTAAAACTTGGAAAATAACTTCTAATATCCGGATGCAATCTAAAATTCAGACAACAAAGCTACAAAATTAACCTACTGTAGTGTCTTTGGGAGGCATGACAGATGAAAACCCATTGTAAAACTTTCCAATTTGCCTTATGATGTGTTGGAAGGCCGCTGATGGCGAATTCGAAGACAAAGACCACTGAAAATTCAGGTATACCCTTATTTTATAGCGATCCTCAAAATCAGTCTCGTTTTCGTCAAACCTACTATCAAAAGGAAACTAAATTTATGTTTACCTGTGCCAGACCACTCAAAAGATGCTGATCTACCACGGAAACCAACTTGTTGTAGATTTCATCCACATGATCCGTATAATCTCTCAATGTGAGGTCAAAGTGTCGTCCAAGATTTTGTTTGTCGGGCGGAAGAGCGTTCAAAAATTCTTGTTTGACAACCGGAATAAAGCGCGACACAAGTTGGAGGCATCTAACCGTTAAACCTGCAAAAGACAAAATTATTCTTCCAATCATACAGTTAGGGACTAGAAAACAAAAAAAAACTGCCATCAGTTTAAAAAATCCTACCCAACGTTTTCACACTGATAGTCTTCAGTCCGACCAATTGAAGCGCTCCGGCGCCTAGGATCAGCTGACAGGTCCGCGAGTTGAAGTGTTTCAGCAAGCCAACCATGTGCATCAGCAACTCGGGCGCGGATTGGTTGAAATGCGCCAAGACTGTGCAATATTGCGCCATGGTCTTCAACATCAACAGACAAGCGCCTACAGTGCAGTATTTGTCCTCGCCCACCTCCAGATATTGCTTGGATTCCTGAGGTTCGGGTGAGGTGACCGTTGATGAGGACGCCGTGGACGGATTTGAGGTCGAGGAGTCGCGGAGCACGCCGTTCTCCACAAAATCGTCGATAATCTTTTGGAAGTGGGCGGGAACCTCGGTCGGGCGCCATTTCTCGACGTCGAGGACGTGACTGAAATTTAAAAAAGTTAAAATCAGCTGGATAAACTACTCTGAGTTGCTAGACAGAGCAAACAACGCGGGTTCCACGAGAAAAAAATAAAATGTCGTGTCAACTCTGACTCTAACCATTTTGGGTCAAGTGTTTCACTCTACCGAAATATTACAAGCGAGGCGGTCGGTAAAATAAAATAAAAATATTTCCTCTGTTTTTATAGCCCCAATTATCAAATAAACAACTAAATAGACATTGCTAGTAGTGCTCCTCTCTCATTTGTCACCTACCTCAATTTTTGTTTGCTATTTTCTTGGAAGGAGACGATGAATTTCGCGGTTTGCAGTTGAATTGTTCCCATTAAAGGTGAGCGTTGTGGAGTCAGGCCTTCTGGTCCATTTGCTAGGCTGAGTGCGGACGTTGTGGGTACAAGAGATCGGCTTTTCTTGATGAAAGTTCGGACTAGGCTTTCGAATTGGCAAAACTGGTCGGCGCTGCACCTTTCAAGGAATTTGTCCTGGAAATCAAACATTCCAACCTTCAAAACAACTACAGTGGAGGACCTGATCCAGTGGCAAAAAATGTACCATTTTGTATCCGGGAAGCATCAAAAATGTGGCAAAATGCTTCCCTCTCCAAGTCAAAAAAAAACTTTCGTTTTGTAGGGCGGCTTTTGAAATCGGAGTTTTTTCACTTGGAGAGGGAAGCATTTTGCCACATTTTTGATACCTCCCGGATGCAAAATGGCACGTTTTTTGCCACTGGATCACTGTACAGGTTCCTACAAAACATCTCGCAACTCTTCTGCTACTCCTTCTTACCTTATACTTGTTGGTGAGACGTTTCGAAACTCTCTCCTCGGACGCTAAAATCGCATGTTCAACTAAGAATGGTGCTGCTTCTTTGAGTTGATCCAAATTTCTGCACGGCTGGCTGAGAAAAGCGACCGCAAAGTTGGACTGGCTGCTAGCCCCATTCTCTCCATTTCTACTGCTTGATATGCCATTTTCCATCGGCGATTGTTCGAATTTCGTTGATCTTTCTCCATTTTCCACTACATCTCCTTGTTTTGTTCCATTTTCCATCAAAATTCCTCCGTTTCCATCGCATTTTTCATCTTCGGAAGTTTCCGCCTGGCCGTCAATTCCGTTTCCATTCGTTTTCAAAGCCATTTCAGGGGCTTCTGGCACCAAAACATTGTTATTTACACATCCGTTGCCAGCTTTTGCATCCGACAAATTCTTTTGTTGCAAGCGTCGCTGATTTTGTACCCGTATTGCATTATCCACAATAATCGTTTGTATACTCTAAAAAGTCGATTCCAGCGACGCTTTCGACTTACCGAGACCCGCATGCAAAGGTAATAAAGAGAGGTGAAGATTGCTTCCAGGGTATCCAACCATTGAGTGAAGCTCATTTGACGCATTTGTTCGCCCAAACTAAAGAAAAGCATAAAGGCGTGGCATTTCAATTTCGGGATGATCGAATTTATGGATTGTCATCGTTCAAAAGACTATAGACATGGCTACAGTGAAGGACCCGAAGCGAAACGGTCTAACTGACTAGTCAAAGACTTTTATTTCAGATCGAATGCATTTCTGATAGTCCGCCAAAATGGATAGCCAAATGGTTGCATTGACCAAAACAAATCCCTTGAATTCCTGGCCAACGTTCTGGATTGATAGCGAAACGGTCTAACTGACTAGTCAAAGACCTTTATTGGCCTAGAAATTGCGCCTGGATGAGTTGGCTACTAATTCAGCCGTTTACTAGCCATTTCTATAGTCATTTGAACGATAACAAGCCATACAGCGGGGGACCTGATCCAGTGGCAAAACACGTACCATTTTGCATTCGGGAAGTATCAAAAATGTTACAAAATGCTTCCCTCTCCAAGTGAAAGAACTTCGTTTTTAAGGGTCCTTTCCCTCAAAAAAAGAGCGGGCGAACTTTTGAAATCGGAGTTTTTTCACTTGGAGAGGGAAGCATTTTGCCACATTTTTCGATGCTTCCCAACTGCAACATTGTACGTTATTTGCCACTAGATCAGGTCCCCCACTGTATGGATTGTCATCGTTCAAAAGACTATAGAAATGGCTAGTAAACGGCTGAATTAGTAGCCAATCCATCCAGGAACAATTTCTAAGCCAATAAAGGTCTTTGTCTAGTCAGTTAGACCGTTTCGCTATCAATCCAGAACCTTGGCCAGGAATTCAAGGGATTTGTGTTGGCCAATGCAGCCATTTGGCTATCTATTTTGGCAGATTATAAGAAATGAAGAATCGATGTGACCGATAAGAAATCTAGCCGAGAAAAGGAAGAATAATTTTTCCTGCCAGACTTAAATTCGTCTGTTACAAAACTCGCATTTCATTACCTTAAGGACGGATCATAATCCGGAATCATTGCTTCGCATTCGACAAGTCGATTTTTGACCACCGTTCGGATCGTCATTTTCACAGCTTCCACAATTTCGCTTCTCAGAACAGTCATAAACCGATATTCGTCGCATCGAATCAGACCGCGGGTGTAAATCTGGAGTCCACTCTGAAAAAAATAAACGTCTAAATTGGGCCTCCAAGATTTAATTTTTTTCGAAATTACTCTGCTTACATCATGATAGCCCGACTCCATTTCTCGATCAAAGGGTCGACCGAATTCTCGCTGAACTATTGTTACAAACTCATCCAGAAGCATTCTTCCAATGGCTCTGTGGAGTTCGTTCAACTGGCTGTTCAAATGCCTAAAAATTTCGATAAAAAAAATTCGTTTCCTCCTTACCTGAAACAAACCACTCCCTTCAGTTCGGAGCTGAGGACTTCTTGAGCGGTTTCAATGCATTCCAGCGCCTTCAGGTAGTCGTTTTGATTCAACAGCATCTGAACCGTCGATTGAGCGTCTCGCAGACAGGCAATGTCCTCGAGTCTCGACAGCAACTTCAGTCGGTTTTCGCGGGCTCTTTGCAAGGCTAGGATATGTTGCGTTCGATCGTAGACCTTGGTCTTCACCGTGTTTAGATATGACCTAAACAAGACGTTAAACACTCAAATTTTAAAAGCTATTAACCAATTTTTTAAATGATAAATCAACCCCAACACTAAACTTTTTTCAAAAATTCACCTGATTTCTTTGACTTTATCCAAGGCGTCAGCCAGCTCTTCGTTCAATGTCCCGTATGAATTGACCGTTTTCCAAAACTCCTCGCCCTTATCGCTGAGTTCGTTGTTCAAGAGGCCGCCAACAACGTCGTGATAATATTCCAACTTGTTGTGGAGCACTTGATGCGGCCTGTAGGAGCGCTCGGTCGATTCGAATGCCACCTGAAACGGCCAAGTTTTTTGAGTAAAACCTACAGTGGGGGACCTGATCCAGTGGCAAAAAAAGTATCATTCTGCGTCCGGGAAGTATAAAAAATGTGGCAAAATGCTTCCCTCTCCAAGTGAAAAAACTCCGATTCAAAAAAGCGCGACCTTCAAAGCAAAGTTTTTTTCACTTGGAGAGGGAAGCATTCTGCCACATTTTTGATGCTTCCCGGATGCAAAATGGTACGTTTTTTGCCATTGGATCAGGTCCCTCACTGTAGAACAGAGTCGCAACTCTAAATTCCAGAAGCCACTTTTTTAACTCACCTGTGAGCTCTGCGACGACACCACCGATGAAGTTGAGGGCGCTCTGGACAAGCTCGGTCTTGAAGACGACACCGAGCCGGCGAATAATTTCTTCAGCTCCGAATCCGATGTCGTTCTATCAATGGCGCCTTCCAGCGGTTCCAAAAACACGGCTTCAAAGGTTGCTGGATCCTTTAGAGTAAAGTCTGAGGCTAGAAACAGCGAGGGGACATCGGACGAAGTGAGGTCCACATCTCGGCTATGCAAGGCAAGGGCTTTTCGTAAGGCACGTTTGGATTTCAGGTAATGTTTGTGTTTCTGAAAGAAAAAGACATAAAAATTAAGCTTCAAAGTCGACCAAACTCCAAACATTTGACGACGCATACCTTGGCTGTAGTGGCCAGATAATGTTTGAAGGTGTCGGCATTGACTTTGGGAATGTGAGCGGATGGTGGAATATCTTTGCGCGGGACGAAGCCATCTCCCCAATGGCGTGTGAAGAAGACTGTAGTCTCGCCTTTGGTTCGACGAGGATCTGTGAGCACCGACGACAAGTCTTGAGTAAAGCTGAAATTTGTGCAGTGGTAACCAAACAGAAGGATTATAGGATCGTGCAAGCGTTGATTGGCGATGTTTGAAGCAGTTATTCATTTTTGGCAGATTTTGTTTCGGACAGAGTTCTCTGTCGGGCAGAGCAAAATTTATGGCTTTTAATCTACAGTGGGAACAAACCACTTCACGGTACCTGATCCAGTGAAAAAAGTACCATTTTGCATCCGCGAAGTATCAAAAATGTGGCAAAATGCTTCTCTTTCCAAGTGAAAAAACTTCGTTTTGAAGGGCGCGCGCGCCCTTTCCCTCACAAAAAAAGCGAGTGCGCTTTTGAAATCGGAGTTTTTTCACTTGGAAAGGGAGGTATTTTGCCACATTTTTTGATTCTTCCTGAATGCAAAATAGTACGTTTGAGCCACTGGATCAGGTCCTCCACTGTAGATTAAATACCATAATTTTTTCTCTACCCGACAAAGAACTGTCCGAAATAAAATCTGCCAAAAATCAATAACTGCTTCAAACATCACCAATCAGCCCTTGCAATTTGCCAATCTTAACCAAAGTCATTCATTATAACGTTCACTAATTTGTCGGAATAATAATTTCTGTTGTCCGAAAACTGATATGATGGTCATTCGATCACATTACCGTACTAGAGCAGCTGTTTTCTCCAACCCAAAAAAACTTCAGGGTTATAATAAAACCTCTGTTCTTGAGCGGTTTGTGACATCAATCATGTTTTCGAAACGCTCGAAAAGAGGGTGGGAAGGAGCGTTACAAAGTTCAAAAGGCTGCCGTCGTACCTTTTTGGCGCTGCTCAAAAAAGTGTTTAGACTTAACAGTATCTGTTACAACAGACCTTACAGTATGCCTTTTTTATTGTCTTAATAATTCATGAATTTATCGTCTTAAAAACCCTCGAACCGCATTATAAATTGCCCTTTAAATTTTAAGGCCAAGTTCATTGCTAAATTTAAATTTTAAGGCCAAGTTCAAAAGCTTATTACTTTCGACATTAATCTCTAGTCCCAGGCGTTTTTTTTTGACTAAATTTACTTTATAATCGCCACCCTCATCTTCGCAGCTGGTTGCCATCCCAACGCGGACTTCATAAAATTCCATGACGTTCCCACTTTACAAGTTCCAAAAATGTCAAAAGGCTAGAATGCAAAAATATTCGTATAGATCCACACTCTTTCCACTATAAAACAGAGGCCAACAACAAAATGTTTAATGGGTTTTCTTGGAAAATTCCTAGCAAGTTCACTGCTAAATCCGGCTCAAGACGATTGGAACTTGTTCTGGTAAACTAATGGCCATAAAGTTTGAGATCAAGGAAATCGGATGGGATTTGAGGGTGGGACGTCTCTTTTTCCGTCTTATTTTTGGCGTCGTAAATCTCGTAGGAAAAAGCATATGGGAGTCGAAATAATGCTTGTTTTTGAAGGATGTTCACGGATCGAACGGGGTCATAACGTGGGACAGGCGGGATCAGGGTGGGACATAAATTATCAAGGCTTCATTTTAAACTATAGAACTTCTCTTTTAACTTCAAAGCAGTAAGCTACAGACAAATTCTAGCTCCAACTTTCCAATTTTATATTAAACTTTGTCAGTAAGCACATTATCCATGTCCATTCACAAATCATATTTCATAAAGCCTCTTCCGATTTATAAGATGTGCTTGAGTACCTTGAGCGGCTCATAACGTCGCCTCCCCCACTTTTCCCATCTCATTATCCCCCTTCAATCCCCATGTTTATGCATTGTGATAAACTGATGAATGGCTGTTTCTGGTGGCTAACCATTCGTACTGAGCGAGACGAACTCCGGGAGGGAAAAGAACCCGCAAGACGGCCGAACAGTTGTTCAAAAAACCCCTAAGGGGCTGCTCTTGAACCTGCTGAGCGATTGTCAAAGCAAATGAAAGAGATCTGTGCAGGAAATGGGCTTGCTCTCGGCGACCGTCCGTTCATAATACGAAACAGTGGTCACTCGAGGAGGCAAGGATTCGTGCTCTGGGGGCCTGGATTTTGGTTGTTCTTTGGAGCTATATTTTTCATGTAGCTCAATTTAAAATAATTATTTTACCGTTTAGATTACTCATTTAGTCCGCGCTTCTTATTGTAATCCTACTCATTTTTGACAAAAAATATACATAAACTTATTTCTAAGCTTTTAAAACCATTTCCTCGCATGCCGACTCGTTGACGACCTTATGAATACCCAAAATGCGAAAGCCTCTACGGACGCAATACTCAACCGATTCTTCAACAGCACTTCTGATACGTGATAGCACCCCCGAGCGGCACAACGCACCTTCAACTTCTGATGAAAGGCGAGGCAGTGGTAAGTATTCACCTTCTAGTCACTTAGTAGCAAGAATGCGCTCAAATTCAACGAATTTTAGGTCAACCTCGTTCAGCCCGATCTCATTCTCAATGTTCTGTTCAAAGCCGACCATTAGTTGTTACTGTAAGTTTGATAAAAACCCCTTTACTTATTTTACTTTTTGTTCTTATTAAAAAGTCTTTTGACACATTTCCCTTAATTTTCCAGCGTTACAAAAGTTACATAACACAAGCCAGTACGGACCAAAGCGAATTCTCTTTGCCAACAGACATCAGTAAAGATGACGAACTCAAAGAAGCCGAATCTCAGGATCGAATTCCTACCGACCATTCGCCTGAGGACAGTGGCCACAATTCAACCGATGAGCTTCCCAAGAAGGATGCGGCACAACAAGTTAGTCGTCAGCCGAGTGAGCGGAAGGAGAGAAGGTCAAGTTCAACCTCTAAGAAGGCCATGACAGCAGCTCAGAAGAGGCAAAACTTCTCTCGAAAGAGTTCCACATTGACTGAAACTCTGGCAAAACAACTGGATTTCGACTTGGGATTCTGCTCGAGCACTTCCAGCTCGGATACCGAACACAACGGAGAGCCAGCGGATATGTTTGACGTACTATATAAACGAATCAAGCATCGGTTAAAGAAGGATGACCGGCAGTGAGTTTTTATACGTGGTTCAACGACTATCAATCCCAACTACCTCGATTTCAGGCAGACAAACTTTGAGGAATATTTCTACAATCCTCGAGGAAAAATCTGGTCCAAAAAGCGATGCAAAGAGATCTTTGCAGGAAAACGGATGAGGAAGATGGCGTTTTGGTTTATTGTTATATTCCTCGCTGCTTTGACTGTAAAGGACGTCATTGAGCTCGTAGCTGAATACTGTGAGAATCCGAAACAATCAGACATCAACATTCGCTTCAACAAGACGATGAAATTACCAGATATCACATTCTGTATGAGGAGAATGCAGACTTTTAGTCATTTCAATTTGAAAAACGTCTCAAACTGGGACGAGATTGTTCAGGTGGGTCTACTACGACGCCGCTATATGTTGCGATGATATTTCCGTAATGATAACCTCTCACTAATTATATTTTAGAGAAATCTCGAGGAAATGCCTGACCGTCACAGTTTTCTGCGTCGTTCTTGGGATTATAGGCTTGCGGCCGAAGGATATCAAGTTATATCAGCGCTAAGCTCCATAGAACGTGAGACCACGGCCATAGGAACTCTTCGATCCATTCAGATGTTCAGAACCCACAGACGATTAGAGACCAAAAGGAGAATGATTAAGGTACAGTAAAATCTAACCTTGATCTTTGAGGCCCAGTGGGTTTCGAGAGGTTGTCAACTCGTCTTAAGGACGGTCATTAACTTTAACAGCGTCATAAAAAGTGTTTTGCTAATCAACAGAAATCTTTTCCAGATGTGGATGGCCGAGCTGAAGAAACGTGAGGTCTCCTTCGAAGAGTTTACGCAAAAAGTCGGGTTGGAGGTTTTTCGACACTCGAATCAAAGTTTCCTTCGAACTTCCTACAATGAACATGAAAAATTTGTAACAGGACTCAAAACCTCGTGGATTTCGGAGCAGGAATTCTGTTTCCAACCCAAGTATGAGTTGAAAAAACCAATAACCGATCAGGGTAAGATAATAAGCCATCTGCAAAAGACAAATCCCCAATTCCCTGCTCGCAACAAAATTAAGAAGAGTCTTATTTTAGGCTACTTTTTCCGGTTTGTCACTTCTCACAACCCAGAGAACTTAGACGACAAAAAAGTCGATTGCATGACTGTTGATTTCCATGGGCGCCCATCGTCGCTGACCCGGTACACACAAGCCACAGCCGTGAACGACGGATTTATCGAAGATGTAAGCCTGCTGTAAGACTGCTTGCTGATCAGTCGGTCGAGAAAAAACAAGGAAACCTTTGTTGCCACTCCCTCAAATAATGACCAAATTTCAGCTATGCATTGGAATGCGGCATGAAATTGTGGTTGATATCAAAGCGTTGTACGAGATGTTGGAGAACGATGACGAAGGAACGGAATGCCGGGAAATGACCGAAGACAGCGAAAACGAATTCGACTGTCGGATGCGATGTCGGATGGAGATGATACAACATGAATGTCACTGTACGCCAGCAACCCTGAGTTACTTGAATAAAGTCGAAAAATTTCCAATCTGTGATTATACCAAATGCATTTTCAAGTAAGTTCAAGCCGAAGACGCGATTGCACAAACATATTTCCCAAACTATTAACCTCTTATTTCAGTCCAAACAAGCGAAACATAACCGAAGAGTTGTGTACAAAGAAATGCCGGAGAAGTTGCGTTCAAGTGCGCTACAACGTTGTGCATCACATGAAAGGGAAGTCTCAGAAGCCGGACTTGACCAGAGTAGACCTGATGTGGGGATCATTCGAGTACTTGGTCATGAGGCAAGACTGGGTTTGGAGTGTGACCTCATTCATCGCCGCACTCGGAGGATCGATTGGAATGTGGCTGGGCTTATCGATATTGTCGCTGATTCAGGTGAGACAATAATTTCCGCAAAAATTTTCTTCAAATAACGCAAACTTTAATCAAAAATTTTGTTTTCAGGGTGGAACCTATCTCTACGCCTACCTCACGGAGAACGTCATCAAGAACAAGATAGCAAAAACAATCTCCACGGCCAAGATAAACCTGTTCAAAAAGGAAGAACAGCAGGATAAAACAGAGCCCAATGTAAGTCGTATGCCGTTTAAACAGATCGAAACCTTGCAGAGGCCATCCAGAAGTCGAATCCGCAGAGACAAGTCTACGAACTTGGTCTGAACAAATGGGTAACCGTCAACGAAACTGATCTTCTATTCAATTATGCAGTGTATAAAAGAAAAAAAAGCCTGCCGTGATACTTAGAAATCTTTTAAGTGATATCTCTCCACAATGCTCTAATGCTTGAAAAAAGTATTCATTTAATAATAATCTAGATAATCGTTGATAGTTTTGAATAAATAACGATATAAATACCCCAGCTTACGTTCGAAAGTTGCTTGATTTCCGATAATACAGCATAAAAATAGGCCCAACTGTAAGAACACAACTTATTTTAGACGGCTCCGTATGCAAACCGAGTGAAACCGACGATTAAACGCTCAGAAAGGTCTCTTAATCCCCACAAGCAGCATTCGCGACCAACAAAACATCAAACCCCTAACGTATGACTTACCTATTTAAAGTGAAACTGGACGACGAAGGCCGCAACGACAGCTCGGTCATGTCTGATTCCCGACCTAAACCCGAAAGAATAACAATGAAAAGACGGACTTACGTGACGCAGCAAAGTGTTTTTCATGGAAATGTGCGACGAGCTCCTCTTGGTTTGACGCCAGAAACGAGCAGGATCTGAAAATGAAACATCAATTCGTATTACACAAGGCAATTCACTCCTCTTCTCGTATTTTGCTAGGGTCACCAAAAAGTACATACGGATTACTATTCAAAGGATGGGGAATTTGTTAATCAACCTTTCTTCCAAAAAAAGAACCCAATAATTAGGGAAGAAACCTCGAAATTTGGTCCAAAAAGCGGCAAGAACCATGAAGAAAGCAAATCAGAACAGATATCCCCCCGTGACCTCAAAACTAACATTGAAACCGGTCTCTAACAAATACAAACGCTATAAAAACCGCTTGCCTGCATATAAATGAGCCATCGTAATGTTCATGGAGGAAATGGTCGTCCGGCTGGTCGGTGCTGGCGCCGCATTCAGCACAACGCCAGCGGCCATCGGCTGGCATCCGCTCGGGATCAGCGGATTCACGGGTTTCGCGGATATTCCTTGACGTCGGACACGTTCTCCTAGCGTGAAACGTCCATTAGATGGAAAAAGAATAAAATTGTTACGGAAGAGAAACAGATGGCCGTTCGGGGAGACACTTGGCGCATTTTTTTCGACGACTCCACGAATCGGAAGAAATGTGGCGAGGTGCGCCCTAGATTAGCCGTTTCTTGAAAACGTGTTGAGATACGCTCGGAATTTTAAATACCCAGTATTGTAAACGTCAAAAACTACTGATTCTTGCAGTTAATCATTGGACGATGTAAGAGTTTAGAAGCAGTTAAAGATTTTAAAATCCATCTACAGATTACCATGGACAGGATAAATTTGTGGAATAAAAGATAAAGATTTCTTTCATTTATTACTCTGTTAAAACTCAAAACCGGCATCAAATAATACACGGTCAGCGCAATCCACATGCCAGATTGACTATACGAACAGCTCCCATTTTGCTGATTAGCATTTCCCACCGAAACATCACCCAAATTACAAAATTCCCCAGGGGGAAACGAGTGGTGCATGTTGAATAGAAGACTAAAAGCATTTATTCCGGACCTCCATTCAATTCTAAATAGTTATTCGTTCACATAACTGACATATCTTTGTGCGCTATCACCGAAGAAATCTATTGCGAGTTGCTTTTGATCTTCGCTGAAGGCGATTCTTGACCTTGGAACCGGGGTCTCGTAGAAGTTCTCACAAATTTGACTGAGGATCCACTTCTCCGTAAGAATAGATTTTAGCGCTGAATGCACCCAAAGGCGATTAAGGCCGATAAATTGTCCCTTGAATTGGCGTTGTTCCGGCAGAAGTTGGGCATGTTCGAGGCTTTCCAGCACGGCAATCGAACCCACATAGTACTGCGAATCTTGTAAAATTGTGAACATGAAAATCCGTGTGTTAGACGTCCACAGCGGCACATCATCGCAAAGGCCAAGCGCAGGGTTAACAATCTCCTGAACGGAAAGAAAAGATAAGTATTTTTTCACAGAGCAAGTAGATTTTTCTGACTGAAACAAACCCTAAACACAATAAACAAACTAACAAGTAAATTTACCTGAATGATATCTTCAGCCTTCTTCACTATGGAGCTTTTAGAGGTCTGATCGAACATAAATAATATACCAGGGCGCTGACTGTTAAATTCCCGGTTCTTCACGCTCCTAAATTAAAGATTCAATGAAAACATAGAGGATCTTACGACATCCAAGATTTATATTGCACTCCCAAGATTTTTACGGCTTTCAAGTCAAACGCTTTGTTGTGATAGGTTTCATGTGCCTTACGATCGACCGCATCGTCCCAGTTGAACGCCATATCGCACTGAAAAGGGCATAAATGAATTCGGCATGCCTTTCAACATGTTTTCAGACTAAAATAGGCAGAAATTTCAAATTCTTCCATTTAATTTCACATACCAACTTCTAAACTCAAAAATTAAACAAATATCAAGCGCTTACCTGTTTGCAATGTTGCAATCCTATCCGCTTCTGGCCGGCGTCGAGAACGTACTGATCTTCATCCGTTTTTGGTCGTTTTCCTGGTCGTCGAGCACTCGCGGAGGTTGATCTTGAACATGGTGAAGACAGGGAAGAAGTAGACGGTTTCACCGAGAAAAAAGAATCTAATGTGGTCTGAATCCCCATCTCAGCACTGCACAACGGCAAGAAGCAGCTTCCGCTATCGCGCGCAATGTGCGGTAAAATTCTTTTCCACCTTTTCGCGGCTAGAATTTATTGAATTTGTTGCGAAGTGTCACAAAAAATATTGGGTTTTCGGAGGCACTAGAGAAGTGACGATTTCCACCGTAATTTTGCGAGATTTTAAATCTTAAAAGACATCTACAACACGTAAGAAATTGGGGAGACAAAAATTTACATAAAATTTTTTCATTCCCCATCTCACCCCCGAACCGCTCATTTTTCGGTCAAAATCTTCGTTGGTCCGGTTCAGTCGTTCTCGCTGGGCAAGGAAATGAAGGCGACCTGTGTATTGGTGGCTATAATGGCCGTTATGATGGGATCAAGCTCCGCAATCAAACCGATTCTGCTGACCAAGACCGTACCACCCGCAGGAACAGGGGACTGTCAGCATGTAAGTTTGGCGTGTTTATACCAAACCTACAGTCCTGTGGAAGTTAGACAACCCCCATTCTAGACCTATCTCACCATCGACAAAAGTAATCTGCACACCTTTTTCCCGGTAATGGTGAAGGATAATATAAAAGAGGAAATTGCTGGGACCGTTGGGTCGGTCCAAATCAAAACTGACTTTGGTGCCGTTCTGGCTGAGGCACTTGTCCCGATGACCTTCCAACAGAACGACCGATTCGAGCTACAACTCAAGAGACCAAAAACGGATGTTGCAAAGTTAAGCGTTGAGATCATGTACGAGGTCATTGTCGATGGTCGTTTCTGCACCAAGTATCGCAAAAAGGTCAAACCCGACGGAAGTTCCGGTGAAAGTCCTATTTATTTCTGTACCATCTAAAATTCGCTGCTTGATAGAGCGCTCCGAATAAATTACGTTTTATATCATCTACTATAATATACTGTAACAAACAAACCCGGAAAAATGCCCGAAGCTTTATACGAACTTTTGATACATAAAAATGAATGAATCTTATAAGAATTTGGCCAAAATTTACCCCTTCAATTGTGTCAAATCTCACCCACTCCCGCCGGAGCCCGGGCGCAGTTCGCCAACTTCCGATCAAATCGCGCGATTTATTTTCGTGCGTGAAAATGTGTTTCTCTGCACTGCAAAATAAAACTGCGGATTGCAGAGGGGTGGATCTGTTCTCCACCTGCTCCTTCCAGGCCTCGATCGAATTCAGTTGTAGATATCGACGGTTCTCATGACTGGAATGAATGATTGGCTCTTCGAGATCGGTAATTTGGTTTTATTCGCTTATTTTTTTGAACATAGGACTAGAAAATACCATGGCCAACACTCTGGAGCTTCTAATTTGTTGATTTGGGCCTACAGCTTTTGTGTATTGCCATTATTTCTTGATCCCTTCGTCAACGTCAAGGATAGTATAATTTTTCAATTCAGATGAAGATGTTTTGAATGGAACCGACGGTGATGCGCTCGGTGACGAAGCAGAGGCATCAACGAGCTCATCGGAGCAAAAGAAGAACGGAAGAGAGGACTTTGGGCAACTGAGTTTACAAGAAATGTCGAAAAAGTCGCTTGTTCCCGATGTTCACTGCAAAAAAGGTGCGGTTGAAAATGGCAACGCTGAGAGCAGGGGTAATGACATCTTCCTGAAGAATTTTCACTCACTGCTGGTCACTGCAAGAGCCGAGATTGGAAGATTAAAGAGAAAAAACATTGAACTCGAGCAAAAGTAGGTATTTTTTTGTTTTTTTTTCTGACTTTAGGCGGAATGATGTCGACCGTAATTGAAGTATGTGTTTGCAGACTCGTGAAATCGATGGCAATTGAATGTCCCGCCTGCAAGCACCATTTCATTGCCAATGAGCATCGAATTCTCCCGAAATACGTCAAAGTTTTGCACGGTGCAAAGAAGATTGAGCTGGATTTTGAAGATCTCAACAAACTCAAAGAATTCTTGAATGTTTCGGGTCTGGATACGGATCAGAATGGTGTTCCTACTATTCCCGATGACGAACGGAAACCTCAAACCTTGAAGGAAGTCGACAGTAAGCTTCTGAAGAGTGAAAAGGAAACGAAAGATCGGCGAAGCGAGGAGAGGATGCTCAAAGAGCGTCGTGAACGTGAAATAAATCGAGCCAATGCATCAAGAAAACCGTCAAGGGATTTGACGGCGGATGAGAGGAGATGTAGAGAGAGAAGTTCAAGTCCAAGAAGAAGGTCGAAGGAAAGAGTGGAGAGACGAACTGGAGTACATGGACGACTGGAGAAGCGAGTCAACGGCGGACGTACAGATATGCGGTCAGTGGACAGGCGCACCGAGAAACGACCAGAAGAGAATGGAAAAAAAGACGAATCTCGCGAAAGACTTCCGGTAGATGACCGTCCGCAGAAGAGAGCCATACAAAAACAAATCGAAAAGCGAAAAGAAGGTGTGGATTCGCAGAAACGACCAGTTGATGAACGGGCAAGGAAACGGGAGCTAGACGAACGTGAGGAACAGCGAAGGATTGACGAAAAACGGTTGCGAGATGAAAGAACTGAGAAACAACCAGTCGATGGCCGAACAGAGAGGCCGAGGATATGTGCACCCACTAGAACAGACGATAGGCAACGGTCAAAAGACTCTAAAGAGCGCAAAGAAGAACCGGTGGCTAAAAGATCTCGGCCTTCGCATAGTCGATATTGATTTTGCGAATTTTTTAATTGTTCATTGTTACTTTTAAGTTTTTTTTTAATTTCAAATTTCTTTCGCTTTAGTTCTTGCCGTCTGAATTATGTTTTACGCAACGTTGTTTTTCCAAAAAAAAGCTGTTTTGAGAGCTCTCTCGCCCCGTAACGAAATAGTCGGGTGGGTAACAGCGGCGTCTGGTAATCGAAAAGTCGCGGGTTCGAGGCCCCACGAAGGCCGATGATTTTGAAATTAATATCTGTAATCAAGAACTTCGGTTATGAACTACAATGTACGTCATGAGGTCGTTTTGGACATTTTTGTCTTAAGAAAGAGCGTTATTTTACAGGATAAGAAGTTATTTGTATACAAAGAAAATTTTATAAAAAACTTATTAAAATTTTTAAATTAATAATGGAAAATTTCAAGGCTTGATTTTTATTCCACCGTTGACTCCGAAACACTCCCCAGTCGCGTAGCTGCACTTATCGCTGGCAACGAACGCAATCATTTCCCCAACTTCTTCTGGTTTTCCCATTCTTTTCAACGGGATCACATTCGTTACGGCCTGGATTTGAGCCGGCTTGCTACTCATGTGCCGTTGGTGGAAGTAGGTGTCGGTGAGGCCGGGCGACACGTTGTTGACTCTGATACCGAATGGTGCATACTCAAACGCGGCGTGATGAGTGTAATGCTTCAGCGCGGCCTTACTGATGGCATACATTGGTGCGAACGGGTTGATTTTGTCTTCAAGCGCAGAGGAGACGTTGATAATATTGCCCTTGGTCTCTTTTAGATGGGGAAGACAAGCTCGCGAGAGACCAATCACACTAAAATAATTTAAATATAAGATTTGAATGGTTTACACTTTGCTTTTTTAGGGCAAATATAGTTGAGGACCTGATCCAGTGGCAAAAAACGTACCATTTTGCATCCGGGAAGTATCAAAAATGTGGCGAAATGCTTCCCTCTCCAAGTGAAGAAAAATCCGATTTCCTTCAAAACAATGTTTTCCACTTGGAGAGGGAAGCATTTTGCCACATTTTTGATGCTTCCCGGATGCAAAATGGTACGTTTTTTGCCACTGGATTAGGTCCCCCACTGTAGATTTTTCTGCTGGTAGTCCGCCAAACGGCTATCGCATTTTAAATTTAGTTTGTACAAAATGAAATTCCCAGTCCTGGACGATGTCAAATTGGCATCACATCTTAGCACTCACCTCTTTACATTCACCTCCATGCAGTAGGTAAAGCAATCCAGGCCATTTGCATCCTTACCATCGTCTTTGCTGCCCGCATTATTCACCAAAACATCGATTCTCCCGAACTTTTTTATCGTCTCGTTTGCAATTTTTTCCCAAGTTTTCTCATCTTGGATTGGCCCTCTAATCGACAACGTCTTTCCTGCGTTGGAGATTGCTTGAACCTCTTTCTCAGCTTCCTAAAAGAATAAATTTTGAATTGGCAATATCTCTCTGCAGTGACGGACCTGATAGAGTGGCAAAAAACGCACCATTTTGCATCTGGGAAGCATCAAAAATGTGGCAAAATCCTTCCCTCTCCAAGTGAAAAAACTTAAATCGGAGTTTTTTCACATGGGAAGCATTTTGCCACATTTTTGATACTTCCCGGATGCAAAATTATACGTTTTTTTGCCACTGGATCACGTCCCTCACTGTAAGAACTCAAATTTTAAAACCGTTCAAATTGAACGGGAAATTGACTTAGCTCTTCGGTCGAACATAATATATCAGTCCATCGGCAAAATAATGTGTACTTTTTGTCGGAGCAAACTGTCTCGTCTCGTCGCAGAAGCGCGCCAAAAAATCGAGCCGTGTGCCAAGGCGATGCTGGACGATTTCAAGACGAATCCGCATTATTTTACCGACAGACTGATATTAATCAAATCCAGGATTATTTTTGGAATTTGTGATTTTTGGCACAAACTTTGGGGTGTTTTTAAACCTACCTTTAATCTAGTTTCATCCTGCCCATGCAGCACAACATTTGCCCCTTCTCTGGCGAAGATCTTGGCCGTCTCTCTGCCGATCCCACTGCTTGATCCGGTCACAATAACTACCTTGTTTTTGAACATTTTCCAACAAACAAATGTTATACAAACTTCAAAGGAGCGGCCCCACGGAAAACCTCAAGTCTAAAGAGACAACGACCCGTTTTTATATAAGTGTTTCTATTGGGGAAAAGGTGCGTAGAGTCTTGGAAGCAGGCGTGATTTGTAGTCTGTGGTGTGTTCAACACATTCTCTTGGTATCTTTAGAACGGAAGTTTATACATAATGGGGCACAAGATATATATGTATCTTGGAAAATCCGTAGTAGTTACAGTGGGGGACCTGATCCAGTGGCAAAAAACGTACCATTTTGTTTCCGGGAAGTATCAAAAATGTGGCAAAATGCTTCCCTCTCCAGATGAAAAAACTCCGATTTCAAAAGCGCGCCCGCTCTTTTTGTGAGGAAATATTGCAAAACAAAGTTTTTTCCACTTGGAGAGGGAAGCATTTTGCCCCATTTTTGATACTTCCCGAATGCAAAATGGTACGTTTTTTGTAACTGGATCATGTCTGTAAAGAAGCAAGGTTCTGATGAAACTTTGCACAAATTTTGAGTACATTTTTCAACGAAAGGCTCGCGATTATTGGCTACCATGCGATTTTTACGTCCGACGTTGCTAAAATGCGCCTTTTCGACTGTCTTTTTTTTGCATTTTTTGACATTTCCCCTCCAATAAAATTGTTTATTCAACGTCATTTTTACGGCATAATCAATAACCCTCCATCGGCTCGAACCACCTCTCCAGTGACATAACTGCACTTGTCGCTGGCCAAAAACACCATGACTTCGGCGATTTCTTCCGGATTCCCCATTCTTTGCAACGGCACCTCTTCCGCATCGGCCTTGGCTTCAACCGGAGCCGCGGCCGCCCCACGAGAATGGAACTTGGTCTCGATCAAGCCGGGCGCCACACAGTTCACTCGAATCCCGAACGGGGCATATTCGTACGCGGCATGCCGAGAGTAATGCTCTAGGGCGGCTTTGCTCACCGAGTACATCGGAAGGCCGGGATGAATTTTTCGCGCCAGCGCGGAACTGGTGTTGACAACAGTGCCTTTGGTTTTTTTGAGATGAGGAAGACATGCTCTTGTCACTCCGATGACGCTGAAAAGTCATAGATCAAAACAGGCGATAATCAGTTTAGGAAGTTTTTGTGGGCGGGTCAAAGCAGTACTCATCGATTTTCTTGTCTCTGAGTTGCATAAATGTCCAGTTTTTCTAATTTTAGCGATTACTAACGTTAGTTTTCTTTACCCCTCAAAATTTGCGTCAAAAAACGAAGAGCCGTAACTTTTATCTATATCTAGATATTATTGATGTACGTACACGTAAAATACCTCAAAATAGATTATAAACTATTCCAGGACCCGATTAATCTAATCATATCTACTAAATATGCATTTTACTGGCCGCTGCCTCAAAATATTCAGCCTCCAAAACGAACCTCTTTACATTCACGTCCATACAGTATTGGAAACATTCTAGGCCATTCGGATCTTTTCCGTCATCACTTATTCCGGCGTTATTCAGCAGAACGTCGATTCTCCCGAATGTGTCAATCGCACTGCTGACAATTCTATTCCAAGTGCCTTCATCTTGAATCGGCCCTGAGACTGTTACGGTTTTTGCTGACGGATGGTGCTGTTTGAGTTCGCTTTCGGCTTGCTAAAGTACAGTGGGGGATCTGATCCAGTGGCAAAAAGCTTACCATTTTGCATACGGGAAGTATCAAAAAATGTGGCAAAATACCTCCCTCTCCAAGTGAAAAATTCAGATTTCAAAAATGCCCGCTCTTTTGTGAGGGCCCTTCAAAACGAAGTTTATTCGCTTGGAGAGGGAAGCATTTTGCCACATTTTTGATAATTCCCGGATGCAAAATGGTACGTTTTTTTGCCACTGGATCAGGTCCTTTACTGTAATTTTAGTGATGAAATTTTATCCCTCCATGAAAGACATAGTCAGCATACCTGTAGTCTCTCCAAGTTTTGTCCATGCAGCACCACACTGGCTTCCTCCCTCGCAAACAGTCGAGCGGCCACTTTGCCAATCCCACTGCTCGATCCGGTCACAATCACCACTTTTTTTGAAAACATCTTTTTAGCGTAAAAACACTTTTTCACCCGCTCGTTTTATACTCTCAGACCGCTCGCACTTTGGGTAAAACGGTAAATAATCGAGGGCGAAAACAACAACAAACTCTCGTTTTTTTCGTCAAAATGTCTACACACATCTGTTTATTTGTCAAAAAATTTTTTAAAGAAAAAAAGTAATATTTGCAATGAAGAATAAGGTAATTAAATTATGGTTTTATCATGAGTCCACCGTTGACTCCGAAGAATTCCCCAGTGATGTAGCTGGCCTTGTCACTGGCGACAAACACCATCATAGCCGCCGCTTCTTCCGGCTTTCCCATCCTCTTCAGCGGCACCATCGCGGCCGCCGCTTTGGCGGCGTCCGGATGCGGATTGGCCCCACGTTCATGGAACGCACTCTCGATGATTCCGGGCGCAACGCAGTTCACGCGAATCCCATCCGCGGCGTATTCGAAGGCGGCGTGCCGAGCGTAATGCTCTACGGCGGCTTTGCTGATCGCGTACATGGGAATTGCGGGTTGAATTTTGCGGGCCACCCCCGAGCTGGTGATGACCACGTTGCCTTTGGTCTTTTTGAGATGGGGAGCGCAAGCTCGTGTCATTCCGATTACACTGGAAAGGGGAAAAATGTATTTGCTGAACCACCAAAGCCCCTAAAACTCCACTTCAGCCACCATTTTCAGACCCTAGCCTATGTTTAAAGACGACAAATTCGTCAATATCCATACCTTTTTACATTCACATCCATGCAGAATTGAAGACAGTCGAGACTCCGTGGATCCTTGCCATCGTCGCTGGCTCCAGCATTGTTCAAGAGAACATCGATTCGTCCGAACTTGTCAACAGTGCAGTTGACAATTCGGTTCCATGTTTTCTCGTCTTGAATCGGGCCGGCAATAGTCATTGTTTTCACACCGGGGAACATCTCTTTTAACTCCCTTTCCACTCCCTGTAAATGAAGATGAGGATGTGCGAGGTGCGATCTCTGGGTCTCCAAAGATAATTACCCTTCATTTCACCGACCTGCAATCTCTCCTGATTCTGTCCATGCAACACAACGGCGGCTCCCTCTTTAGCAAACAACCTGGCCGCCTCCTTGCCAATCCCGCTGCTGGAGCCGGTCACAATCACCACTTTATTCGTGAACATCCTCTTCTTCGGCGACGCAACCTTCTTCTTGGTCTCCGGCGTCTTCTGGGGCATTTTATACAGCTCTGACCGCCACAAAACAAACACAAATAACCAACTGAGAACTGGTTCTTGTTTTCGAAGCCCATATGTAGTTTGTAGTGGCAGTGGCGATTCTTGGTGGAAGAATTTCCTCTCGTTGCTAGGCACAATAACGACACAAACGTGTAGACTTTTTTTGGTGGAACAAACAACATGTTGAGTTTAATGCTGGCACTTACGGGAGAGCGCAGAATTTTCAAAACATTTTTGGGTTTCTGCAGCACAAGACATAACAGAATGTTTTGCACAGAGCAAACAGATTGTACTTGTTGCTAGTAAGAAAGCCGGAAAACGGAATATCATGTCTTCTCAAGTTCCCGGCGTTAATCCAAAAAGAGACTTCTTTCTGGACCGACCGCTGGTAATTTGACAAATATAATATTAATTACATCACTAAAGAAGATGCCATAGAGTTCCGAAAGATTGAGCTATCGCCACTTTTCAGCTTCCTAAAAGAATAAATTTTGACTTGGCAATCTCTCTCCACAGTGACGGACCTGATCCAGTGGCAAAAAACCTATCATTTTGCATTCGGGAAGTATCAAAAATGTGGCAAAATACTTCCCTCTACAAGCGAAAAAAAACTTTGTTTTGAAGGGCGCGCCCTAAAGAGGGGCCACGCTTTTGAAATCTGAGATTTTTTCATCTGGAGGAGGAAGTATTTTGCTGCATTTTTGATACTTCCCGGATCCAAAATGGTACCTTTTTTGCCAATGGATCAGGTCCGCCACAGTAAACTGTAGAGCCCCAAGCCAAAGAATAGGGCATAAAATTAAAGTTTATTTATCAAAACCCGCACAATACCTCGTGTTGAGTCATTCACCGCTGACTCTCAACACGAAGGGTCAAACTCTTCCAGAATTGCGTCCATGCCGAAGGAAGTCGGGCGAGGCGCGTACGTGTGAACCACATGATCCTCAATGAAGTCCTCATAAATTGCTTCTACACTGACCTTCGAAAAGCCGACGTCTGTACGGTCTCGCATAAACTTCCGCAGCGCCTCGTAATAGTGACTGGCATTCGACGGACTCCGCGGCTCGACGCAGCAATACTTCTGAAAGCTTGAATATTGGAGATCCGATCGCCAGCACTCACTGCCATTTTATACAGAGGATCACGATTTGCACCATCGGAGGAAGCCTGCACCACCACACCGCATTCATCGTTCAGCGCCCTGCTGCTACCACTTCTTAGGCGGCATACCAACCCGCGGTCACCAATGTCGTTGGCGCATCCGGATATGATCTGGAAACAATACGGCTTATGTCAAGGTCAAGTTACAGCGTTTGGCATGTTATCCGATCAGATCGAAAATCAATTGAAGTCAAAAGAAATCTCACAAAAGAATTTTTCGCGGGGCCTTCCGACCGAAAAATATTTTTCTCGGAATCTTATTTGTTTTGTCAATTTTGACACTTCGTTTGGACGAAACTCAAATGTGTGCGGAAAACATTTTTCTTCTCTTTCGGATTGCCGTCCTTTACCCCGGAGTTGGACGATTGGGGAAACCGAAAAGTGCTATTTTTCTTCGATGCAAATGTCGAAATTAGGATAATCGATGGTGCTGATTTCGAAAATGACATTCATTTTTTTGATTGTTACTTTTTTCCTTATGTTAAGTAAAGTAGTCCTTTTTAAATTTTTTCATAAATACTCGATTTAGGGGTTTTCGATGGTGCTGATTTCGAAAATCGTGTTAACTTTTTACTATCTGCGGTACGAGATGAAAATAAGGTTTTTGACGATCATGGTGTTGTTTTGATGCTTAGTACTCTTCAAAAACACGTTTTAAAGGCTTCGTGCTATTTAGTACCGATCAGATAGTACTATATAGTACTGCATAAAAAGTTAACATGATTTTCGAAATCAGCACCATCGATTATCCTAATTTCGACACTTGCATCGAAGGAAAGTAACACTTTTCGGTTTCCACAATCCTACTTTTCCCCAGTCGTCCCAGTTCCGCTTCACCCATGTCGCACTAAAACCGTCCACAACTCACTCGATCCGTATCATCCAGGAAAGCATAACATTGGTAAGCGCACTCGACGCTCTGATGACCATCTTGTGGGCAAACTCTTTTTTCCTCTAACTCATCGCTAACAAGCGCAATATCTTCTTCCAAGAAATATTTGGTATAATTAATACCGTCGTTATAGGGGGCATTAAATTTATGCGGATGACTGCAAAATCCAAACTCTCCGTGGACTTTGATTCTGACTCCTTGGACGCATTCCGACAAACGCTGAAACCAATTTTGTAACAAAAAAAAAATTGTTTTAAAGTACAAGTTTAGGCGATAAACTAACCTGTCTTTCTGCGTGGAAGAGGACCTTGTCGCTCTGCTTGTCCAAAAAATGCGCATAACAAAACTCACCCGCTTCCACTTCTGAACATGAAAAACGTTGACGAAGAAACAAATTTCTTTTATCGATATCATGCTTACCTTTCTCCTCACCCCCGATGTTCGTCCGTTTCATTGACCCGTCTATGGAATACTCTCCGACATAGCAAAAGAGCGCTTCCGAGTCAGGTGTTGTAGTCGTTGCGGGAACAGTTGTTGCGGTAGATGTTGCCGGCTCTGTTGTTGTCGCCCGCAGTTCGTACGTTGAGTCTTCAATTTCAGCTGAAACGACACACGTCAATCCAGCGCATTTCCTGAACCGTTTCGAAACTTCGTATCGTTTTCATTGATTTAAAAGAGAGACGAAATGTCGCGAAATTACCGGCACTTTTTCTAGCCCGAAATAGTTGCTTTTTCTCGAAAAGGGAGAAGAAAGATTAGAAAATGGTTTTTATCGGTTAGTGACATTTCGTTTTGAACGAATCACCAAAAAGGGGCGGGAAATTTTTTCTTCACTTTCTGCTGAAACGAAAAATTCTACAAATACGTTTTGAGACTTGACCAAGTGAACCCGTTGGTTTTAAAAGGGCCTTGAAACTATTGTAGTAAAATGCATTTTACTACAGTAGTTTGTTTAGTCTCTGTAGTTTCCGAAAATTAAATTTTTTAAAGTTTTTCTCCACTACTTATCAGTCTGTCGGGAAAGTAATGTGCCAAATGTCGCTGCGACAATTTCTGAAATGAAAAGCAATTTAAATTTGACAATCCATTTTCCCGCGGCGACGCGATTTTCGCTGCGACATTGTGCTCATTATTTTCCCGACGGACTGATATTTCTATGGTAATGGCCAAGATAAGATTTCCACATCCAATTTGAAAATTCCAAAATTCAAAAAAAGTTTACTCTTTGCGTAGTGTTGTTCGTTTTGCTTGAAGATTTGGAAAAGCTGCTCCTCCACTTTACTCTCCGTTCCTGGTTTGGCTAAAAGTTTAAAAAATTTAAGTAAGATCTTCAAAAAAGTTTTTTTTCTATATTTTTTTGATAGCGACTTGCCCATAGTAAGAATCAGCACAGTGGAGTAGCCCTTGTGAAAAACCTTGGTCCCATTTTCGCAGTAACTTGTCAGATTTACTGTTAAATTAAACTTGCGGTTAATTCTCTAAAAATGCGATAAATGAAGTTCGAAATGGAATCAAAAAATTCAAAAAAAAAAAAAAATCTCACCCGCTCTTCTAACAACTCCACCGGCTCGTCAAAGTAATCAAACGAAATAAATTTTCGCATTCCAGTATCAAACGCGACCGGGCACAGCGGTCTCCTCGGATCCTTGGGAATGTAGAAGCGGGAGCGATTACAGGGTCCCTGAACAATAATGCCACTGATTTTGCTTGAGAATATTGCCGAAGATGAAAATTCAGCAATGTTTTTTTATGACAGAACACGCAAAATGAGTAACGGTCAAAGAGAAAAAACTATTTTGGCTCAATTTTTCTGGGAGAAATGTAACTTTTGCAAACTTTTTTCTTTTATGAAACTTGGCACAAATTTAGAATAATTTTGTTTAAAATGTATGCGACAATCCTAGCTCGCGCTTTGCAGAAACCACCGAGATTTTTAGATCGAAAGTCGACGAAAATTTGAGACTTCTTGCCGAATTTCGGCACGAAAAGTTGCATATCCATTTCTTCCGTAAAGGGTAGTGTTTCCACAAAAAATGAATTTTTTCCGCACAAAACTAGCCAAGTTACGGCCAAAAACTGTTTTTCTCTCTGACCGCTCTCCTCGTTTAGCGTACTCTCTCGGCTGCAGAGATCGTTCAATATCTCGGCTGCGCCTTCAAAGCGCGAGCTAGGACTTTGAGGAATTGATATTTACTTCATACCCGACGTGTGTGCAAAATTTAAAGAAAGTTTGAGCAAATGGCTTTTGCCGCGAAGTAGAACTGCCACCAATTTCTGCAAGTCCTAAGCTCGCCGTCTCTCAAATTTCCTCCCAAACGCTCCATCTAACTTACCTGTTCCTGTTGTTCCATTTTTAGATGACAAAACGCAGAACCTTGACATCCCATAAGTCTGTAGTGGACCGAATTCTCTTGTTCCAAATCATAAAACGGGCAGCCAAATTGTACATAATTCGGAAAATTTTCGTTCTCATCTAAAACATGGACAACATTGGCTTTCAAAAAGCACATAAATTCTGTTCTTTAATTACAAAACCCACCCCAATGAGGGAGGAAACGCTCCTTGAACATCTCTACATCTAATGGTTTTTCGTCCAGAATTTTGACGGCATCTTTGGGAGTCATCCCGTTCTGATGTAGAGTGCTACCATTGGGGCTGAAATACTAACAAAAATAAAGAATTTTTGGGCTGAAAATAGGAAGCGGGGTTTTGCCGAGCCCTTGTAAAATTAAGCCTACAAAACAGTTTCCAAATTGAAGCAAAAATTCTGGCTTTCCTTGACCGCGATTGCTCCATATCCCGTAAATTCGGTGTCCGAAATCTTGACCGGATTGTCCAGTCGAAGGCAGTAAGATTTTGTATCGGAATAGTTGCCAAGTTCGGGAAAATTTGAGCCGAGAATTGTTTCATTACCAAAGTATGCCACATCAATCAACTTTTCATTTTCGTTCCAATAAATCCGAGTGCCAAATTCACTGAAATGTTTATAAAAAATAGATAGAATAAAGAGTTTAAAAATGCTGATAAAGATTTCTTTAAAAAGGTATTTTAATCGGTAATTTTTTCGATGAAAAATGAATATTTCGGATTTTGATAATTCAGGGAAAAAATTTATTTAGAAATGCCCTGAGGGAATATTGAGAGGAAAACTTTATGACCAACAAATAAGGGCTTTCAAGATCCGAGAAATGCAATTTTTGAAAATTTTGATCCATTATTTTCAAAGTTATTGGCCTTCCAGACCTGAGGGAAGGCGAATAATTCATGTTTATAGATTTCAAAAAGTTTTATTATATATTCAAAGTAGAAAAAAAGCTTACATGGTGTCATGATCCTTAAATCCCAACGCTCTTTTAGCTATTAGACCCTCCGCAAGATTGAAAGCACTGAACAGAAAGCCTCTACTGTTTGTCGGCTTCTTCAGATTGATCCGTTTCAAAACTCCGCAAAATAAGGATCCGCTCTGAAAAAAGCAATGTGGCTTCAAAAGAAAAGTCGAGTTGTCTAAAACTATTAATAAATGAAAAAGTTCCTTATTCTGGCCACAACAAAGGTACTCTGCGAACCGCGCCCAACCTTGGGAATTAAAGTTAGGAAACAAGGCTTTGACCTAATTGGCACTGAATTACTATAACATCTCTATAGTTTTAAGGGTACCTACGAAGGCTATGACGACTGATTTAGTTCTATACGGAGGGAATACGTTTAGATCCGGACATGTTTCATCGTATAAAGTGTAAAATCGCGGATTGCAGCCGTTTTTGAAGGGTAAGGTGGTACGTAAAAACTCACCAACTAAAGCCACTTTCGACAACGATGAATTTATTCTGCACGCTAAATTTGGGCTAATTCTGACCAGCTTCCGCAAAGTTATAAGCTGTGGCCAGAATAAGGAACTTTTACCTAATAAACTCACGCAAGCGTCTTCAGACGGGTACAATGATCCGCCCACATGCCGATAGAGTCCATCCAGCCAGGCTTGAAGTAGGTCGTCATCGCTGGCGTATGCATCTTAAAATCAATTTTTGGAAAGTAAATAACGTCTTCAACAACCCACCAGTACGTCTACCAATCATCACTCCCAACGCCCTTCCTTCCCATTTGGCCAGAACAGCAAAGAAATCCGACTCGAACGCTTGACATGACAAATACTCAAAATCGGCCGTCTCCTCCAGCGACTCTTGATCGATTGCAGCTACCGGCGAATTCGCGGTGACATCGTACAACGGATCCGCCAAAGGGAACTCGCAAGGCCATCCGAAGTTTGATGGAAGAGTAGATGAAAGGAGAAATAAAATCAGCCACATCTCGGGATGAAAACAAAGATTGAAAATGAAATTTTTGAGAGAAATCAAACTTGAGTTGGAAAATGTTTTTTTTCAACAAAAAAGTGGCCAACGTGGGGAGCTATTTTTAGATGGTTTTCTTAACTTTTTGTATTGTAGACAGCAAATGGTGCAGTATGCTTCCACAACCTTTGCCCAGTCACCCTTGAATCGTGGTTGCACGGCTTCAAAAAAGAAATGTGCAAAAAATTTTCTTACTGCATCAATAACGATAGAAAAAAGTTATATCGGCATTCTATTACATGTTATGTTGACATTCTATTACATTTGTACCTGTGAACAAGTAATTATTTTTCAATTTATTTAGAATATTTTCGGCTTTGTGTTCGCGGTTAGAGGCCAGACATTTCATCTTCCATGCCATGAAATGTCGATTCAAATGTAACTCTACCGGCCCTTCAATGTTCTGTTCTTGATCGGCTATAATCAAAGCAAAAAACGCGGCTGACCTTTTTCGACTAAAGACTAATTTGGATCTAATATGATGTCTCTACCAGCGCTTCGATTTTAACACAATAATGTTTCCTGATTTTTGTCAACTGTTAAGATGTTGGTAGGTTTAATGGGGCATACTGCTTTTGGTTGCGCAAGGCTATAGTAGGGATTTTAGAGGCTCGTAGCCTTGGGACTATTTGTCGCTCCGGCTTTCTCCGCCTTGACCGGCCAACAACTTGTCGACTACATCAACACAAACGGCCTGTTTAAGGCCACATACCATGCGCTCGGTAACATTCGGCATTACGGACACATATCAGATCCCCAAAAACAGCTCACCGTCTACGAGCACACCAAATACGACTATGACCTTACTGTGAAAATCCCTGAACAATTTGACTCCGCTGAAAACTGGCCTGAATGTGCCGACATCATCAACAACATCCGCGATCAATCCAACTGTGGCTGTTGCTGGGCTGTGGTCTCTGCTGGCATCCTTTCCGACAGGATCTGTATCGCGACAAAAGGGAAATACAAGGTCTCAATCTCCAGCATTGCGACAGCGTCATGCGCTGGGAAAGATGGGTAGCGTGAGAGATTCTTCGCTATACATACAATGGGGGACCTGATCCAATGGCAAAAAGCGTACCATTTTGCATCCGGGAAATATCAAAAATGTGGCAAAATGCTTCCCTCTCCAAATGAAAAGACTTCGTTTTGAAGGGCGCTGTCCCACACTGTATATCAGCAGGAGTTCCCTTAATTCTAATAAGTTTAGGTGCTGTGGAGGCAACGCGCATCTCGCCTACAACGAGTTTATAAAGAACGGACTTCCGACAGGTTCGGAAGAAGGCCTAAACCAGGGATGTCAGCCCTATCCCTTCAAGCATTGCAACCATGGCGTCAACGTCACAAAATATCCATTCTGCGAAGAACTCCCACATATACCCGAAGCAGACGTATGTTCTCACAAATGTCAAGCGAGCTACCCGAAGAAGTACGAAGATGATCTGTATTTTGGGAAGGAACAGTACAAGCTGCAAGGGGAAGAAACAATTCAACGGGAAATCCTGAAAAATGGGCCGCTTTACACCTCGTTTCAGGTCTTTGATAGTTTCGAGTACTATTCAGCCGGAATTTATCGAGTAAGTCGGAAAGAAGTGCGTGTTCATTGCAGAGCGTTCCCGGCGAACAAGCCCAGGTGCACCATGCCATGCGGATTGTCGGATGGGGCGTTGAGAACGGCACAAAATACTGGAAAATCGCTAATGTTTGGAATGACAAGTGGGGAGAGAAGGGATTTGTCCGCTTCATACGAGGCATTGACGACTGTGGCGTAGAAAGTAATTGCGCCGCAGTCACAGTGGACACTGATCACCTTCCAAAGAACTAAATGTCTTGTCTCGCCAGTTAACTGTTCTGTGTCGTCGCATACAAAAATATAGATAAAGAAATGATCATATATGGTTGTTGCTCAGGGATTTTCACATATATATCAATTCCTCGTTTGCTGAAGCAATCGAATTCTTAACCGCGCCCTAACAAAGGAAGTATTCCTAATGCTTTGAGCACTTCGCCGTAAGTCAAGGCACAGACCTGAAAGCCCTAAAGGTTGAAGAGTTCCTAAAGCATTTGCTCTGTCGTCTGGATTGCCATTTTTTTGGTAAATGATTAGAACTTTAGGGGCTTCGGTAGTTGAGCCCCCCACGAAAGCTAGTTCAAACCCCGGCGTCGCGACACTTGCGGGCAACCACTTTGCGGGCAACCAGTTTGCGGGCAGATTTTTTGCGGGCATCCACTTTGCGGGCAAAATTTAGGGGGTCACATTTGCGGGCAGCTGAAACATTTGCGGGCAGCTGAGACACTTGCGGGCAGCCTGGGACACTTGCGGGCAACCGACACTTGCGGGCAGCCGACATTTGCGGGCAACCGGCACCTGAGGGTTACAGGGTAGAGGAGGAAATATTACTGCGATATTTTGGAAATTTGCCGACATTTGCGGGCAGCCGACACTTGCGGGCAGCCGACATTTGCGGGCAACAGAAAAAAACAGTCACACAGACTGTATAGGAACTTTTGGAACTGTTGCCCGCAAATGTCGGTGTCCCGCAAGTATTGCCTGCCCGCAAATGTCGGAAAACTTCCAAAATATCGCAGTAATTTATCCACCTCTACCTTGTTATCATCAAGTGCCGGTTGCCCGCAAATGTCGGCTGCCCGCAAATGTCGGCAAATTTCCAAAATATAATATCATAGTAATTTTTCCACGTCCACCCTGTTACCCTCACAATCAGGTGTCGGTTGCCCGCAAATGTCGGCTGCCCGCAAATCTTCCAGGCTGCCCGCAACTGTCGACCCTGCCCGCAAATGTCCCAGGCTGCCCGCAAATGCCGGTGCTGGCCGCAAATGTCGGCTGCCCGCAAAGTGGCTGCCCGCAAAAAATTTGCCCGCAAAGTGGTTGCCCGCAAAGTGGTTGCCCGCAAGTGTGCGCCCGCCCAAACCCCCACTGTTTTGCCCGTTTCACACCCCACATAATGAACAAATTAGAATAATACAAAAAATGTAAGTGGGGTTTGATCTACTACGTTGGGGGTTTGATCTTAAACGTAGGGGGCTATTTCTAAAACGTAGGGGGCTTCATCTAAAACGTAAGGGGCTTCATCTCAAACATAGGGGGCTTGATCTAAAACGTAGGGGGCTTCATCTAAAACGCAGGGGGCTTGTTCTGGACCATAAAACTTGGATTAATTCTTTGAAATAAATTTTGAGGTTCAGAATGGACGAGGGGGGTTGTACTGGGTCATGGGGGGCTAAACTGGACTGGGGGGCTGTACTACCTTAGCCCAGAACTTTACAAGACAACATGCTAAATATCACCCACACTTCGATGGAACGCCATCGCACGTGAAACATGAACGCACTGACATATATAGTATATATGTATATAGTATACTATTCGCCGGACCTTTAGCCTTATTCGGTAATAATAACACCGGAATTCATCTTCTGATCAATCGTAATGGTGAACGGAAATACCAAACTGTGAGATTTGTCGATATACATAAAAGAAAAAGAGAACGACCATTTCTCAGTGGTTTGTTGAAATTGTGGCAATGATCGTAAGTCGAAGACGACGTTGAAAGACAAGTTTCAGCGATTCTTTGTTTCGAGCTTGTTGGTTGTTCCCATCTTTTCCACTTTGACTGGCCAGGATTCTGATGACATCAACAGGAATGGTCTGTCTGAACCAAAAGACCCTCCGTCTGACCCCGTAGATATCCGACGTCGCGGATATATACCGGATCCCCTAAGAATGCGGACGGCTAAGAAGCGTACCAGAGATCACTATGACCTCACCGTGAAAATCCCAGAGAACTTTGACGCGGCGGAAAATTGGCCTGAATGTGCTGACGTCATCAACAACATCCGTGATCAGTCCAACTGCGGCTCTTGCTGGGCCGTAGCTGCGGCGGGCGTCATCTCCGACAGGATTTGTATTTCCACAAAAGGAAAATACAAAGTCTCAATCTCCAGCATTGCGACAGCTTCATGCGGTGGAAGAGACGGGTAGGCAGACAAATCCTCAATATTTAGGGAGGTTCCCGATTGCGACGCTCAGATGTTGATGAAACTTGGCATAAATTTGGATTTATAGTACGTTTTCTAGAACAGATGGGAGTATACCTTTCTTGTTATGAAAAGTTTTTTTACCAGTTCCTACCGTAATGGGTAATGTTTCTTCAAAAAAATCATTTCTTTCGGCATAAAACTAGCAAGAATATAGCCAAGAATCGTATATCTCTCTAAATTAAACCTTCACGAATTTCTATGTGGCGTAATGCCCGAAGTATGTGCAAAATGAAAAAAAAATATCTGAGCGTCGCACTTGAGGCCCTTCCCTTGCAATATGTTTGTAATACACTGATCTTCAGATGCCATGGGGGCGGCGAATTTATAGCTTTCCACGAATTTATTGCTGATGGCCTTCCAACGGGCTCAGAAGTCGACAAGCATGAAGGTTGCCAGCCTTATCCCTTCAAGAAGTGTGCTCATCACATCAATTCCACCGTATACCCACCTTGCGACTCAATTCCCAGCGGGCATGCCGACACATGCTCGCACAAATGTCAAGCTGGCTATCCGAGGAAGTACGAGGATGATTTGTTTTTCGGCAAAGATGAATACATCCTGTTGAACGAAGAGGCAACTCAACGAGAAATCCTTGCCAATGGGTCCGTTTTTAGGCTTTTTCTGCTACGACAGTTTTGATAATTACACAGGGGGAATTTATCAGGTGAGTTTTGGACGGAGTTAAACTTACCGTTTAGCACGATCCTGACGAGACGAAAGGCGGCGGGCACGCCGTGCGCATCGTTGGTGAGAACGGAACAAAGTACTGGAAAATTGCGAACAGTTGGAACGAAGGCTGGGGCGAGCACGGCTTCCTCCGCATTATCAGGGGCATTGATGACGGTGGCATAGACAGTTTGAATGCCGCTGTTTCGATTGACACTGATCGTCTTCCGAAGAAGTGGGCAACTTACGCACCCCGTTCAAGAGTTTGAGCACTTTGTACATCGATTGTGTTAAAATAATAATAAATTTTTTATTGCAACATGTTCTACTTATCACTTAGTCAGACAGAATTTGTCGCCAAAGCAGTAATGCCGACCAAAGAATATCAGCCTAATTATTGAAATTCTCGGTTCTTTGGGAGGCGGTTTGTGTCAGTGATAGCTTGGCACTCTCCGTTTCAAATTAACAATCATCGATCCATTTGATCACCCGAAAGAATCCGTTTTCCCTTCAATCCTCATTCCAGCTTTTCGCGATCTTCTAGCATTTTTTTCCGTTTGCAACTCATCCAAAAATCGCCTCTAGAGAAACCGTGTAACGCAGGCTATACAGCACATTATTGCATAAAGATATATGCAATAATGTACTGTATATTTTTTATATACTTCCACAACGGGCCAACAATAATATTTTTTAGAAGCCCCATAAATTTCCAGCAAAGCTCTTGATCAGCTCCTCTGATCATATCGCTGCTGCAAAAACCACAATGTTCCTATTGAGCAGTATTGCACATATGCATTTGTAATTAAAAATTCCTGATATTTTCGTTGATATAAATTAATAAATAACTGTTATTTTTCTTCCGCAATTTTGCTCTTTCAAACCATAATGTTATTGACCGGAATGGTACTCAAGATCTATTATTTGTTCCATTCGGAAATACCACGAAGATGGTATAAAACCTCTGCGAGAACATGAAGTCTTCACTGTCATTGAGCGGCCGCAACAACGATGTTGGTAAGCCCTGAAGAAATTTTACTTTTGCTTGCAGAAATTTGCGACCCTCGTCCTGTTCCTTATCCCAGTTGCTGCCTCCTTGAGCGGCCAGGAGCTCGTCGATTACATCAACAAAAACGGACTTTTCAAGGCTGTATACAACCCATCAGCCGGAGCCTACCACTTTGGTCGTATCAACGATCCGTTGCGCAAATCGACGTTGAAGAAGCGAACTGAAGCGGACTACGACTTGAGCGAGGAGATTCCGGAGTCATTCGACGCTGCGGAGAAATGGCCCGAGTGCGCTGAGGTCTTCAACAACATCCGCGATCAGTCAAACTGCGGGTCATGTTGGGCTGTGAGTTCGGCCGGCGTTATGTCCGACCGTATTTGCGTGGCGACGAACGGAAAAGTGAAGGTCTCAATCTCTGGAATTGCTACTGCTTCTTGCGTCGGCGGTGATGGGTAGGGCTTCCTTTCGTATCCAATTTTGACTCACCATAACGCCAAGGCTTAATAGTGTCAATTCCAGCTGCAATGGTGGCCTCGAGGAGGTGGCCTTCGAGAAATTCATCGAAAACGGATTTCCTACAGGCTCAGAAGTCGACAAACATCAGGGATGCCAGCCGTATCCCTTCAAGCATTGTGCCCATCATGTAAATTCAACCGAATACCCGCCTTGTGATTCGGTTCCTGAGTACAAGGCTGACACTTGTTCCCACGAATGCCAGAAGGACTACGATCGGAAGTACGAAGAGGATCTGTACTACGGGAAGGAACAATACGGATTCAGTGACGAGGCGCCCATCCAGCGCGAAATTATGACAAATGGTCCTGTAGCCGTCTCTTTCACCGTTTACGAAAGTTTCCTGTATTACAGCGGTGGCATTTATCGCGTAGGTTTTCTGACGAATCCTCTACTGATTTAGTCGACGCCTGGAGAGAGGATCAAGGGTTATCATGCTGTTCGTGTCGTTGGTTGGGGTGTTGAGAACGGCACCAAGTACTGGAAGATTGCCAACAGCTGGAACGAACAGTGGGGAGAGAACGGCTTCTTCCGCATACTCCGCGGCGTCGACGAGAGTGATATTGAAGACGGAGGTGTGGCCGTGACAATTGATACCAGCCGTTTGCCAGGGCATGGTTTTTTCGGCTGAAGCAAGACTTTTTGCAATAAACCTGTTAACAAGCTTGTCTTTTGTAAATTTGTGACTCACTTTGATATAAATATTATTATCATTATGTAGCTTGTGATCAAGATTTTCGCCAATTACTAAATTACAGTACCCTTTGATGACACTTGGCACAAACTTAGACTTATTTTTTACAAGACAAATGCGAGATTTCTAGCTTACGCTCAGCTTTTTTGGTGGGATGCTGTCAAAAATGTCATGTTTTTTGCAAATTTTGAAGGGTTAACCCCGGCAAAATCCGAGGAAAATCGGTAAGCTTTATCCTTGGGGCATCCCATGGCAGGTCTACACTTATTTAAGAACTTCACTTAATAACTTCCAACCAATTACAACAATTATATTTATTAAAAGATACCGTATACAAATAGACGGAATTCCCCTTTGACAATACGTTCCCTTTCTTCCCCCCTCCGTTCTTTTTTGAACGGGGGCAGGCTTAAGTATAGAAATATAGAGAAGGAGCGGGGTCGGACGCACGGCGGTTGCACGCCGTAACAAGCTCTAGTTGACTACATCAACGCGCAAGGCCTGTTTGTGGCCGAGTACAACTCCGCAGACTCAGCACTTTCAAAGGCCCCTTTGAAAAGTCCAAGCCAGTGATTCGAACAAAATATGACTACAATTTGAGTAGCGCAGAGATCCCGGAGTCGTTTGATCCGGCGGTGAAATGGACAGAGTGCGCTGGAATAATCAACCTCATTCAGGACCAATCCAAGTGCGGAAACTGCTACGCCACAGCGGTTACTGGTGTAATCTCGGACCGGATTTGCGTCGCCACCAAAGGCGAACACAATGTTTTACTTTCCGCGTGGGCGGCTACGTCCTGTATGAATGGTGACGGGTAAGATCAAATAATACCTCGGTCACCACGTCATTGGATGGGGTGTGGAAAACGGCGAGAAATATTGGACCATTGCAAGCAGTTGGAATGAAGAGTGGGGCAACCACGGGTTCATTAAGATGCTGGCCGACGAAAACGATTTGCTACCATTGATCTGAGCCGCCTTCCAAAGCTTTGATAAACTCAATACTTTTACTGAAATTTTGGTTTTTACAAAATTTCTAAGAAACTTGCAAACAAAGCGCGGTAATATTTTATTTCCTCCTATTGACAAAGAGAACGTCATCGTGAATTACAATACGCATGTCTTTGGAAGGTCGTAAAAACTGGTGCGGAATAAGTGCGACTCCATTGAAAGGTTGTCATAAAATTTAATTTAGACAGTATATTGAGTATATTGAACACATTACACGAAACGAAATGGAGAGATATAAAAGGCAAAGAAAAACGTCTAAAATATTGTTTTTCCGTTTGAGCGTTGTATGCTTCATCTAGCTGAGGGAATCACAGATCTCCATTAAATATTGCTTCATATTTCGCTTTGATTCCGCAGTTAAGGACACGCCATAGGTATAGTATGTATATGTACAGTGGGGGTGGCAAAAGCGTGGCAAAAAACGTGCCATTTTGCGTCCAGGAAGTATCAAAAAAATGTGGCAAAATACCTCCCTTTCCAAGTGAAAAATCTCCAATTTCAAAAGTGGTGAGGGAAAAGGCGTAGCCCTTCAAAATGAGGTTTTTTCTCTTGAAGAGGGAAGCATTTTGCTACTTTTCTGATACTTCTCGGATGCAAAATAGTACGTTTTTTGCCACTGGATCAGGTCCCCACTGTAGTTGAACTGGCAGCTAAAGCATCTAGCTGAGATGGAGTTTCCAATACATCCCCTTAGAGCCATTTGGAATATTTTTAAACCAAAGCAATCCGTTGGCTAACCCTTAGTAGATAACTGTAATCAGCCACAAGCCAAAAAAAGTCATTCTTAGAAAATCCCCCTCGGTCCCGCCTTACCACATCATTTTTCCTCAAGGTGCCCCTTTTGCCCAGGTGCACTCTTTCTCTTAGGTACCCTCTCCGGATCCAACCTGCTTCATAATATTTGAACAGGGGAAGTACCATAAGTGCGACGCTCAGATTTTGATGAAACTTGGCAAAGATTTTTTTTAGGAATTGATACTTGTTTCATAACCGACGTGTGTGCAAAATCTTAAGAAAATCTTGCACTTGGGGTACTTCTTTTGTAAGCTGAATGTTTTCAGACAAAATGCGGCTAACTATCCTCTTTTTTCTCCTTGTGTCGGTCATCTTCATATCCAATGTCAGCGCCAAAGAAGTCGTCGGTGAGGAAGCTCTTCTCCAATTCCACAAGCAATTGGCCAAGTTGACGGCCGAATTCAGCCAACTGATCAAGGGAAAAACGAATCATGGAGCAAATAAAAAAGTCAAGAAGGCCAAAAAGGACAAGAAACAAAAGAAGAGTAAGAGTAAGAAGAGCAAGAAGGAGGAGAAGAAGAGTAGCAAACATGCCGCCACAACAACACGCAGCGAAGAGGAGTGAAAAAAGGTAGTGACCATTTACCAAGTTTAAGTCATTATAATTGTAAAATTTAACCTTTAAACAATGTTCTTGGACCTTCTCCATGCGTGAATCATAAATATTTATTCTTACATCGTCGGAAAAATTTACAATATTAGGGTTATTACAGAGTAGCGGGGTATTACTGGCAATATGTAAAAGTCGAGTTGAGGAAATTGGGAAAATAATTTATGGATATTACTCGTCACAAAATCGATTTTCACTCTAAAATTCTGACAGACATTTGATGAGTTTCGGGGTTCAGGGGAATTGTCAAAAAATTGTAAATTTTAAATAAAAAATCACTTAAATAAAGCAAAAATCGAGAGAAAACAGATCCGCCTCGGGCATGGCAAATCTTTTTTCGGCAATTTTCTGGAAAACATCCCCTAAATCCAAAAAAAATGTGGAAAAATTGAAAATTGAAATAAAAAATCATGGAGAGTTTCCGTGCGAATAGGTTTTCAGTTGGTTTTGAGGATCGAGTTGTGCTCGGAAGTTGATCTTGTCCACCCACTCCACCATGCTCTTGTAACTGTCGCAGGAGAACAAGTACTCCGCTCCGTCGACGGTGTTGAGTCTGAAAAATGAGAGAAATTAGCGTAAGAGAACGCAAAATGATCGGAGTTGGATGATTGGGCAAACCGAAAAGTGTTATTTTTCTTCGATGCAAATGTCGAAATTAGGATAATCGATGGTGCTGATTTCGAAAATGACATTCATTTTTTGACTGTTACTTTTTTCCGTAATTAGTACTGTAAAGTAGTACTTTTTAAAATACTCGATTTAGCGGTTTTCGATGGTGGTGATTTCGAAAATCATGTGAACTTCTCCTCTAGTACTATATAGTACTATCTGGTACCATGTATTACGAGGTGAAAATTTTGCCTTTAAGCGTTAGTGGTGTTGTTCTCGTGGCGAGTACTGTTATTTTCACCTCGTACTATATAGTATCAGGTAGTACTAAATAGCACCACGTCTTTAAAAAAGTTTTTTTTGAAGAGTACTAAGCATCAAAACAACACCAAAAACGTGAAAAGCCATATTTTCACCTCGTACTACATAATACCAGAGAGTACTATATAGTGCTAGAGGAAAAGTTCACATGATTTTCGAAATCAGCACCGTCGACTATCTTAATTTCGACAGACATTTGCATCAAAGAAAAATAATATTTTTTGGTTTCCCCAATCGTCCCAGTTCCAAAACGATAGAAGGTATCTCTTGGATAAAAAAAACTTACTTGAAAGTGTGTTTCCTCTTCAGGTACTCCGGATAGACGGCGCAATGCGCGTCGCGGATGCTGACACTAGCCAAGGCCTTGTTGTCGAACAACGAGTCCTCGTCCTTGAAGAAGCACAGCATGTGGCCGCAGAGGATCGTGTAGAAGTTCCTCCACGTCCTGAAGGTCGGCTTCTTCCCGCCGCTCTGCAGCCTCTCCTTCCGATCGATGTAGCCGTTCATGTCGATGGACTTGAGGTCCGCCCATTGGCGCATATTCTTGATGCTCTGCGTGCGGCGCGTGTGGAAGCCGGTGCGTCGCGAGGTGAGGGTGCCGGTGTTCGAGTTGGTGTAGCCACTGGAGCCCGCCGACAACGGGCCGTACTGGTCTTGGCCGGCGGCCGCGGTTTGCACGTGCAGGTCCTGGCCCGGCTGATGACGCAGCTCTTGCTGCGAGATGGACAGCGTCTCAATGCCGATGGATTCGATCGGATCCGAGGCGCGGTTTCCTCGAGATCTCGGAAGGGTGGCGGATGCGATGTTAGGGGTGGCAAAAGATGTGTTTTCCTGAAAATAAAACGATTTTGAATGAGCTTCAAAATTGCATTTTTCAAAATTTTGACGATAAATTTTTTGATGATGACAATTTGAAATAAAAAAAATCCTCTACTGAAAATAATCCATAAAAGTTGCTCAAAAAACATCTAAAATTATACAGCCCGCAAAAAGAGTAAACATTTTATATCGCCTCCCCGAAAAACATCTATAAAACGCTGGGTGGTGGGTTGTAAAATACTCAAAATTAGATAGAAAATACGCCATGATCGGGGTCCGGACGTCATGTGCGAAAAGCCCGCAAAATTTAACACCTATCAAGAAAGTTGAAATACAAATAGATAAAAATATTATGGCTCATAACATTCTTTTTATGTGCGTTGCTTTTGAGGGTGCAATCAAAAGGGCATAGGGGGATTGTAGATCGTTTTTTGAAGAAATCAGGTGTGTGTTTTTAACTACAATTTCTTGATATTACTGATACTGCAGTTATCACTAAAAGGAAAAATTTTGATTTTAGAAATGGTTTCATTTATAGGTGACGTCATCAAAAGAAAAAAAAGTGATCAGTTTTGACGCAAGTTCTATTAATAGTTCCAAAATATTTGGAAATTTTTATCAGTTTGCACGGACATATCGTATATAGATCAAAACGTCTCTGTATGAACTAGATCAAGAAGTCTTTATAGAACGCTGATTAAGATCTTATTCCGTACTTACATTAAAACCCCAAGAAAATGGGAGTAATTAGAAGTTCCTACAAAAATTCGAGTAAAAATCAAGTTTACAGTGCCAGTAGCTCTATTACTGGTCTTTCCGGCGAGTCTGATTTCTGGTTTGTTGCGTTTGCACTGTGCGAAAAAAGTCAGGGTACGAGCGACAGCCGAAAAAAAGCCTAATGAAAAAAAGCCTAGTAAAAAATTGCACAGTGCAAAGAAAACCTTTGTTTTCGCAAAGTGCGTGTTGCCGATTTCAGTCCGATGACTTTCCGAAAACTGCCATTACAACCGCCTTTGAACCCCCGATGATAAAACCAGCCCTCCCCCGCAACAATGATTCGAGCTCTAAATCCAATTTCGGCAACTCCCTAGCTCCTAAAAATGGCAACAATGCCTGTGCGAGCGAAAAACAGCGCCTCCGGGGCTCGTAAAAACAAATGGAAATCACTGGGGGGAAAAACACGAGAGCCGAGGTTCTCGGGGCCGCCAACCAAGTGCGGATGGCCTTTCTTCGCGGCAATTAATTTGACCAAATAGGCGTGTAAACGGCGTTGAAATTCTATTTTCGGCCGCGAAAATTGCCGCGAGATTTTACACGTAAATGGCCGAAACGAAAGACATGTGATGGAGTGAGGGAATGAATGAAGCGCGGCGATTTGCAAGCTGTAATTGGGAGTAATTTGGGTTACAAAGTGTTGCGCAAGGGCCAAGGATCGTATGCTTGTAGGACGTGTAATTTTGGAGCTTACAGAACCTGGCAAAGCAACTATTTACCGTGTTCGAGAAAAGGAGACGAAGGGGAATTAGATTAGGGCCGGCGGAAGCCGACACGAACGACCAAAAAACAGCACGTGATTCAACTAGGGCTAAGAAAAGAACTAACAAAATTGTAGAGAAAGATTTGAAGTTCTGAAAAAATGAATCATCGAAAATATGAATGAACATTAACGGGGAGGAATCATAAGGTCAATATGACTTTTTGAACCACATTAGCGTCAACTTTGTATGAGGATACGAAGGACATCAAATGGTAAATCAAACTGATTCACAAGACATAAGAAATCTTAATTGTCTAGCCATGTTTTGCTTTGATGTCAGGAGCTTCTTCCCACTGCAACATCACTACTGAAGGCCGTAAATGCCGACGCAATTAGGCTTCCGGGTTATTATAAAATTCTGGGAAAGGATTTTGAAAAAGCAAGTTTTTTTGCGCCTTTCCTTGGCTCCCTAATTAGACGGATTAAATTAGAGTGGGGCGGAAAACGTAGGCTTGTTATTAATTACAGTACACCACAAGAATTTTGAGCTTAATATTGGAAATACTAGAAACCTACGGCGTATTTTACATTTGAAATTAAAAGTCAGAGTGTCTCAAAAACATACCTGGGATGGGCTTCTCTTGAGCAGCGTGATCTCCTGAGTCTTCCTTCGTTCTCGCTCCTGTCTCTTTTCTTGTAAGATCTTCTTCTTCTCCACCGTCTTAATCGACTGGGTATCTCTTCTATTTTCTCCCAAACTGCTTTCTCTTCGATTCACCGAAGATGAGGTAGAAGCAAACATCTGACTGCTTTCCGTCGCCCGCAATCTGGCCCAATTCTCTTCGACTTTGGTCATTCTTGTCAGCGCTTCGAACTGCGGGCTCTGCGCTTCCAATGTGGCCCAGAAGTCTTCGTATTGGCGAATCATCTCTTCCACTTGTTCCACGGACTCGGCTTGTCGCCAGTCCTCGGTGAGCAGCGTCTCACGTTCAGCTAGCCATTTCTCGAGCATCGAAGCGTTGTGGAGCCATTTGATGGCATCCTGATTCTCTTCGTAGATGCGTTGACGAGAATGCCAGTACTCGTAGAGAAGTCTGAAGCCATCTTCCAGCTGCTCAACACGATGGTTGATCTCCTGGCTCAGCGCGTTCCCACCTTGAATCATTTTTCGGCCTTCCGCGACGAACACCTGCTTCTGCGGTTCTCGTTGTTTAATCTCCGCGTGATACTCTCCATGTCTCACATCAAGGGCTTGACATCCTTGAAGGTCTCGTGGCAAAGCCTCCCCAAGAATCTTGGTCCTCATGAGTTGGGCCCACGAGATCAGATCTCTCCATTCCTGGAAGTAGGCTTGTTTGTTCTTGGCCTGACGAATTCTCTCGGAATAATTCAACGCGGCCTGCTGAATATCCTTGAGCTGGAGTTCCAAGTCTTCGCTGTAGCTTTCCACCCGGCCTCTAGCGTCTGGGAATTCCTCGCACAGGAGTTCGGCGCGTTCTCTCAGCTCCATGACTTGGCGTTCGATGATAGCCATGGACTTGAGGAATTCTTCATGTTGTTGTGCGAGCGATTTAACTGTAGCCAAGCCAACATCAGCGAGACCATCCTCCTGCTCTCTCAACACAATATGTGCTTCTTTCTCTTCGAGTCTGATCAGCATCTCCTCAGCATCTTGAGCGAACAAATGGACACGTTGACCATCATGCAGCGCGCGTTCTCTTTCGTTAGCGAGAGTGTTGACGCGATTCCATAGGTCTTGAAGATCTTGCATAGTGGTTTGAATCGAGGTCTCGTAGACATGTCCCGGCCGTAGAAGTTGCTCTTGCTTTACATAGTTCTTGATTGCATGGAGCTTCTCGCCGTAGGCCGACAACTCCCTCAAAGTCAACTCGAATTCATCGATCAACTCCTTTCCTTCGTCCAAATTCTGTCCGTGCTGATTGGACAACGCCAAGTGCTCTTTTTCCAACAGCAAAGTGGTCAGTTCGTTGACTTGTCTCATGAATTTGTAGAAGGCGGACGCGTCCATCAACTTGGTTCGTCGACGGATCCACTTGTTCTGCAGGTCCTCAAAGTGTTTCTCCAGGTTCACTTGACGCGCTGTAAGTTGCGTGGCATCGAAATGATTGGAGCGGACCAATTCGTCGCTCACATCCCGAAGTCGTTGGACTTCGTCGGTGAATTTGCGGATCTCTGCTTCCAGGGCTTGGATTCGTCTCAAGTGGGCGTCGGCGGCGCTCTGATTGGCACCGGTGTCTTCGTTGTCGACCAGTGGAAGCCGCTCTCTGCACCATTGCTCTGCCTCACTTAACTCGGCATAATATTGCTGCGATTTCAGCGACTCGGCAAGACGAGTCGTCCTTTCGGCGTTGAGATTCAGCAGCAACTCGAACTGATCCACCAGCTCGGTCATCTTGTCGCGGATATCGGTCTTGTTGAAATGGTCGCTCTGGAACATTTCGCCGCCTCTCTGTTCCAGCGATGAAATTGCGGATTGATGTGTTTCGATTTCTTGTTGCAGAATCTCGTGCTTCTTGTTCAAGGACTGCGCCTCTCTCAGCGAGTTGCCGTAGTTCTTGGAGCGGAGTTGGGGAAGTTTGTCCGCCAGCCACACCAATTCCTCGTCCGATTCGGCGGACCATTGGAAGAAACGCAACGCTTCGCCCAGATTCTCAGCCCGATTCTTGCACGGGTCTTTGAGGTCGTTGTAGCGGTTGAGGACGGCTTCGGCATGCTGAAGAAGCGACATAATGTCGTCTTTTTGCTGAAAAAATATGTTTACGGCTTTGAAAGCACAAGTATCGGGACGAAGAGTTCCAAAACCTACGATATTCCTCAATTTGTTGGCCTTCTCGACCGTCTCCAAGACCAACGGCTCCTTGGCGGTGATTTCAGTGCAAAGCTGGGAATGTCTTTTGATCAGATTCTCCGCGGATTGAACATCCGAGCCATGGTCGTCCGTTCCAAGTTCTCGCTCGACCTGGTCCAACCATTTGTCGATATAATTCACTTTGCGGACCAATTGATAGGCAGCGTAAGACTCTTGAAGACGGACCATCTTCTCAGCGGACACACTAAAATTTCAGTTCAAGCATTTCACTTGATCAACCTACGTTTTCAACTCCTTCCATCCATTCATAACTTCATTCAGTTGAGCCTCAACCCGATCGCTTTCGTAGTGCGCTTCACTGATCAGTTTCTCGCCTTCTCTGCGGATCGCATCGACCCTATCGTCGCTCTGTTGAAGCTCCGCATCAAAGGCCTGATGTCTCTGCAACTTGCTCCTCAAGTTGGTCGGATCGACATAACTGTCGTCATAGGCGAGTTGAAGTTTTGCGTTGATCCAGGTGATCAACTCAGCGCACGATCTAACAAAATCGTGCAGCTTGAGCGAATCCTCCAGCTTCAATCGCTTGATTTGGCAAGATTCCAGAAGACGCTCGTGTCGCTCCAAGACAGCATCGTATTTCTGACGGATCTTGTCGACATCGGGCTCGGTGCACTCGTCAAAGATTTTCACTCCGGCTTTGAGATTCTCAATCTTGTCGGCCTGAGCGTACAGCGTCTTCTCAAAGTTGTCGTGCTTTCGGATGAGCATGTCCACCGTGTCCACCGAATCGCCAAGGTCGTAGTCGTTGACGAATGCTTCTTTTCCACTCAGCCAACTTTCAGTTTGGGTGATTTGGGAGTGAATCGTTTGCAGTTCCAAGGCTTTCTGAAGAGCGTCGCTCTGCCTCTCCCAAGACTGTCGAATCTCATGTTCAATGGGTTGAAGTCGTCGGTTAGTTCGTTGAATCTCGGCTTTTTGATCCGGCTGGTCGGCTGTAATTTTTTCTCCAAGCCTCCTTAGGGCTCCCAAATCGCTTTGACGCTTCTCAATTTCCACCAATTTTTCGTTGTGAGCTGCGATTAGTGCTGTAGCGTCGGCCACATTCCTTGGTCGCACATATGAGCTCATCTTGGAAAGGAGCTGATGAGCCCACTGTTCCATTCGTTTTACTGAGTCAAAATATTTATGGACAAAGGCGGACTGCTCGAGTTTCTGCCGACGGGCTTCAGCAAGATTCGCGAGATCTTGCCAGCTGGTTTGCAGCGTCTCCAACGACTGAATGATGGTGTCGATTAGTGGCGGCTCTTTGCTCAACAACTTCTTGGCCTCTTCGTCATGCTCGTTGAGTTTGTTCAGGATCGCGGTCATATCTCGTTCCACAGCGTCCTGCTTCCTCAGACGATCCTCCACCTCGCGGAGATCCCTCGGATTCTCGCCGTTCTGCAGATACCTGGCCTTCTCATGGATTCGATCGTTGGTCTCGGCGGTATCAGAGTTGAACTTGTGGACTTCCAAAGCGGCTTGAAGAGTGTTGCGATACTTCTTCACTCCTCCTTGCAGATTCTTCCAGGCCGCATTCACCTCGTCCAAGCTGCCTTGGATTTCGGCACGATTCTCCGATCCAGCAGCAATGATGTTGGCTCCAAGACGGTTGATTTGTTGCAGAGTGGCTTCATCGACACTTTGATCGGCCTGACGTCCGATCAGCCTTTCCAAAAGCTGCTCGCAATGTTCGTAATCTCTTCCCGTGTCCTCCGCTTGAATAAGAAGCTGCTTCTCTCTAATCCAGCTCAGAACTCTTTCGACGTTTTGGTAAAATTCAAACAGTTCTCTGGCCTCTTGCAGGGCTGCGTTCAAATGTCTGGATCGTTGTTTCAACTCATCCCAACGTCTCAACAAAGTGACGGCTCGTTGGATTACCCCTTCTGGCAATGAGTTTGGAGTCTTCTGGAAATGGGCCAACTCGTCGGCGACTTTGACGATTCGCGGTTCGTTTGTTGAGAGCTGAATCTCCAACGCTTGATGGTGTTTCAGATGTTGCAGCTTCTCCTCCAACGAGTTTTGACGGAACTCGGCTTCGGTTTGAAGTTTGATGTGGTTCAGCTTTTCTTCCACCCAGCTTCCGAGTTCCATGACATTACTGTCGAATTTAGCAAGCTTCAGCGCATCTTCCAACTCCCTTCGCACAATATCCATTTGATCTCCCAAATGAGACAACGCTTCTTGAACGGAGTGGTTAATCTGTTGGATGGACACTTTGTCGATGTGATCTTCGGCGACAAATTGCTTGGCCAGGGTGTCCAACTGCTCCACGCGCTCGTCAATCTGTTGCTTGGCCTTGGTGAAGGTGACAAAATGTTTCATTTGACTCTCGACGGCTTCCACCGATGTCATAACTCTTGGCTGTCTGAGGATCTCCATTTTGCTTCGGATTGAGTCGATTACTTGGTTTGCATCGCGGGTAAATCCACGGGAGAGTTCGGCTTGAATGATCCAGTCGTATCGCATGGCCCATTCGGTTCGAACGGCTTCGTAGGCAGCCAGGACCTCCTCCAATCTTCCCTTGATGTTCTTGGAGGCATAATGCCCTTGGGCGATCATCTGTTCAGCAAACTGCTGAATGCGTTGGATCTCCTCTTCGCGGGCGTCGATCTCGGCTCGGAGGCGTTGATGCTCCTTCTTGTACCATTGGGCGGATTGCAGGTCGGGAATTGCTTGCTCATTCTGCATCTCAGCGTTCACGGTATCCGTCCAGTTGACGAAGTCTCTGCAGATAGCATTGAATTTCTGGAAGTCATAGGCGGCCATCAGCTTGATCTTGCGGTGATTTACAGCGTCCGTGAGTTGTCCAAATTCTTCAGTCAACTTGTTCATTTGCTCGTTAATGTGGTCGGCATTTGGACCCGAATGTTTTTGGCGCAAATCGGCGCCGCGTTCAAGCAGGTTCTGGAGTTGCTCATGGAACTGCTCCACTTCATTTCTGACTACTTCATGTTTAGTAATCAGGTCATAGACCTGCGTCTTGTCTCTGCCATAGTCCGTCGACAAGGTGATTCGTTTCTCGACCATTCGATCCAAGAGATCTTGAACATTCTGATTAAACTCGTGAATTTCGCCCGCGGCTTCGAGTCGCTCGGACTTTGAGTCAATATATTGCCAGAGCAGATTCCAGGCGCCTCTCAATTTCTCCTGTCTCTTCAGGATGTCGCGGGAGAAGGGCGACATTGGGGGCAAGCGAGCCAGCAAATCGCTGGCGGCATTTTCGCACAGAACAGCACGTTCTCCCCCAACCTTCACGTTCTGAGTGAACTCGTTGAACTTGCTCTTGAGGTCTTGTAGTTGCTCGAAATCTCTTCCGTAATCCTCGACAATGGCGATTTGAAGTTGGTCGTTGATCCATTGCTCGAAGTCATGACTTTCTTGGTTATAATGGCAGAGAGCGATGAAATCTTCCATCTCCTTTTGCTTCTCGGCGACCAAGTTCTGCAACTCGTTGAACATGGCTTCGGCTTTCTCTTGGCGTTGCTGCACCGGCTGCTCGGTTTTGGCGTTCTCTTCAGCTGACAATTCCTTGGCTTTGCGTCTTAAATCGTCCAGCTCGCGTCGGTATGGTGTCATGTCTTTGGCCAGCGCCTTCAACGAACCTAGCGCACGCTCAGCGCCAATGATGTCCACATCCTCGGTTCTCGAGAGCACAACGTTTTGTTTTTCGGCGACCCAGAGCTCCACTTCCGCCACATCAGCGAGGTATTGCTCCCTAGCGTGAGACCATTCAAGGAGTTTGCGTCTATTTTTGACACCATTCATCAATTGACGCCACGCCGCATCGAGTTGCGAGCACTTCTCCTTGATCAAGTTTGAGCTCATGTGTTTTTGGCTAATTAATTCATCGCCCTTTTCTAGGGTTGCTTCGACGATCGGTTTGTGAGCCGAGACCTCCGCATCGAGTTGATCGTGTTTCTTCAACATGCTGATAGCTTCGTGCAACGTTCTCCCAACAAGTCCGGCTTCCATCATCTTGTTCTTCTCCTGGATCCACTGCAGCTCAACGTCGGCGTCGAAGGCGAGTTGGCGCCATTTCAGCGACTCTTCAAGGATCAGCTGTCGCCGTTCAATGGGCTCTTGCAAGGAGTTAAAGCGGTTAACCAACGCGTCGATATTCCGCTGAATATCGCGCGCATCTTGATGGCCGCGTTTGATCATTTTGTGGCCGGTCTCCGAAATTTCGTTGATTTTCCCCTCGAGCAAAACGATTTCCTGATCAATCTCGTTTTTCTTCTTGATCAGCTGCTGAACCGCCCTCAAACCGGTGGCGTTTTGTTCGGTGGAGGCGAGCTGACTCTCAATTTCATCCAGCTTTCCATGGGCATCGCGAATCATTCGGTCCAAATGCTTCTTTTCATCGGCTTCTTTCAGATTATGGGATTTCTGATCGACCAATCTGGTCAACTGACTCCACTCATCGCTCAGATGGCCGAGAATCTCCTCGATTTGTGGGGATTCAAAGTGTTGTTGCGCAATCAACGCTTCTCCATCTTTGGTGACGTCTTGAAGAACGGCGTAGTTCGATTTGAGCTCCGCAACGAAGGCGTCATGTTTGGTGAGCTTCCGGTCCAAGGCGTTCGGATCATGACGGAAACTGTCGTCCATTGCGATCTTGGTCTTGTCCGCAATCCAATTCGCCAACTCGTCAGCGTTCATCTTCAGATTCTGGAAGACGAGAGCGTCTTCAAGTCGGGCCTGTCGCTGCTTGGCGGCAGCATACAGTCGGGCCCTTCGCTCCAGGATATCGTCGCGTTTTCGCGCGATGAAATTGGAATGAGCATGATTGTTGTCGATCAACTTGTCCGCACGCTCGCAAAACTCGCGGACTCGGCCTTCTTCGGCATAGAGCTTTTGATTGAAGTCGTCCTGTCGTTTCCGCTCCTTCTCGACGCCCTCAACCGAGTCTCCCAGACCACTGGTGTCCAAGTAGATCTCATGTTCTCTCATCAGCGCATCAATGCGCTCGGCTTCGCGGTTGAATACTTGAAGATCGAACAGCTGCTTGTACTCGTTTTCCCTTCGTTTCCACGCATCTTCAAGGTCCTGCCTGGCGTTGTGCACCTTCTCAAGGGTATCATGAACGTTTCGAAGAGCCGGGTTCTTTCTCAGCAAGTTGTGCCCAAGCTCGTCGACATATCCAAATTCATAGTCTTTGGCGTTGATCTTGTCCCTCAGATCGTCGTGTCGTTTCACCAAATCTTCAGCCGGCTCTCCACCAATCGGCTCTTCCAACATTTGTTGTTTGGTCTTCACGGCCCAGTTGATCAAGTCCTTGGCGGCATTGTCAAACAGTTGTTGGCCCTGACTTTGTTCGGCTTCGTCAATCTTCTGACGTGCTTGCCGTTCCAAGTCCGCGTGCATGGCTCTCAATTCGGCCAGAACTCGGTCGGTCTCTCTGGCGTGTTCGGGATGGCGGCGCTTAATGTCGTCTCCCTTCTTCTCCAAGTCATGCATTCGCTCCTTTAGTGGGACCAAATCCCTCTTCAAGTTCTGATAATGCCGTTGCAACGCCTGCAACGCTCGAATATCGTTGGACTCGGGCTTGCGGTTCAACAATGCGAACTTCTCCTCCATCCAGGACCTCATGTCATCGCACTTGTCTTTGAACTCGTTCAGTCTTTCGGCCGCTTCAAGGTTTTCGGCCTGCTTCTTGAGGAGCTTCTGGAGATCGGCCCAAATTTGGTTGATCCTCGACTGTCTGGCCTTGATGTTGTCTGACTTTGAGTGTCCTTCAGCGACCAACTCATCGGCCATTTCATTGATTCGTTTCAGCTGGGTTCCCCCATTATTGTGAACATCGTTCTCAAGTTTGTCGAATTTCTTGCGGAATGCAACAATGTGTTCAATTGGGGTTTCCTCCAAGCAAAGGGCTTGAGTTTCCGCCGCCCATCTCTCAAAGTCGTCGCATTCGTTGCCAAAGCGGAACAATTTCACGGCATCCGCCAAAAGTCGGGCTCTGGTTTGAGCGTAATTCTGGAGCCTTCGGTATTCATGGTTGATGGACTCTTGCCGTTGGATGATTGCACCTTTAGACTTGGCCACGCGATGTCTTACTGTGACTGTCTCTCCGTCCAGGACTTTGCAATGATTTGCCGGGGCATATCCTTCGACTCCGTCTTGTTTCAGGACTCTCCACCAATCATCAGTGGTCTTGTCCAACAAAGCCAGCACATCTCCCTTCTCAACGGGGATTCCAGCGCGTTGTTTTGGGTCCGGTTCGTAGGTATAGAGGACTTGGACTCTTGGAACGACCGATTCGCGGACATCTCCATCTTCTCCGTCAAGAACTTCGTCGGTGAAGAACTTGGTGTTGGCCAAAGTTGATGCCTTCTCGTCGAGTTTCAAGATGTCCCTGCGGTACCCCTGGATCTCCTCTACCAAGTATCCGTGGCGTTTCGCGAGTACAGAGGCGGTCGAGAAATCACGACCAAAGTCGTTGGATTTAGCCAATGGAAGCTTCTCCTTGATCCAGGACTCGGCATCGTTGACCTCCTGGAAGTATTGAGAGACTTGCTCGGCCTCGGCCAGCCATTCCGCCAATCGTCCGCATTCCTCTCGCAGGTCTTCCCATCGCTGTTGCAGCACCTTTATCTTCCCAAGACTGTCGTCTTTAATCGGCGTTGTCTGAAGAATTTGACGCGACTTGTCGTTCAGCTGTTTAAAGCGCTTCCAGTGCGAGTCCATGTCGGTTTTCAGCGTCTGGAATTGCCGGTTCAACTGAGCAATGTTGTTCAAATCTCGGGGGACCTTCTGCGTGAAATGAATCTTCTCCACAACCCAATGAATCTCATCGTCGATGCTCTGAATGAACTGGAAGTACTCTTTGGCGCGGAAGAGAAGTTGTTGACGTGCTTCGCACAGCTCTACAAGTTCGTTGTGGTGCTGAGTGACGGCGCTTAAGCGCGCCTCGAGGACATCGAATTGTTCGCCGCGACTGCGGATATATTCACGCGATTGGACGGTGACATTCTTCAGCCATTCACTTGAGGCATTCAGATTTGTGATGACAAGTTCATGCTTTTGGAGAAGATCGTCAATTGCCATTAAATGTTTGCCAACGTCTCGATTCCGGGCCGCCGGCTCTAGCTGAGTCAGCTCGCCTTGCAATGTCTCGATATCTCGGATTAAAAAGGTCAGATCTCGAAGTCGTTGGATCTCTCGTCCCTTCTCCAGAACCATTTGTTGGAAGAGCGCGTAACGATCGCTGATTTCTCGTTCACAGCGGCGGATATTGTCTGCGCCGTGGTATCCGGCCAGTTGAAGTTCGTCGGACAGTTTGCTCAACGCCTTGAATCTTTCGATTTTGGCGTCGGACTCGGTCTGAATTGCTTGCAGAAGCTGGCCGGCTTGCTCAACACGCGGCGCGGTGTTCCCAACTTCCAGAGAATTCAAGACTTTGAAGATTTCGGCCAACCATTTGTCGCGCATCTCCGCCTTTCGATAGAAAACTTTGGCGTTGGCTTCCAGACGCTCTTGACGTTGGAGTTCTTCAATTAAGGCGGCTTGTCGTTCATTTTCGGCCTTTTCCAGACGCATCCAAGCTTGTTCAATCGCTTCGATTGAGAGACCTGAAAAAAATTATGTTACATCCGCTATATCCGTTCTTAAAATTACAGTGAGGGACCTGATCCAGTGGCAAAAAACGTATAATTTTGTATCTGGGAAGTATAAAAAAATGTGGCAAAATGCCTCCCTCCATAACTAAAAAAAAACTCCGTTTTGAACTGCGCGCTCTTTCTCTCATAGTTTAGGCACCAACAACAATTTTCACAGCCCCTTACCATGCGGTGGATGGTATCGATCCCTCTTCATCGCGGTTCTCTTCGTCTGAATTGTGAACAATTTCACTTCCAGCTCTCCCTTTTCCTGAAGTTTCGGCGGTTTCTCGCGATTGCGGTAGTGATTGAACGTGGCCAATTCCTCTTGCATCTCCGCCAAAGAGTTGGGGAAATCGCGAGCATTCAGCCGGTCAATGGTCTCCTGAATCCAGATCAACAGGTCCGAGGAGACTTGTTCGAATTGTTCCTCCAGGATCTCTTGCGTCATCAGGTCATTCACGACTTTGTGGATTCGCCTGGCTCCCGTCATCTCCGTCTTTTGTTTGGCGAAATGATGGTAGTACAGGGAGACATACGTCACAATCGATTTCTCGTCGGGATGAGCCACATTGATGTCCTCGGCATCGAGCAGGCGAGCAATCTCCAATTTGTTGGCGGCAATGTCGAAAGCTTGGTTCAGATTGCCAATAGCATCGGTGGGATTGAGTTGGTAGACATTGGGGACCAGTTCTGGCCTAAAAAAAGGGAATTTGAAAATAATATAAATAGATTAAAAAAATTTTTTTTTTTAGAAAAGCAACATTTTTCATGATGACTTTTTCTTGTGGTAAAAAAAATGTATTGGGACAGTAAGCGCTCCAGAATACCTTTAAGTGCTGTTTTCAGCCCTTCCAAAGCATTAATCTTCAATTGTCATCATTTTTCAGACAACTTTCTGCCAAATCTTTTACTTGATACCTAGTCTAATATAACTGCGCAAAACCCACCGATGAGCGTGAATAAGAGCGTTGAAGGCCATTCCATTCCTCCAGCTGGTCGTGAAATTGTCGACTTTGACGTTGGGATACTCGGCCACTTTGCGTTGCACCCACAACAACAACGCTTCTTTGGCGTGCTTCTTCTCTCCACTCTCCTTGGATTCGATCTCAATGTTTTCAATGGTAAATCGAAGAATAATTGTCCAGATCAAACCAAGGATCAGGTCTTCATTTCGGTCCAAAATATCGACAGCTCCAATGTTTTCGAGCTGAAATGCAAAGATAAACCCATCTTCACTTAAATTTCGGTAACAAATTGTTAAAATTGCCAATTTCTCACCTGGATTCGTTTCCTTTTCAAGAAATCCAAGCAGATATTCAAATTTTCGACCTTCTGAACACGCATCCGTCCGCGATTCGGCTTGCCCAGCCGTTCTCCACTGATAATTTCGAGGAATTTCATGAACAATATCCCATCACCAAAATCGGTGAATAGATCGTCAATTTTGAGGCCAGCCTGAAAGTATAAGCCGTCAAAAACTTTGTATGTTACGTATAATTACTGTAAAGAACTGCCTAGCAAAAAAGTCTCTGAGTAAAAAAACTTGACTCGAGAGAAACACTTGACTCAAAGGTGCCCAAAACTCACTTTTTCCAAGTACGAATTGACCCATTTGGTAAACGTCTTCTTCTGAATATTGATTCGCTCATTCTTCAAGGTTTGAATTCGATTTTGTTCGAAATCAACAGTCTCGTCTTGAATATAATCGTCTTCGATTACATTGGCCGACTGTGCTGTGTACTCTCTCCGCGGTGGCGGGGGAGAGGCGATTCTGCTGCTCTGATAGTAACTTGTCCCTTCATTTCGCGGGGATTGCCGATAATCGAACTGAAATATTATGTTACATGGTTTTGAGTACGATGTATAAAAGGGCGCTACGAATTTTCGGGTCAGTGACAGTTCGGGTCAACGATACTATGGATCCCGTCGGTTCGTCGTTGTATGCATGAGAGAGGCTAGGAGAAGGCTTAGTTAGTAGAAATGGTAAGATTGATCGGGTCCTAGGACAGCTTAACACCTTTTTTGAGGTATTTTACATATACTCAAATCAACAATATCTAGATAAAAATTACGGATATTCGTTTTTTGCAGCAAATTTTAGTCTTTTATACGTTCAAGGTAAAGAAAATTAACTTTAGTAATAGCTAAAATTAAAAAAAATGGACATTTTGCGAGTCTTTGCCAAGTCTCCGTCGAGCGTCTGCCGACCATCCTACGGCTTTGTCAGGCCTCGTAGGCACTTCCTACAACCTTTGTTTGGGTATCCACCGGACCTATACGCCCCGTATCGATCGATTTTGTGTTGACCCAAACTGTCGTTATACCCGAAAATTTGAGGCGCATATACAGTGACCTGATCCAGTGGCAAAAAGCGTACCATTTTGCATCCAGGAAGTATCAAAAAATGTGGCAAAATACCTCCCTCTCCAAGTGAAAAAACTGAGATTTCGAAACGGCGCCCGCTCTGTTTGTGAGGGAAAGGGCGCGCCCTTCAAAACAAAGTTCTTTCACTTGGGGAGGGAAGCATTTTGCCACTTTTTTGATACTTCCCCGATGCGAAATGGTACGTTTTTGGCCACTGGATCAGGTCTCCCACTGTAAAAGTATTGCACGCCAAATTTAATACAAAGTCGAACAAAACTTTTCCTCACCTGATTATGCACCGCCTGGACGGGTGTGTAGAGCGGTCGTGGCGCGGTCGGCGGTGGGACATTCGATCGGCCCGACGATTCGAATGAGCCCGCCTCGGACGGCGGCGACGTGTACGAGCGATAGCCGTACGGCGAACCGCCGTTTCGGTCCGCATACGACATTATCTGATGGCTCGGCTCCTGCTCGACGACAGGATCGATGCGGGTAGAATTTTCACCGAATTTTTGGAATTTTAAAGGGTCCTGAAATTTTTTAAAATAGGGACTTTTTTATCGTCAAAATCCAGGAAAAGCGAATGGCAAAAACGCAATAAATTTCCATAAAAAATAAAAGGGGCATTTTCCGAAACTGATTATGGCCATATGGCAAGTCGGAAAATGAGGAATGACCAGTGCATTTCTTTGGGGAAAAATGGCCTTTTCGGCAAAAAAAATCACAGAAATTCCAAAAAAATTGCTGGGATGTATTCCCGCGATAAGTATTACAATGTCGCAATTTTCTACTCGGGATCATTATTACATATACGGCACGGAACTTATAAATCCTTGCGAGTCCAGAAAAAGTGTCGTGATGACACCTACATTATATGGCAGCACACGTCAAAGAAAAAGTGAAAAAACAAGGAACCTCGGATCATTGATTTTTGACGAAATGTCGCTGAATTATCGAGTCACAAAAGAAAACTTTCCCAGAGAATTTCGAGAAAAATGTTTTTTCGAAGAGGAAAATAATTTCGATAATTCCGTGGCACTTTGCAAAAAATCAATGATCCGAGATTCACTGTTTTTTCAATTTCCTGAAAGAATTGTTTTGACGTGCAGCAGTGCTATAACCAGCGTCTGTGTATGACTATGAGTCAACAAGTCAAAAAAATTCGGGCAATTTTTTCACGGTATTGCAACGGAAAAATCCAGAAAATCCGTCATCCGAATTGGGCATTGTAAAGGTTTTAAAGCTAATTTTTTTTGCAAAAGGCACTCTATCAAGTGCTCCGAGCCCTGTGTATCGGCCGCTTATACCGCCCGCATATTTTAATCCGGTGTCATCATGACACATTTTCTGGACACACAAAGATTTATGTATAATCGCGAGTTGGCGAGCAAAAAGCGTCCCGCTGTGCCAGCTGAGTGGAAAAATCAAAACAAAAATAGCTTTGGAAAGCCGGAAACAAATAGAAACACCGTTGTGAGCAGATATGTTACACTAGACATCAAGTAAAATATTTGGCAGAACGTTGTCTGAAAATGGAAGATTAATGCTCTAAAAGGGTTGGAAATATCGGATAAAGGTATTGTGGGACGCTTATTGTACTAATACATCTTGTTTACCACAAGAAAAAGAATCAATATTTTTCGCATCAATGCAACCAAAATGATTCAACAAATTCGTCGAATTTCTCCCGAAATCGCAGACTTTGAAACTCGCCTAACTCGCTAGGAATTGTCCGTAAATCCCCTCAAACCTTATTTCAACTCGGAAACGCCGCGAAAAGTGGCGGTAAAATCCGAAAAAAGAGCAAAAACGCGACTTCAAGGTTGTTTTCCACGAAGAATGTGCCCAACAAAAGGCCGCTGATACAGCGATTCGATCTCCTCCCCAAAACAGATAAAATATATGTTCGGGAGTGTTGATGGCTATAAAAGGAGAGGAATGATGGACGGAAATTTTGTAGTTTTTTGCAAAAGGAATCGAAAATAATGGGAAATTTCGAAAAATGGGATTTAGTGGGAGGAAACGAAAATAAACTGTTTCTAAGGGGTTGAATGAAGCATTGAGAGCATTTTTACAGATATTAAAGTAATGTAAGCGAACATCTCGAAGAAAATTACAATTACCTTGATGAATATCTGAATGAAAAATTTGCCGAAACAGGTATGGAAATAGGAAAAAAATTTGTATTGCCTTACAGCTATATAGGATCTCCAAGGTATATGACAAACGCGTATGATGACGCATTGACTCCTACGAAAACATAGGGCAAGCCTGATCTATTCATTACTGTAGTTTGTATCGGGAAAGAGGAAGTAAGTTTTTAGGATGCGGGAGTCGAACTTGGCATGCCTTGCGAACAATGTCAAGCACACCACCACTTGACTATCGAAACACGGCTCTAATTTTTTAGAATAGATTGGTGGTAAAATACAAAGGCAATAGCAATATTTGAGTAGTCACAGACAAAGAAATTAAAGAAGAGTTTGCTATTTTATCACTAGAGTGTGAAATTCGAAATTTCAATTCAATAAAAAGTTCAAAAAAAATCGCCGAAAATTTAAGTTCAAAGGGCTCGAACACCTTCTAAACGACGTGTTAATGCCCCTAGATAAAAGAAAACCCCCCGACACACCGAGAACTCCTCCTTCTTCATCAAGAAAAATCACGGAAAACCCGAAATCCTCGAAAACTTTCCCATTCTCACCTCACAAATACCCAATGAATCCACTGAACGCACCTAGCGACCTACAAAAATTTGGTACAATAAAATCCCCCAGAACATAAAAAAACAACAGGATCTGAGAGCGTTAGATTCGTTGCGAGGCGCTGGGCGAGAGAGAGAGGGGGGAGCGCAGGGAAAAGCGGCGATTTTTCCGTTGGAATCTTAGGGTTCCATTTTCGGGGTCAAGGCTGGCAACGGCGCGCCGGTAAAGGTGTTCGTTTTTATGCAAAAAGAGGGAAAAGTGGAAACAATCTCCGTGGGCTTTCGTACAACGCCGACCCGAGATTTGGTTGGGGCTTGGCGAAAAGCTTTTGGTGTAAATAATCGCCGAGAACTTGGGGCGGAAGCAATGATATGGCATGCCATATATGATATGGCATCAAAAAAAAAGAAAAAAATAACCGCTTGAGGGAAGAAGCTAGGATTTTAGCGAAGCTTGGCACACATTTACAACGGAAGGTTTTCGAATGCGACGCTCACATTTTCTTTAAAACTTTGCACACACGTCAGACATAGGCCACATATCAGTTCCTGAAAGTTTTAGCTCGAGATTTCCAGGGACAGCTGAGATATTGAAAGATCTTTGAGAGAGTACGCGAAAGCGGAGGGTGGCCAGAGAGAAAAACACTTTTCGGCCATATCTTTGCCACCTTCGCGCGGAAAAAAATATTTTTTATGGAAACATGTTAACAAATAGGCCAATGCGCGACGAATCCACATTATTTTCCCGCCAGACTGATATGAAGGTAACGTACCATAAAAAACCATTTTTTCAACACAAATTGTAAAAGATCTCTTTCAAAACCTCTTCCTCTCCGTCCGCTCTCCACTTTTCCCGCAATCTCTTAACTCGTATTTCACTTCAAATTTAACAAACTCATCCCAAGGGGCCAAAGAATAGTCGCTCATCGAAATTGAGTCTTAATTCCGCCGCAAAAATTTCTTTGCAAAGCCCGAGTCATTGCAACGCTCAAAGTAAACAAACAGCGGACCGTTGTAAAGCATCCGAATACCCTTACACAGACACCAATCCGTCTGCTTTTACACGACAATCGTTTCATAAATACCGCCGAAGTATTTGACGGGGTTTCGGATTTTTTTGTCGGCTAAATTTGGAAAGTTCATAATTAGTAGTATAATATATTTTTTTACAGAAATGTGTTATTGAAGAGTTGCTAAAAAGGTATGCTTCAGATTTTGATATTACTCTAGGGCAAATAGAGAACAAAATTTTCTAGCGCTTAGCGGATATAATCAAGATTTTTAGTCCAAACTTGGCAAAGAATCAAAAAACTTTTCTAATAACAACTTCTGAGGACCATTTCCAAATCAGCAAAGCTGAGATCCATGGAAAATTCTCTGTTTTCCTACGAGAACTTCAAATTTTTCTAGGAAGACCAGAAAGTCTTGTCATGTTTTCGCACTGTACTTTCACCGTCCTCTTCAAAAAAATTCACTTCGTACAGTGCGAGCGAATTAGGTCGGCAATGCAATGTATCGAAAAATTGGCAAATGAGAACAGGTTCATTCGCGCAACATAAGCTTTTTTGCCCCTTTGAGCAAACTTCACTTACTGATCATTTACTATACTGCTTTTTCAAACGTTACGACAGTGTTTTGCTGCAAAGTTTTAACTGCAAAGTTAAAACTTTGCAGCCATGTCAAGGCCTTTGGATCGCCTTGTACGAGAGAAAAATGTCTTTTGCCTGTTCAACTTTACGGCATTTTTCATCCTCACTGACAAAAGACTCATCTTATCGTTAAATCTTTTTTCCGCAGGGGAAAAAATATTAGCGTTCCAAGAATTGATACCCGGAAAGTCTCCTGGCTGATTTTCGGTGTCTGCACTTTCCGGACGAACTAATAAGTGGACTAGAAAAAAATAGAAACAAGATTAGAAAACAGTCAAATGTCTTGAAATAGCCTCCAGAAAAACGCCACTTTCGGCAAACAAAGTTTACGTTGAACTTGTAAGCTTATCGGGGAAACATTGACTTTCATAACCATATCTCTTAATTTCCCACGCTCTCTCGCCCGGTACATAATATTCGTTTTTAGGGCAGTTAAAATGACTCATATTAGCCATTGCAAACAAAAAACCACTTGTAAACCGACCCCACTTCTCATATAAAGTTATGAAGACCAGCAGAACTTGACAAAAACCCGGAGAAACCATTATTCAAATCCCCTTTTTCCTATTGATTTCTCGTCCCCGCCAAAAATCGGATCATAATTTTTTTTTCATCACAAAAAAACGAAAAATTCGACGCCCATAATTTTGAGAAAAATTCGAAAAATGCGGCAAATGGAAGTGGGACAAAACAACGAAGAAAATTTCAATGACAAAAGGTAAGAAATTCCGGGTTTCCGCGGAGTATTTCTTATCAGTTTGAGGGTTCGGAATGTCCGAAAAATGCCTGTGAATCACTCGAAAATAGGGCTTTTCTAATCTAATATCAACCAAAGCAAACAATTGTTGGTGAAGGTCATGACCGTGGAAGATATTTGTTAGCTCTTCTGGAACGGCGGAGGGGCAATTCATACCAAGGCGACACTTTATACGATAAAAACTTTTTTTTCCAAAAATGTTTTTTAGCACATAGAGGTTGAAAAAGGTGGTTTTTATATAATCTCTGAGGGCTTTTGAGAGATTACAGGTTGTTTGACGAAAATTGGAGACCTATAAAGATGATTTTTGTAAATTTTTATCCATTATTTTCCAAGCTA